AGGATTTTTCTCAGAGTTATTATTATGGAGGATTTTCTTACGTTCCGCTCTGGCGCTCGTCGCTGGTCACGTGAAATTTCAGCTAACTATGTTTGGGGATGATGACGATCAACCAAAACATTTCTCATTTACTATGAAACTAGTATAGCAAATTAGAGTTCAATGGACTGAATTTAAACATCACAGTGTAAAAAAGCAACATTGTCACAGTTGGATAAAGCTTGGCCCCGATAAAATAAAACGATTCCGCGTTTAATCAAGTCGTTAGATGTAAAGTTCTGTGAGTCATTACTTTGCCTTTGAGTCACGCACAAAAACGTTTTACCAATACGTTTACTGAACGAATTTATCTCGCTATAATCAAAGAGTTTTTTTCAGAGTTACAAACATATTGTTTTCCAGAGCCTTTTTGCAAACCAATTCAATGTTTTAATGCGATATATGTTTATTTAAAATCGATACAATATAAACTATGCTCTATACTGAATTATTGAATACTACACTCGATGTAGCCTATAAAGAAGTACCTGTAAGTAATGTATTATCACGTAAGGTATTTAACCGTATGCAATAGATTTTAAAAGGTAAAAACTTTGATACTGTATTAAGGTAGCTCCTTCAAACTCGTAAACGCAAGCCTGTTATCGTTAGGCTTGGCGGTCTTAGTCTCAAGATATTGAAGGAGTAAGAAGAAAGCATCAATGAGATCAAAGACTGCCGAACAACAAATACTGAACAAGCCTTTGATGTTTTGTACTACTACAACTAAAGAGTTCACTCGAGAAGTATGAAATAAATGTTTGTTTTCTCTAAAGTAAAAGCTACTTTAAGTAGTTTTTAGCTTTCTCTTTTCACAGAAACAACAAAATCGCAAGTGCTTTTGAAATGAGCCATTAGTTTTAGGTATTATGTTTCTAAATTTCAAGTTTTTTTACATATGTAAGTGACGTATTTTTTAAATATAAAAATGAATGAATAATTTTTTTAGCTACAGCAAAGCCTAAAATGAAATCAACGTAAAACCTAAGTATAAATGGCCTGATGAGTTAATAAAAAAAATAATGATTAGAAAGTTATGGGGAGAAAGTACAAGTTATGTATGAAAGCAAGATCAGAGAAAGGTAAAATGTAAGATTATTTGTTATCATTGATCTTGTGCTATTAGCCAAATTGAGTTTTAAATGAAATGCAGTGGAAAATTCTGTGTACCTACCATATTTTCTCACTACCATGTTTATTAAAACTTATTGTTGTAGCCCCGGAACTCTAATATATATTAAATTGGTTTTACATTACCTTTATCAGTTCCAAATAAAAACTGATAAAAACTGATTTGGAACTGATAAAGGTAATGTAAAACCAATGTAATTACATGTTTACCTAATAATTTTGAGTTAAGTTAATTTCCAAAGCAACATTCAATCAAGCAACTAGTACAATTAAAATGCTCATTTTATAATACACCAATGCTATTTTTTTAATATAATTTATTTTAAAACGTTGTATTCAGCATTACATTCATAATGTAATATGTATCAACTAACCAATATAATCCAAGCAACCAATAGTGCAATTTACAAATTAATCTGCCTCAAAAGTGAATGTATTGAAATACTGAGTTTGATTGTAATTTTTCAATTGGTAGTTATGAAACAAAGGTACATATTGGAATGATTGGAGAGGATATGAAACCTACATATTGTGTGGATAGAGAGAAAACCCAGACTATTGTTCACCCTCCCCCCCCCTTCACAACCCCATACCCTCATCATCACAATCCTGTGCACTTTTGTTCTCGGATTAAAAATGTTTATATTTTACCATTCTGAAAGTACAAACTAGAGGAACACTGAACACATTAGCTCCTTAATTTCTAAAGAGTTAAGATTCTATTTCATTCAATCTTATAGGTAAATACTCGCCTTTGGCTCGCTGGGGGCTCTGCCCCCAGGCCCCCTTTTTTGGTTGGGGGTAAATGAGCCACGGGGGACAGGGCGCAAGACCTACAATCGGGCCAAATTTCAGACATCCAGTTAATCCAGAAATGGGTAAACGTGATTTAGACTTACGCACCTGTAAGAATAACATTGGGGCGGGGGAGGATATAATATTAGGGAGGGGGGTTGGAAATACGATAGGGGGATTAAACTTTAAGTAAACCAGAGAATATACAAAATATTAATAATGTTTGCAAAAAGAATTTACTTAGATTGGGAAAAGTAGCGAAAATTGGGGGTAAAATTTTGTAAGTACAAATGTGCCACAGGGGGACAGGGTGCAAATTTCAGGATTTTTAGCTAATCTAGAAATTGGTAAACGTGATTTAGACCGATGAATCTGTGGTGGCTATAGGATAGATATAAGGGGGATTTCGAGAGGGGGGGGGACTTTTTAAATGGTCCTTATTATATTCATACCTTGGTGTAAGCTCTAATACAGTACACTTTGTATAGTTTTAATAACCTTGTGCATACAGAAAAGGTAAATATTTTTAAGATCATTCTGACAAAGATTATTGTAATTGTGTGATATAATTAGGCTACCTAAAAATATCAATGCATGTAATTTTTTTAATTCTGGACATACAAAAGGAAAAAAATAATGTACATATTTTCTAAAGATTTATTGTATTATATGGGCTGATGAAGTGCAATGTTAATCATATAACATTTCCTTGTTGGTGTTTTCTAAAAAATAAGTTTTCGATCACATTATACTTAGATTTTACCGAATTTCCCAATTGGGAATAAGCTATTACCGTAGGTCTCATGGTAAGACCTGGACTCGGGACCTATTTTCTTTTTCGTTTTGAGGTCCTCAGAGGCCAAAAACACCATCAGTTCAAATTCATAATATATTTGTGTCCGTTGGCACGATAAATCGAGCAAAAATGGATCCGATTTTTATTGAATTTGGTATAAACGTGTAAAACTACATCTATCCGAATGAGTTTGTGAACCAGCATGATCGGACTATGGGAACGGTTTAAGGGGGATTTTATGGGGTAAAAATTGGCTTTTCACCCAAACTCCCCATTTTTCACCCTAAAAATAAAATTTTGCGATTCATACAAACCACTTTGTAGAGCTCAAAAAAAAAAAAATAATCCGTATATAATACGTACGTAAAGGTGATTTCTACGAAACACTACTCCTTCGTAATAACGGACGGATTTTTACAAACGATGTGTCAAAATTAATGATTTAAATGTTATTTATTTATTTGTTATCAGTGGTTTTTAATTGTCTAAAATCTACTGAGTATTCTGCTGAGTTATTCAATGACTAATTCTCAATCCAACACGTTTTTTAGATCTCAACTTATGTAATAATTACACCAAGTAGGTTTATATTTTTATGTTACAACAGCAAACAAAGATAATGCTAGAGGTTAGTCCCAAAGCATAAAAAAACTGAACTTAAAAGCACAAGGCAATCTTATAAAGTAAACAGTCATCTAAAACAGCTTTAAACACAAACAAAGAGGTTGTGGATTGTTTGTTGACTCGAAAAATGTGCCTCTTTGATCCCCAGCCACAGTTGGAAATTGTTTACATGAATCAGTTACCAATTTTTAAACACAAACTTTAAGAAACTCTTTATCCGGTTCAATGTGTAGATTCTTTCGTTCTGACTCATGTGGGGCCCTATTTTTGAAATGGTTGACTGTTGAGTTGAGTGTCGAGTCATTCTATTTCCAATCGTTTCGTATTTTTGAAACGGTTGACGGTGGACTTATACAACCAAAACTACTCAACACCTATCGAGCTGTTGAGTGGAGGTTGACTGCACTTTCTTCTTCCTCTCTTTCGGCAAAAAATTACTCTTTTTGAGACGACGCCATATTGTTTTGTTATTGCTTTAATTTACTAATTGCGATTTAGAGGTTATGTATTTGTTGTCAATGTATTAGCACCCAATTATGCGATTGTTTTCTGTAGAATAATCGCATTTTAATTTTATTTACTGTGTCAATACTAGACTATTTAATCAAGGGTTTTAATCTTGTTGGAATGTTTGAAATAGACTAGGCATACTAATTGAACTTATTATAAGATAATTATTGTTATTAGACCTATGATTTAAGGTATTAAAGATTGTGGTAGAGAGAAACAATATCATAGTTTGTTTCAATACCATTCACCTAATAAAGGGATCAAATTAATTTAAGTTACGACATGCTTCCAGTGCAATGGCAAATAGCCGCTTTAACCCAAATAAAAAACAATTAAAAATAACATAAAACAAACCGATGAAGGAAACTAAAATAAGGTGATGTGTTCCGAAATAGAGACGAAGAAAGCAATTAATAATGTATTTAGGATGAGTGTAGGACCTAAAGTAAAGTGCAGCCTATGCCTAAACTTATAATTAGCTACACCCTAAAACAAACATCCATAGTAAATTTTATTTTTAATACTTAAGTTTAGCCTATATAAGTTAAGGTACTTTGCAATCACTAAGATTAAATTAAGCAAGACATAACCCATTATAACCTCAATCTCTCAAGAACGGAGTTGACAGTTTACCTCAGTGTCTCGAAATATGGCAGATTGAGATTAGATGCCAGATTTTAGAGTAAGAAGAGGTTAAATCGAAGTCCGCAAGAACTCTGCATTGTGATTGGTTCAAAATGACGTCATCTGAATTTTTGACGGTCGTATGCTCTACATTTCCACCACGAGTCTCTCAACTAGTGATTCCCAACTCGCTTCCCAACTGTTGGGTTTCAAAAATACCAAATCATGTTGTTGGTTGAGTTGAGTGCTGACGATTGACTCAACTGTCAACCATTTCAAAAATAGGGCCCGTGGTGTGACAGTTGTCAGTTAATTAGTAGACATTTCAAACCCTCTGGATTGAATATTTGGGATGAATCAGCTTAGTTTGGTCAGTAAAGCTGAATCACTCATTGATTATGCTTTGTTTAAATTTGCTTGTACGGTAATTGATTTTTAAGGACCTTGTAAACAAACAAAAAACTTTCCTTTTGTGTTTCAGGGTTATCGGAGTCAGCACAAGTGATTCTGCAGAGTCCTTCCTCAGTCCCGGAGATCAAAGAAGGAGACAACGTCACCATCAAGTGTCACGTGGAGGGCAGTGAAGACATCAGGGTAGAGTGGTTCAGGTTAGTAAATCTTACAGATTGTCACAACATTCTAACATGTGTAAGCTACTATGTTGGTGAAACTGTTCAAGGTTTGAAGCTGCGATCTGAGTTCTGCCAATCATCGATGGGCTTTTCGCCCTTGTTCAAACTTGCATTTCCCTGTCCACATGGGCCTCAAAGGCCAGTACAAGGGTGGATAAGATAATGTGTAAGGCAAGGAGCCGGTACAGTACAAGACTGACCTGGACTTACAAATTGAATTTACAAACCATTAAGGTGATCTTTCTTAAATTGGCACAGGTTTTAAATACCAACCGAGACCTCTAGATTACTGATAAATATTGGAAATGAAATGGTCCCAAAACTTTTTGTATCAAAGTGCAATGTGTGAATTACCATAAGCTGGTGTTTAGACAAAACACTCTTCTTAAGGCCCTTAGACACTGATATTATCTGTTCTTCTGACAGGAATGATGAACGAGTGTTGAAGACGGACCGAGTGCTGCCTCGCGGACGGAGATTGACTCTACGTGGAGTGACTCCTGGAGAGAACGGAGTCTACCGATGTTCAGCCTCAAACGAGGCGGGCTCCGTTGAGAGTTCCAACACAGTCTATCTCAACATACCTGGTAATTTAACTCTACAATTAACATAGAACTCAAGGATCTAGGTTCTAAGAAGTTTTGTAAGAATAGCAGGAAAAGAGTTTGGTAACTGGGAAAGTGTCAACTCTGGCGCTAGAAACACAAAAGTCTTTACACAATACACAAAAATAGATTGTTTATCTACCACTGACAGCATTTTCAACAGCAATTTTTTCGAGTTCATGAAAAAAGTTATCTAGGTACTCACAATCTTACTACATTAAACTATCTCTGGTTTGGACACCCTATGGTGATCCAAGGGTGGGGTCCGTGTCTTAGCCCCGGAATTGTTCACTGGTGCTGCAAGTGGTCTGCTGCTCGACTGTGTTCACATAGCCTTTTAACAATAATAAGTAATTTTCATCAATATTATAAATACCGTACGAATAAAACAATGCTATATTGTAGTCTATCCGACAATCCAGTTAATTTGATACAAAATTGCAAGCAAATTGGCAACGTGAACATATTTTTATTTGCAACTATAAAATATGGTTTTATACTGGTTGAACTAGTCTTCAAAAATTTAATCCGTTTAAGGGTAGAGATTAAAATTAATCAAAATGCTGTGGATGATGAGCTGGGTATACAAACCCGTCCTTCTTGCACCAAAGTCGGAGACGCTAAACTGCACACCACTAATATACATAGTAGTCCTGTAGCTAGTAATACACAGCTAGGATGTGGTATTTATATTGTATTATTCTTACAGGAGACCAGTGGGCCTGGATACAGGTAGTCCCTCAGGATGTGTTATCCCGGAAAGGAGCAGCTGTTAGGTTCGACTGTGTCTACCAGAGTGCTGATGTCCTGGAATGGTACTTCAAGGAGACAGGGCCGTTGGAAAACAGTACCAGGTAGGTCATCATTAACCTAAAAAGTACTCAGTTTTAAAAGCTCTCTGTTGCAAACAACATAGCAGATGTATGTAAGATTGATATCAATGTATTTGTATGAGTATTTATAAAGTTATATCAAAGACAAAAAGCATTGACTATCTAAAATCCAATAATCGGACAAAATAATTAATTGGTAAACACCATTTGTGGTTTAGACCTTGATTTTGAAATATTCTGTTTTATTTTTTGGTAGGTTGTTCTTTCTTTAAAGTTTAAGACTAAAAAGTTAAAGAAAATAACAAGATTTTTCTATTTAATTTAACATACATCTGAAATACCACTTACAACCTAGTTTACAAACTTACTGTTTATGTCTTAGATTGATAGCTACTGAAAGAACAATAATTCTCAAGTAAGAGTCAGGTTAGTGGGTGGTGAGGCCATGTGGCTTATTATTCACTTTTTATGATGCAAACAAGATAAACAGGAACCAAACAGCTCAATAGCAACAAACAGCTCCTGGCTTTGATGTCTGGAAATTGAGTGTGACAGACAAGACACATGCCAAAGACTTCCCTCTCTTCACTTCCCCTTTTTACCCTCCCTCCTCCCATAGCCCCCCCCCCCACAACTGTCTGACCCTTCCTGCCATGTCTCATTTCACTGACTTCTCTTTAAAGACTGAGAAGGAAAAGCAAACTCTTAAAATCTATCTTTTTAGATTTTCTGTCAATAGTTTTTTAGCAAAAGGAAAAATAATTAGATGAGATTTTGTTGATTTTGTTAATGTTTTTTATACAAGGGGAATAAAAGATAATATTTGGTATATTATTGAAAAAAATAATAAACAGATTGTGGCAATGATTCCTCAAAAATATGTGAAACCTATTTCCAATCAATTGAAAAAAATTGAACTACTGTTAAATGCAAACAAACTTTATGGGTTTATTTGGTTTTATAAATAAATAAATAAACTGTTTATCAACATTAATCTAGTGCAATTATTTTTTTTACTAAAAAAAATTATCAATAAAAAATTGACCTCTGTCCATATACTTATTTATTAGTATGTCAATTCCAATAAATTAGATAACAAACAGTGTATTCATAAACGGTAAAATTTTAATAATGAAAAATGTAATCATGTGTCTATGTTTATAATAGCATATAAATACATTTCTCAAGCAAAATGTTTCTAAAAAGATTTTATTACATCAACAGTTTATCCACAATTGACTACACTTTCGGATTCAATGTTTATTCATACAGTTTTTTAAAATTAATTTATTGGAAACTTGTTGTGCATTTGAAGTAATGTTTTTTTTTCAAGGGATATTTTTTTGACATTTTTTGTGTGTAGCCTATATATTATTACCTTATAAAATAATTTCCCAGGTATGACGGCTGAACTTTTTCCCTTTTTCAAAATCCCAAATCAGTCACTTGGTTTCTGTTGAACACGGTACAAATAGTTTATGTATTTCTTGTATTTCAGATTCAGTGTTTTCCCCAATGGATCTCTGGTGATTCACAAGGTTCGGCCGACAGACGAAGGGTGGTACTCCTGTGTGGGAATCAGAGGAGAATCTACGGCAGTTCCACAGAAATACACTGCTAAGCTTACCCTGGCCTGTAAGTAAACCTTCATAAATATAGATATTATTTAAGATTCCCTTGTTTTAGCAAATTTCCCTCTTCGCAAACCAGCATCAGAACATGGGAGCAGGGTTTTTAAAGAGGGTTTTATGGTGTAAAATTTTATCCATCCCATTTTTGACCTTTAAAAACTTAACATTTCAAAATTTATTTGTAAACCATTTTGAAGAGCTTGAAAAAACAAATAATTCAGTAAATTGAAATATTTTGTGCGGTTATTGGTTAAGGAGAAAATCCAAAAAATTATAAATTTAAATTTCCCATCTTATTCTTATGGAGTAAAAGTAAACTGTTGTAGTTTCCCTTATAGTCACACCTTGTGGACTGTGTTATATGGCATACCTGCACTTATTCAAGGTATGCTAGCTGCTATCCTTATTCTACAATTCAAGCTCCTGACCTAGAGCCTTTCCTTGAACAAATCTTATTACCAAATAGGTTTGTGTTCCATTAATAAACAAATCTCATGTTTCTGTTGCAAGAGAAAGATGCAAAAACTGATTTTATCCAATTAACTTTTTTAAATTCCATCAAAAGATAAAGCCTTTATGTTGCAGACCTGGGAGAGGTAGGCAGTCACTCTCTGGAGCCTGTCGTAGAAGGGCCTCGTGTGGTAGGAGAGGGGGGAGAGCTACAAGTCACCTGTCTGGCACCGAGGTCACTACCTAGGGCCTCAGTCCAGTGGCTGGGCCCCCTCGGTGCCCCCGCCTCCACCTCTGACCTCCTCAGCATACAGTCCGCCAGTCAGAGAGATGCTGGCAACTACAGCTGTGTCATCAGCAACATCGCTGACTCCAGGAGTGTTACTTTCAACCTCATTGTGGCATGTGAGTAGTGAGTTTTGAATTTGCTGAGGGTGGGGGTTACTGAATAGTACCTCAAGTGTTCTTTGAGGGTTCATGAAATTTAGCACACCTTAAATAACAATGTAACATTGCTACAGTACCAAAACCTTATATTTAGGCATTTAAATCATTTGCATTCGTTTATCTAGATTAAGAAAACTTATTCTGACCGTCTAAATTTGGCATTCTGGGGCATAAGAATCATACTTATGTGAGCTATACTTATTTCCTGCCAGTACCAACAATGGGAAAAGCATCCAAGAAGATGCAAGCCCTAGAGGTTCTAAAAAAACTAAACGGTTCCTAGTAGTGGAAAGCCAAACAAGCCTAACTATTTTAGGGCCAATAACCTTGAAATTTTATTGAATACTTTTTTATGACTATACTATCCAACCATTTTTGAAAATCAGAATTATTGACTTGTATTTTTTATATTTGTTGTCAGAGCTACTTTACAAACTTGTGTATTTTTAGACTGCAGGGTACACAATGTCTAGTTGCAATGCCATCACATCAATCTTACATTAGTGCTTCATTCATACTTTGCTTAAAATGGCAAAGCAGCAACCATGTGATAGAATTAGGACATAGTGATAGTAATTTAAGCGTTGCCTCTTTGTTTATTGATTTCCTCTATAAGCTTCACTTAAAAGCCCCCTTTAAAGTTTCACTATAATCATACCACCAAATTGGACTCAATTTTAAATGGTAGTCAGGGGTTTCTTAGGTCTTAAAATGACAGAATTAATTAAATAATAAGAGTGAGAATCTTTTGCCTCTTCAACTAACCAATACACACTGTATCGAATTGTACATTAAGGAAGAAAGAATATATACACAATTATTAACTTGTCCAAAAAAAGAGTTCCAGGTGGTAAAAAGCACCCAAAAGATCACAACACTGTGCTGAGTTGATGATTTGTTTATCTATTTCTGTTGAAAATTTTTACATTAATTAAGTGATCCATCAATCGGTTTTGGTTTGGGCATTAAAATTATAATTTTGATCAATCAAACACAAGGTTAATTGTATGCTTTATACTTTACTTTGTACTTTTATACTTTCTTATAAAATGGCGACCATACTATGTAGGTATTTTAAGCCAAGTATGAATGGAGATGAGTGTAGGATGAGTGGCGCGATCTTGTAGTCTTGTTAGTGACTAAGGCCGACATTCCTTAGACACAGCTGTTAATTAATAGCCCAAACAGCTAATGGCAACTAAGGGACCTACAGTTTATAGTGGAATCCGAACCACATTTTTTATTAAATGACACATACCCACATATCATACATCTACCACATTCCAATTGCAGCTCCCCCCACCATAGTGAAGGGCCCAGCTAAGGTGTCAGTGAAGGAAGGAGAGCCGGCTCTGCTGCACTGTCAGTACACGGGACTGCCTCCTCCCCTGACCACCGTGACATGGCTGCGGGACAAGACGCCTGTCCATAGTCAGGTGCACCCCAACGGCAGCCTGCACCTGCACAGCACACAGGTGGCGGACCGTGGCGAGTATGTGTGTGTTGTCAACACCTCGTCTCTTCCTCCAGTCTACTCTAGTCCAGCAACGCTACATGTTAGAGGTGAGTTAGGGTTAGTTTTGGAAGTATCAAGATCAAGCGATGAAATAATCATTTTGCTATGATACTACCGCTATCTTTCTGTGCGAGCTCATTTATTGAGCGGAGCGAGCGAAGCGAGCGAAGCTCTTATACGTTGACTTTTATGCATTTCGTAATACGCAAACTCCTCCTAGACGGCTGAATCAATCGTTTTCAAATTTTGGGTGGTGATAAAGACCATATCGGTGAGTGCCAACATCTATATGGCGTTAAAAATAACCCTCAGGAATCCGCCCCACTGGGTCTCAAAGTTTCAATGTTATCCTTATGGAAGCAGTATTTGACACATAAACAAAGACATATGATCAGCTGTTAAATTTTGAATGCAGTAGATAAAGAAATAGCTGATGGCATTATTCCACAGATATTAGAACAGAAACGGTATGAATCATAAATATAATCAAATGACGCCACTAGCTTGAGGTCCGTGACGTAGGAAGTGTTAAAGGAAGTACTAAAGGTGAACAGTCTGGAGTGTGGAAACTGTTTATGACGATTAGATTTAGGTATCTGGATTCCTAAAATTATAAGGGAAGGGAGGAAAACGGGTCCGCGTCGTAGGAAGTGGTGAAGGAAGTACTAAAGGTGAGCAGTCTGGAGTGTGGAAACTGTTTATGACGATTAGATTTAGGTATCTGCATTCCTAAAATTATAAGGGAGGGAGGAAAACGGGTCCGCGTCGTAGGAAGTGGTGAAGGAAGTACTAAAGGTGAGCAGTCTGGAGTGTGGAAACTGTTTATGACGATTAGATTTAGGTATCTGCATTCCAAAAATTATAAGGGAAGGGAAGAAAACGGGTCCGCGACGTAGGAATGATGAAGGAAGTAATCAAGGCAAGCTGTCCGGAGTGTGGGAACTGTTTATGACGATTATATTAAGATATCTGCAATCATGAAATGCTACGAGAAGGGAGGATAACGGGTCCGTGACGTAGGAAGTGGCGAAGGAAGTAGTAGAGGCGAGCTGTCCGGAGTGTGGGAACTGTTTATGACGATTAGATTAAAGTATCTGCAATCATAAAATGCTATGGGAAGGGAGGTAAACAGGTCCGTTACGAAGGAAGTGGTGAAGGAAGTAGTAAATGCCAGCAGTCCGGAGTGTGGGAACTGTTTATGACGATTAGATTAAGATATCTGCAATCATAAAATGCTATAGGAAGGGAAGATGATGGGTCCGCGACATAGGAAGTTATGAAGGAAGTAGTCAAGGCAAGCTGTCCGGAGTGTGGGAACTGTTTATGACGATTAGATTAAGATATCTGCAATCATAAAATGCTATAGGAAGGGAGGATGATGGGTCCGCGACATAGGAAGTTATGAAGGAAGTAGTCAAGGCAAGCTGTCCGGAGTGTGGGAACTGTTTATGACGATTAGATTAAGGTATCTGCAATCATAAAATGCTATGGAAAGGGAGGGAAACAGGTCCGTGGCGTAGGAAGTGGCGAAGGAAGTAGTAAAGGCGAGCAGTCCGGAGTGTGGGAACTGCTTATGACGATTAAATTAAGGTATCTGCAATCATAAAATACTATGGGAAGGGAGGAAAACGGGTCCGGGAATTAGGGAGTGATGAAGGAAGTAGTCAAGGCGAGCTGTCCGGAGTGTGGGAACTGTTTATGACGATTAGATTTAGGTATCTGCATTCCTAAAATTATAAGGGAAGGGAGGAAAACGGGTCCGCGTCGTAGGAAGTGGTGAAGGAAGTACTAAAGGTGAGCAGTCTGGAGTGTGGAAACTGTTTATGACGATTAGATTTAGGTATCTGCATTCCTAAAATTATAAGGGAAGGGAGGAAAACGGGTCCGCGTCGTAGGAAGTGGTGAAGGAAGTACTAAAGTTGAGCAGTCTGGAGTGTGGAAACTGTTTATGACGATTATATTAAGATATCTGCAATCATGAAATGCTACGAGAAGGGAGGATAACGGGTCCGTGACGTAGGAAGTGGCGAAGGAAGTAGTAGAGGCGAGCTGTCCAGAGTGTGGGAACTGTTTATGACGATTAGATTAAAGTATCTGCAATCATAAAATGCTATGGAAAGGAAGGGAAACAGGTCCGTGGCGTAGGAAGTGACGAAGGAAGTAGTAAAGGCGAGCAGTCCGGAGTGTGGGAACTGTTTATGACGATTAGATTAAGATATCTGCAATCATAAAATGCTATGGGAAGGGAGGTAAACAGGTCCGTTACGAAGGAAGTGGTGAAGGAAGTAGTAAATGCCAGCAGTCCGGAGTGTGGGAACTGTTTATGACCATTAGATTAAGGTATTTAAAATCCTATAATGCTATGGGAAGGGATAGAAACAGGTCCGCGACGTAGGAAGTGGTGAAGGAAGTAGTAAAGGCGAGCAGTCCGGAGTGTGGGAACTGTTTATGACGATTAGATTAAGATATCTGCAATCATAAAATGCTATAGGAAGGGAGGATGATGGGTCCGCGACATAGGAAGTTATGAAGGAAATAGTCAAGGCAAGCTGTCCGGAGTGTGGGAACTGTTTATGACGATTAGATTAAGATATCTGCAATCATAAAATGCTATAGGATGGGAGGATGATGGGTCCGCGACATAGGAAGTTATGAAGGAAGTAGTCAAGGCAAGCTGTCCGGAGTGTGGGAACTGTTTATGACGATTAGATTAAGGTATCTGCAATCATAAAATGCTATGGAAAGGGAGGGAAACAGGTCCGTGGCGTAGGAAGTGGCGAAGGAAGTAGTAAAGGCGAGCAGTCCGGAGTGTGGGAACTGTTTATGACGATTAAATTAAGGTATCTGCAATCATAAAATACTATGGGAAGGGAGGAAAACGGGTCCGGGAAGTAGGGAGTGATGAAGGAAGTAGTCAAGGCGAGCTGTCCGGAGTGTGGGAACTGTTTATGACGATTAGATTAAGGTATCTGCAATCATAAAATGCTGTGGGAAGGGAGGAAAACAGGTACACGATGTAGGAAGTGGTGAAGGAAGTAGTCAAGGCAAGCTGTCCGGAGTGTGGGAACTGTTTAAGACGATTAGATCAAGGTAACTGCAATCCTAAAATGCTATGGGAAGGGAGGTAAACAGGTCCGTGACGTAGGAAGTGGTGAAGGAAGTAGTAAATGCGAGCAGTCTGGAGTGTGGGAACTGTTTATGACGATTAGACTAAGGGATCTGCAATTCTAAAATGCTATGGGAAGGGAGAGAAAAGGTCCGAGACGTATGAATCGGTGAAGGAATTAGTAAGGTAAGCAGTGTGGAGTGTGGGAACTGGAAACCATTTGTAGCAGTTAGATTAATGTATCTGCAATGCTGAAATGCTATGAGAATGGATGGAAGCATCCCCACGACATAGAAAATGGTGAAAGAAGTAGTAAAGGCTAGCAGTGCGGAGTGTAGGGAATGTTTGTGGCAATTAGATTAACGTATCTAAAATACTAAATTGCTATGTAAGTGATGAAAACCGGTCCACGATGTAGGAAAAGGCTTAGAAAGTAGTAAAGTATGAGCATAGTGTGAAAACCGTCTGTGGCAGTTAGATTGATGTATCTTTAATCCAAAAATGCTACGAGAAGGGAAGGAAACCAGTCTATGACGTAGTAAATGGTGAAGGAAGGCTTGCAGTGCAGAGTGTGGGAACTGTCTATGGCAATTACATTAATGTATCTGCAATCCTAAAATGCTATGGGAAGAGAGGGAAATAGGTCCACGACGTAGGGGGTGGTGAAGGAAGTAGTAAAGGTGTGCATGTTGAGTGTGGGAATGGATTAATGTATCTGCAATGCTAAAACGCAACGGGAAGAGACTGTAGACTGTAGGTTAAAATAATTTCGAAGCACGAATCGATACATATTTCAATACATGCAATCGTTTATAATAGAAATTTACAACTGAGTTGACACCAGCTGGTTATTACTCCATAGAGGAAAAAACTAATTTTACTCCATAGAGGATAAAAACTTTTTTACTCCATAGAGGATAAAAACTTTTTTACTTCCTAAAGAGTAAAAATGCTACTTTAGACTCTCAACGCGTGCATTAAAAACGACTGGTATTACTGAAACCATGACAAAAACAACAGTCTGACCAAAACAATATACTGTAATATAAACCCTTGATGACTCCGCTCAATTTTGTGGATGCATCTGCGAACGCCACCTAGTAAGTAAGTCATATTTGAAAGTAAAAATAGCTACAGCTCCTCAATATAAAATGGTATGTAGCTTAGCTGGTGTAGGGCACTTTATCCTTGTTAATGTTGTGTATTGCTTATTTCAGAAAAATTGAAATTCTCTCCTCGCCCGGTAGACAAAAAGCTTGAACTTGGTTCTGTGAAGAAGGTTTACTGCAAGGCACAAGGAGCTGATCCTCCAGTCATCAAATGGATGAAGGTAGGTTTCTTTTTCTAACAGCTGAAACTTTTTTAATTCAACTGAATGTCACCCTAACATCAAAATAACAATATAGTTTGAAATTATTAGAGCAGAAAGAATCATTGCTGACTAACTACTAAAGTAATCTAACATACATTTTAGTAGCAGGCCCGCAGTTTGCATTTGATGCACTAGAGAGAGATGGTTGTGCCCCTCTCCTACCTTTAGGGTAATTGTTTTTCCTCCTTGCGCCGCCAAACCAAAAACCTCTTGCGCCCCTGGGCCTGGGACCACTGTGCCCTATAAAAGCTGCCCTGTAAGAAGAAAAGTTTAGAGTTTTACAATATTTCCAGGAGGGGCAAGATACACTGTCGATGGATTTTCCTGAGCATGTGCAAGACATCAATGGAACTCTTCACTTCAACCAAGTGCAAGCTTCTGATAAGGGACGATATACCTGTGTAGCGACCAACTCCCAGGGCCTCATCAATGTTACCATCGACATTGATGTTGTCGGTATGTTATGAAATTTACGTTGAGAATCTTACATTTATTCGCTAGATAAACCACCAATAACGTATCCTGTATGTGGAATATCACTGGAAATTAGTGTATACTTACAGAAAACATTTGTTAGTAGATACAGTGGGATTCACCAAGAGATTACTAGCCATTCACACATTTAAATTAACCCATTTGACATATTTTTTGCATTCTAAGATATATTTGAAACTTTAAAAATAGCTTGATGTAACACACAAGATAAAATTCTTAAATTCACTTTCTAAACTATAAACTCAACTTTTTCAGTGACACCAAAGTTTGTGGTCCTGCCACAAAATCCAACAGATGCTTTTGAAGGTTACCCTGTAATCATGGACTGCATTGCTGAAGGAGACCCAAAACCAACGATTCAATGGGACAAAGACACTGTCATGAATGATTTTGATCAAAGAAGGTAATCTTGCTTTTTCTATTAAGTAGCCTCCCTTGAATATTTGGTTTTGAAAAGGGCCAAAAGATTTACAAATAAGAAAAATTGTTTAATTAGTGTACAAGCAGAGTCTGTAAACTCCTTATTAATAGACGTTACAGACAAAGAGGTCCAGCCGGATCTTTCATATTTGTAGTCTAAGGCATTTTGCAAACTCTTAGCACTTGCGCTTAGCACTTATGAAGTTCTCCCTATATGTATCAACTGTTGATGAATTTCAATAATAATTGACCCCCTATGGAAAATTAAATGACAGAATGTATAGCATCAATTTTTATATCATAAGTGTAAATGTGCAACACACAAAGACTGTATTCAATCACTGTTTTCCATTTGGGTGTGTTGGGATACTACAGATTGATTCTTTGTCATTGCAGGTTCCATGTGCTTGATAACGGCTCGCTGTTGATAGACGAAGTTCACTTATCAGATGAGGCCAAGTACGGTTGTACAGCTGGCAACAGTGGAGGTCTCAAGCGATATGAGGTCTCTCTTATTGTCAGAAGTGAGTAGATTTTGAGCAATAAAAGTAACTGTAAGAATTTGCTACTTAAAAATAAAAATGTAGTGTGCGACAGCTACAAACAACTCATTTCTAAAAGCAGCAAATAACAAGTTTGGTTCAACATAATAGTTGCACCACTACTTTTCAACACTGACATTGATGATCAGAGATGATAATGGGTTATGTTGATAGGGTTAAGCTGTAATTTTGTTTTGAAAAAAATAGGCTTACCTGAATATGAGTCCACTTCAGAACACTACCGTACAGCTCTTCAACTTAGAAATATTTTGAAAAATATTGTCAGTGACAGTGAAATATGTTAACTTTTGAACATATACGGTAATGTAAAATTTGTTGTGTTCCTTTTGCCAGAGTGGACTCCTATCTTATACAGGAAAGCCTGCCATCTTACAAATTATCTAAAAACCTGAGACCTTGTGCTCTATGTTAGGGCCTGCATCCTAAATCTTAAACAAGAACTCGCATGTGTCGGGTCTACCAAGAATCCAAGAAGGACTCTACAGAAGATGCTGATTGTTCATTTCTTTCACATACAATTTGTTTACTTGATAAGTTTATATACTATTATGATTGACAGATATGGATGGATATCGACCCGATGGAGCTATAGAGGGGCTGGAGGGAGACGGGTCAATGATGACTCGCACTGTCAGTATTACATTGAGTGCTGCGGCCGCGTACATGGTCCTGGTCATTGGACTGATGGCGTGGTGTCGCTACCGTAGACGCAAGCGCAAACAAGCCTATCTTGATGCCAACCCTGCATCACCTCTCACTGATTGTGAGTACCTTTGATGTTGAATTGGTCTTTGTATAGTTTTAGTGTAAAATATATTTTTAATACACTTTTTTAACAATTTAAATTTGTTGTTTTCATTGCTAGTGGAATTTTTAAAGATAATATTCTTAGCCCTGGTGTTGTTATATCAAACTTTTGTTTGTTAGCTCATTTAATTGACTGCCCAATCAAAAATGGCATTTGGGTCGTGAATCAACCTGGCTATAATTGATCCAGCAACCACTGATTTAAAAACGAGCATTGAACTACTCCGCTACACAAACAATTTGTTGTTACAATATAAATAAATTTATTGATACATCTAAATTTTAGGGGCTAAATAAACAGTAGGATTCTGAAGAGTTAACGTTGCAATAACAATGCTTGTACCAATAAATAATATCTTTGCAGTTTTACAAGACTGAAAAATCAAAACTCGTATCACTTAAGGCTCAAATAACTCGCTGTTTCAATAAGGAATTCAGTCTTACATAAGTTATGGTGAATGTTGTATAGGTTAGGTTTGTAGCGTACTATCCATAATTCAACTAGTTATTGATGTAGATTAACCACAACAAATACCAAGATACCGAAATTCACACTTTCTTTGTTGCAGTAGGTAAAGTCGAGGCAGGCAACAGCATAGATACAAAAGCTAAAGTGCGCAACGGAGATGTTCATACACCACGCAGTGACGGGGAAAACACAGGACAGTCTGCCGGGTCCAACCAGTCGAAGCGATCCAGAGGAAACTACGACAAACTCTCCTTCCCTCGCCAGGATATCCACAACATGATGCTGTTAGGTTTGTGTTACCTTGTTTAGGTTAGCTGTTGCATCCAGCAATACCTTTAAGATTAAGTTAAAAACAGTTCTGAGAAGATATAAATGTTTAGTTTGAAGTACAGTAGTTTAATGACAAAAGTTGTTCTGAAAAACTTATATGTATCAGAGAAACGCTGGTTAATAAAGAAATTTTTATTTATTTATTTAGCAAAAGCATTTGCAGACGAATGTTGCTCAAAACACAAATTTAATGTAGCCTTCATGGATAATCTTGTCAAACATAAGTACGCTTTTTAATTTGGACTATTTATTGATTATGTCTATACATTCATTAACCCATTATTGAAGAACTCCTGCTTATGGTAATCCCTTAAAACACATTTATTGATTACTTTTGGCGTCAAATTGGTATTGTCCTTAGCATATACAAGATTAAATATCATACCTGCCACTACCAAGTTACCTGTAGTCTTTGGGGGAAGATGACTGCAATCATTGACTCTTGAATAGGTACCAAAGTAGACATCCTAGCAATCTATATGGATAAAAACTTTTTTTACAAATAATAAAGTTGAGATGGAGCCACTGACGTGTGTGTGAGTAAAAGATATTATGAGTCCTCCATTTAGTTTAGCTTTGACAACAATTTGGTGTATTCATCAATCTCTATCAATACAACCCGTTGAACTAAACCTTGTTTTGCAGGTAATGGAGAGTTTGGTGAAGTTTACCTGGCCCAAGCCAAGGGTCTGACCAGCAGCAAGGAGGCAGACACTGTGGTGATGGTGAAGGCTCTACAACACACAAGAGACGAGGCTTCATTGCAGGAGTTCAAGCGACAACTGGACATGTTCTCTCGCCTGGACCACACCAATGTCGCCAAACTTGTCGGTCTGTGTAATGACCAGGAGCCTCACTACATGATCCTTCAGTACTCCGATTGGGTTAGTCTCAATTCTTTGTTGATATCTGATCATACTTCCACTATGGAATTTAGAAACCATACTGTATAGTCATTTTACTCCTAATTATTATAAAGGAAAATCAATTATAAACAAGTTAATTGAAAAAGTGCTGTTTGTTGTTGTTGTTTTGCATAAATTGATTTGTACATAGTTGACAAGTTGGACTATATTGAAAGTTTCTCACTTTCTGTTTTCCATTTCCTAAAGGATTGATAACTGAGTTATGTTTAGAAAGTCATTCAATCTTACAATATGTATTAGGAGAAGGGATTTTTAAGATTTATATTTTAAGTATATGCTTGTATACAATACTAAGGTATTTTAAAGGGATTCTAGATTCAAACAGTTACCACCTTGTATATTTTAAAAATACATCTGTACCATCCGGGTAAATGTTTTGAGTGATCAAAATGTAAGTTAAAGAAAATATTATGTCAACTGAAATAGTGCCAATCTAGATGTTTCTATGCTGGAGTTAAACTTTTTCCTAGTTACCACTTTTAATGCTAACTTACTAGCAACCCTTAAAAGTTAAAACCCTTCCGAAAAGATTTTTTAGCAGAAAATCAAGACTTACTTGGTTTAGTCAAGCTGTTTAAAAACTAAAGAAGATTTAGTTCAGATCAGAATGTTTTACACAAATATTTTTAAGACTTGTTGAACTTAAATAGAATATTCAATTGTCCATTTTACTTCAAATAACATAGTGAGAAATTAACTTTATTTTCTAGAACTATCAGTTTTCATGAGTAATAAAAATAATAGACTGAGGCACTTTTCCCTATTAAGTAATAAATTGACCCCTCATCACATCCCTAGTAGGTGGAAAACTGTTTATTTATGCATTCTTAAATTGTTTCTAGGGTGACCTGAAGCAGTTTTTGGTTGCAACAAGGAAAGAGGGAACAGCGGCTAAGCCTCGACCCACTCCCCTGACTGTAGTCCAGAACTTGTCCTTGGTGCAGCAGCTGGCCTTAGGCCTAGAGCACCTGGCCAATCATCGGCTGGTACACAAGGACGTGGCTGCTCGGAACTGTCTCATAGCTAGCGACTTGACTGTCAAACTCTCTCTGTCTGCTCTCTGCAAAGACACTTACAGCAAGGAGTACTACAGACATCGCAACCAGGTAAACTAGAGTAACAATCCAGCCTGTGAAATAGTCTGGCACGAGGGAGTAATTTGATGTAAAGTTTCACTTTGAAATGATCGATTAGTTATGAAACCTAGGCAATTATGTTACTGGTGTTTTCAAGAGCTTCAAGAGAATATCATCCCATCCCGCAAACATTTTGTTTTGAAAATATATATTGTGCTAAAGACAATAAAAGTAAAAACAGGAACTTCTTTGTTCGGTATATTTCTGAAGCTATAAGGGCTATTATGTTTTAATTATTAGTTATGTCTAAATGGTTGAACTAACAGAACACTGACGTCAAGTGAATTCAAAGACTTATAAGTTTTAAAATGCTCTCTCAGCCTGTACAACATTTCCAGATTCTGAAACTCAAAAAGGGTAATGTGTTACCTTCAAACTCGATGAACCGTTAGTACATGTCCACCTTATGATGTATACATCTTTTAACAACAATAATTTTCCAGCTGATTCCACTGCGGTGGATGCCACTAGAAGCTGTGGCGGAGGACGACTTCTCTTGCAAGTCAGATGTCTACTCGTTTGCCGTAACAGTCTGGGAGATCTTTAGCCGAGGGGAGCTGCCCATGAGCAAGATGAGTGACCGTGAGGTCCTTACAGCGCTAGAGACGGGAGAGTTACGATGGAAGCCTCACAAGTCAATGCCCGAGGGACTCCGCACACTGTTGGCCAAGTGTTGGCAGCCGAGTCCACGTGACCGACCTACCTTCTCTCAAGTGGCAGTCACTGTCAGTGATCCTGCACTAGTCACTTCAGTATCGTGAAAATCAACTTAAAACCTTTCTTAAGAATAATGTAACATAGAACTTAAGGGCTTAGGTTTTAATGGTTTTAGGGTAGCAAGCTTACCTTAACGAGAAAGAGTCCACTCCCACACAAGAAACACAAAAAAAAACTTTACACTGAACTCAAAAATTATTTTCACTTTTTGAAATCTCTTCAAACAATAATTTACACTAATACTGTTAACTCACAAGGTGGTAAATATACATAAAATATGGTAAGTGGTGATGGATTTCGATTGAACACTCCAATCGTCATCAGATCCCATAGGCGAAATCTCTTCCCAACTCAAATGTATCTTAGTTGTTATCAGTGAAGGGGCAGGATTTTGTGGATATTGTGAGGAGAGGACTATTTCTCATTCAGATAAACTTACTACAACACAAAATGTTTTAAAGTTTTCTAACTATACGTTTTCAGGCAAAATCTTTCAACCACCATTTCCCCTAAACCAGCTAATTTAGAAACTGACAACCAATATAATTTTTATAAAAACATCAAAGAACCAAAATACTCACCTTAGCAAAGATTTGGTTTTTCAACGTGTAACATGAAAGATCTCTTATTGTAGATTTTAGTTCTAGATTGTTCTGATTTCAATCCTTGTTGTTTCAACGTTATAATCGATATCTGTGATTTAAATGTTTTTTACCATCCAAACCTAAACAAACATGTAAAAGCATGGCAATACTCTCTAGATTGCTTTTGACTCCACATACTCTTGCACTGCCATCCTCAACAGACTGTTAGAGACAAACTTCTTTTTTAAGCCACGCCTTAAAACCACAAAGACAACCCAATTCATTGTGATGGATTTGCTATCTGAACACAAAAAAAATATTATTTTTTATTTCTTTTTTTTAATACGTTTGGACATTTTTTCCTGTACTGTATTTCTAATTCGTGAAACTAAAGATATAATTTTTTGAAAGTAAAGTCTATTTGATCAAATGCATTTCTGCAAGTCAGTACATTGATCTTTATTGTTTGAAAATGAGTTTTAATTATTAATCTTTTTTAACTGTGTGTTAACACCTACCTGATTTTTAACTGACTTCAAATTTGTCCTCTACTTTGATTTTCAAATCAATAATGATTTATTATTCTAGTTGTTCTATTATCTTATTATGTTCTTTGTATGTACAATTGTAAATATCTATTTAAGAAAAGTACCAAATGCATTTATTGTATATTAATTTAAATCTAATGTAAAAATTAGTGTTGTGTCCATAACTGTAAGTTGTTTACAGTTATATTGTGTAGACTAATTTGTAGTACTTAATATTTACCTAAATTTGTCTTTGAAACAAGAATGCTAGATGACTTTATCTCAGTAAAATTTGATTTATTAGATTTTATTTAGCATTCCCTAGAATAATAATTATTTAAAGCTAGAGAAATTAATAAAACATAGTACAATTACATGTTTTTTTTTCTTATTAAAAAATATATAATTTAAGTGTGTTAAATATTTGTTCAATTGCTACATAATTTGACTTGAGTTTTCACTGGATAAAAATATGTTCACACCATAAGATTTGGGTTTTTATTCAAAACGGCTTTTAGCATTATTTAAGTTAATTAACACTAAAATAGAAGGAAGTGCCCTTCAGTAATAAAATAGCAATATAAATATATCTTTCATAAAAAATGTTTACATACTGAATGTTGAAATAATAATGTCACTCAGTAAATGTATTACCCTGTTTATAAATAAAATTTAAGATGTGTTTAATTTGGGATACAGTATATTGAAGTTTTTAATACAAAGTATTTTAACTATGTAAATATATGAATTAAAAAAAAATATGTTCTCGTTAAGTACTTAACTTCTGTACCACATTTTTGTAAACTGTAAAGTTTGATATGCTGGTAAGGTAGTCAATATAGTTAATATTGTAGTGTGTAGTTTAGTAGTTTGGTATCTGTGATTGTGACTCATGTAGTCCCTATGTTATATGTTAAGTATATATTCTAGTCAGTAGCACTACTTTGGAATCTATCCAACCTAAAAAGTCCTTATTCTCGGGGAACATAAGAATATTTTGTTGAAATGTGTAAATAATATTTTAAACCCTTAAATGACATTGTAGATAGTTTCAAAATCGTTTGTGTAAACGGCTGTTCATCGTTTTATCCTAGTGAATGAATATTAGCTAACACATTTTGTAAGTGTTCCATTGGACTATCTTTGTTTACTTTTATATTCTTTTATACAAACATTATATAAGCAAATACACATGATTGTTTATAACTGAATTTTGCTTGCTTTATTCCACTTTATTTATCCTAATGGTTAATTGTTAGTTACGTTGAGAGAGATTTTTTTTATGTATATAAGGATGAATTTTGAATTGAACTTGTGTTTCTGGTTTGAGGGTTTATTAGAAAAACTCCTCGTACAACAGTCCTAAACAACAACCACTCCAGTCCAAGGACAACTCCTCATGAATCAAACTTCATGCTACTATCTTAATAAAATTAGAGCATTAGGTAATATAAAAACAAATTGAATTCATAATATTATTTATAACAGTGGTTGAATGATATGAGGCAGAATTTCCACGCAGTCACCTTTAAATTGGTACCTGAAAACAAAGTAAAGAAAAAAATTTTTAAAATAAATTTACTGTCGTCTAGATATATATTCTCTACTAGCAGAGTACCCGTCCTTCGTACGGGATTGGCATATAAGTATGAAAAGCTTATTGCAGTTATGGGAGAGGACACGGTTTTTGGTTCTTTTAGTTTATACGGTATGTTATAACATAGCACATCTACCATAGCCATAATGTTCTACTTCTGCACCTAAACCATAGCAAAAAAGTAAAGTTCTCATTGCGTACCACACCTTTTTGTTGCTAGTTGGTTCAAATTAGCTGTGTCATAAATGCAAAAAAATAATAGTGCTTCACCCTGATGGTAGTAAACCTTATAAATTGTTCATGCTATTTAATATCATAAAACCAAATCTTGCAGTTGAAACAGCTGAAAACATTTTTAATTCCTTTTAAATATGAATACTTATGAGGTTAACATGGGAAACTCCAGAGCCAGAGCCACTGGGGCGGAGCCCAAAAAGATTTTTGAGATAAGAATACGTCTATATGTTAATTGGGAATGTGAGCTATTATCATACCAAATTTCAACCCTGTTGGTATAGTATTTTTTGCGTTTACTTGTCACAAACATCCATCCATTCATACATCCAAACTTTATCACTTATAATATTAGTAGGATTCAGTACCCCAACATGCGTGGTATGTAAGCTGAATCAACATTTTACTTATTTTTAACTTTGAAGGTACCGGTATTATAAACTTTATTTATTTATATTACCCGTACATAGAATATTTTTGAAGGATAAATCTTTTAAGCTACAACATGTTTTACACTAGTGATGATTTTCAATATTTAACTTATAACTGTTTATTTTGATAGAAACCTTAAAAAATCTGTATATTTACTCATTATTTTATGCATACTGAATTCAGCGTTTCCTGATTTTCATAGCCACCAAACACCTAACTTTTATAAAGATGTTTTCACTTAGTTTTGTTTTATAAAAAAAACCACAAACTTGTGTACAATAAAATGTAACAATTATATAGTCCCCCATTTGTCATTGGGTATTAACTACCTATGCTTCCCAACAAGTAGGCGTTAAGCCACGTTTACATGAAGCCAGTTGGCGGGCAGATTACCTCAGGTAACTTGAAATACTTTAAAGCAAGTAACCTGTGTTCGTTACTGGCCTCGTATAACTTTGGTATTAGTTTACTCCAAAAAGCCGCATTAACACGAAACCAGGCAAGTTAGTTAAATTGAAATACAATAGAGGCATGTAACCTGCCTGCCTGCTGGCCTCGTCACAACCCAGCTTAAAGACTAAACGTAAATGTCATTTGCGTATTTAAAGACAAAATAAAAATAAATTTACAGATTTTAATTTTACTAGCATCATTGATTGTACAATGTAAGTGGCAGAGGATCAAGTTACTTACTGGTAGTATATGGTTAAGTCAGTGTTGAGGAGGTTCAATTCCGCTACTGGTACTCCGCGGCCGGCTAGGGTGGGGGCGAACTCGTCAACTGGGGCGAGTTCACCAGACGACCCGATCACCATACACAGGTCGGCCACACGCAATACATCCTCTAACGACAGAGTGCATCCAATTATGGTAACAATATGAGGGTTTTTCAGATGGACAAATAAAACTTAATTGATAACCATCATATTTTGAATTTTTGAACTCCATGGATTTAGTAATTTAATTATGCCTATTTTTATCTTGTTATTTTCTAATATTATGAACATACAATTTCAAATTAGGATCCAAAACTCTTTCGGTGGATACACACAGTGAATGGCCTGATTTAAGGTGCAGCTAAAAAATAACCTAGGCCTACTTCGACTCATTAAATTCTACCAGAGCCATCCACCATTTCTCTATACAGGCAAGGTAATTCCTAGTAAATGATTTGACCCTCTATGGTACTGCCCCGCAGGACAGATAGCGCATTGAACCATTTGAACATTTAATCAGATATAGTATTTCACTGCACTAACAACATTGAACAACCAAAAACCAAGACCAAACTAATGCATAAAAGTTCCCTTACACCTTGTAACATACCACAATTGAAATAACATGTACCGATTGATTTTATCACTTAATTTCACATATGGTAGATAGAAGGTAGATGCAATATTGTAATAAGTAACATTCTTCACCAACACTTTGGTTAGGAAATACGATGATGCAAACTGAATAAAACACAGTATACAAAGAACCTGAGGATATGATTACCAGCTTGGTAGATGACTTGTTTAGAGATGCTTTCTCCTTGGAACAAGATGTGAGGTCTCAATCTACCTCCGCACTCACAGTGTGGTAGAACGTCTTCCTCTACCTGGGTGTAGTCGTGTGCGTTGGGGTCTCTAAGTAACCACAGTAAAATATTAATGTTTTATCAAAAACCATTAGCTGGGAATATTGTAAGAAGATTCTGTTCTGTAAACCTAACAAAAAATATGTTTTCCAATAACTAATCATCATTTTTAAAATATCAATATCAAAAGAACATGTTCTGTATATTTCACAATTTCTTTTATATCTAGAAATTTGGGGCTTATCCTATTATCGCATAAACTTCCCAAGATCATGTATCAACAACCGAAAAAGGACGATTCAGTTAACGACAGCCAATAGTCAAATAGTTTAAACAGTTTTGGCCATGTCATAAACATTTAACCTCACTTTTGACTCTTGGGCAAAATAATTGCTGTTATACGTGTTTTAGACATGCTTAAGTAATTTTTCTATTCAAATATGTATAACTGTTCCCTTATAAATATAGAGAGGTTCTTAATTTGTAAGAAGAATTTTATTAGATTTTAGAATGGGAAATGGCCTAATTAATTTTCTTTTCAGAAAAAAAAAACTGAATAGCCAATGAAGCTCACTTAAGTTCAGAAATAATGTGTAGAAGGGATAAACTATGTAATACTAAATTGAACTTTATATGCCAGGGTCTAAAATGATCCCTTAATGCCCAAACTGTACAGTATTTAAAGCCGAACACAATAATGACTTAAGCTGTTGGCAGCACCTAGTGCCCAGGTTAATCATTTCTCCTTCTTGAGCTTAAAAAATTTTTCACTTTTGATTTCATGAATGTAAAGTTTTTGAATTGTATCAAAATAGGAAATTGTTGAAAAATATTCACCCTTTACCAGCCAGGGAGGGCCACATAGGTTGGTTTCTGTTCTCCAAGACTTTTCCACACTTCAGACATCTGGTTTTGAACAAGGAACCACAAACCTCGATGACGTTCTGTGAACCAGCTTGAATGTGAAGTCCGTCAAAGTTAGTAGTGATGATGGTCAAGTTACGTCCTTTACCCTCTGTCCGCAAATGTTCCTCGTAGTCGGCCAGTACTTTGTGAGCCTTTAAGAATTATAAATACCTGTTGTTAGAGACTACTCTCTTTGTTAGAATTGAATGTAAACCAAGATTGTGTAAAAGTTCTCTAGATTAATAAATAATAATAAAAAATAATAAATAATTTATGTTTTATGAGGTATTATATTGGCACCAAAATATCAATAAATATTACAAAAAAAAGTGATAACATTTTTCTGCATATAGTAATCCCATTAATTACACTTATAGCAGACTAGTTTTGACGCCAAATTAGTTCCATCTTCCGGCTATACATTGACATATAAACATGTGTCAATTGAGCAGTCTTAGCAGATTATAGTTTCTGTTTGGATATTTCAAATATTTTCTTTTATTACACTACTAATTTCAACTCACAGCATTAGGACCAGCTTTCAGAATACTCTCTCTTCTGTAGTGTGTGAACTGCCACACTAGGAACGGTAAGTTCTCAAAGGTATAGTCATTGTCGAGGTCGGTCGCATAGAAGTTGCGCCACGGACCCCAGGCTTCCGAGTAGGCAGGCACCCCTCGCGAGATCCCAGCACCTGTGATAACCACTAAGTGTTTGGCCTCGCGTAAAAGTGTGCGGAAACCTTCGGTGTCATTTGAAGGAGGGAACTGCTGAAACAGAAATGTATATAAAAAATATTGAGAAATAACTAAACAAAGCTAGAGTAAAGCCTCCATTGACCATTGCCCATGGAACTGGAACTATGATATGTAACTAGAATTTGAATATATGGGTAATAGAAATTCCTTTATAAATGGTTACATTATAGAAGATTACAACAATTAGCCCTATAGTGAATATCAACTAAACACACATTTTCGAGATGAAGGACAACGGGTATCGACACCAAAAGGATTGACCATTAACCTAGGTTCTACTGTAACCTAACCCTTTTTCATGTGAAATTTAATTACAAACTTAAAAAAATATTTCTTACAGTTATTAACTTTTTTAACCTATAGTTTTATTAATTAATATTAAGTTATTACTTTAATTAATTACAATGGAAAGAACAGTCTGAAACAGAACGTACAAACACAAAACTGAACCGCGGAACATTGCAATGTTGATTGAAACACTAATGTCATCTGACACAGTTAATTTTAAATAATAGCTACAACTGATAACAGAAAATGGACTGTCCTCATTCTCCCACACATGACTAAGATTATAAGTTTGCAAAATTAATAGTAAATGAAAAAAATGATTGTGTGTGGTAGTAAACAAAGATAAATGTTAATTAAAGGAAAATATTATAATATGATAAAGTAATGAAATCCTGTATTACTATAGGCTTACTGCCTACAATATGTGTTATTTTTTCTATATACCGTAGTACAAAGTTGCTTACATCTATACAAGGGTCAAGACATGAGGATAAAATGAAGAAGATAAAACGTTATTACTAAGGCTAGAATGTAGTATATTTCATTTCAAGGAGCAAAAGTGGGTCTTTTTGGTACACAACCGCGGTCAAGCTTGGAAATATGATTAAGTACAAAAAAATACACTATTGCTCCATGTGATGAACACATTTTCATCATACTGTGGAAATAACCTTTAAAATGTTACAAAATTAGACCACATAATTTGAGGTTATACAAAGTCGTCATCAATATTTATATTTTTATTGTTTACACACATAACTTAAAATATCCTGTCTAGCAGCGTTTTCATAATGTACAAATACAATTAGCAGGGATGATGTCGATTCCGACCCGTGGGGCCTGGGTTACAAACTAGTAACCCAAAAACTCACCACTCGCTCTCCACCTTCCGTCATGGAGGGGGCCGCTATGGAGAGGGTCGTCAAGTCCCTTTTTCCGGATCATATTCTGCGCCCACTGCGTGAGTTTGAGATGATGGACGATGTCCCACTCTTCACTCATGAGGAGCTGGAGACTGCCGTTTTATCCCTAAAAAACAACAAGGCTCCTGGACCTGATGGGGTACCTGGCGAGGCTCTTAAGAAGGTTTTTTCAATCAATCCCCTGATTCTTCTGAGCATGTACAACGCCTGCCTGGCAGAGGGGGTATTTCCGTTGTGCTGGAAAAAAGCTAGGCTCGTGCTCGTAGGGAAGGGGAAAGGAGACCCAGAATTGCCATCCTCTTACAGACCCCTTTGCATGTTGGATACGGCTGGGAAAGTCCTAGAGAAGTTGATCCGTTCCCGACTGAATTCAGCCGTGGTGGCTGCGGGGGACCTGAGCCCTCGCCAATACGGCTTCAGGAAGGGGCGATCAACGGTCGACGCTATTGAGGAGGTGAAGCAAGCCGTGATGAGAGCTGAGGATTTTAATCACTACTCTCGTAGGGTTGTGCTGCTCGTTACACTCGATGTGCGAAACGCATTTAATTCTGCAAGATGGTGCGATATGCTGGACGCTCTGGAGAACAACTTCCACGTCCCGGCATACCTCATGCGCATTTTAGAGGATTACCTCCGGTTCCGCCTCCTCATGTATGATACTACAGAAGGCCCGCGGACGATGAGTGTCACTTCTGGTGCTGCCCAAGGTTCCATACTCGGCCCGGACCTCTGGAACGTTGCCTACGACAGCCTCCTTAGGTCTGAAATGCCTGAAGAAACCGTTTTAGTTGGGTACGCAGATGACATTGCAGCTTTAATAGCTGCTCGTAGTGTTGAGCTGGCCCAGCTAAAATTAAACCGAGTCATGCGAACTATAAACGCATGGATGGCAGATCACGGTCTCTCACTCGCGCTGAACAAAACTGAGATCGTGATTCTGACCAAAAAGCGGATTGACACCATTGTGCCGTTGAGGGTGGGGGACGTCGAAGTCCAGTCCGTTCGTGCCGCCAAGTATCTTGGTGTCATGGTGGACTCTAAGCTTAGCTGGCGGGACCAGATATTCCGAACGGCGGACAAGGCCGCTAAGGTGATCTCTTCTCTTAGCCGGTTAATGGCCAATGTCGGAGGTCCTCGTTCCAGTCGCAGAAGGCTGTTGATGTCTACGGTTCAGTCTGTGCTCCTGTATGGTGCGGAGGTGTGGGCAGATGCGCTCAATAAGGAGGTGTATAGGATGCGGCTTGCCAGAGTGCAGCGTCAGGCAGCACTCAGGGTAGCATCCGCCTACCGAACAGTGTCTGAACCTGCCATCTTGGTGGTTGCTGGAGTAATCCCCGTCAAACTTTTGGCGGCGGAGAGGAAAGCGATTTATCAGCGGCGTGGAGAGGACCATGCAAAAATGGAGGAGCGCAACCGCACCTACCAGCTCTGGCAGGAGAGCTGGGAACAGGAGTCGCGGGGACGCTGGACCAGGAGACTGATTCAGCAAGTCCAACCATGGGTTGACCGACGGTATGGTGAGGTGGACTATTACCTTACCGAGTTTCTGACAGGTCACGGGTTTTTTCGGTCGTACCTGTAAAAAACCGTGTCACCCGATTGCATCTACTGCCCAGGCACTCCCGACGACGCGGAGCACACCTTCTTCCGCTGCCAGCGTTGGGAAGGTTCCCGCCTGGAGGCTGAACAACATGTAGGGCAGTTGTTGGTGGACACGGTCATTCCGATGATGACGGAGGGTGAGGACAATTGGACCTGTATGTCACATTTCGTCCAGGATATTCTTTGCACAAAGAAGCTAGAGCTTGACCGAGATGCAGTCTAGGTCATAAAGAAATTGAATGCCAGAAACGGCGCGAGCCCTGAGGGCTTAGGTCACACGTTGACCTGACCTGAAGTAATGTGACAAACAATCCCAGGTCTGTGTCCAACAGAGTAGAGGGGGTTTTTTAGTGAGTAGTCTGACAAGCTCAGGAGTCTCACACTACAGGCTGGCTACCTGTGTGCGTAAAAGCATTTTTACCTCCTCTCCCTTAAAAACAAAAACAAAAAAAAATACAATTAGCAGTAATGCTTCGATTATTGGAAGGATCCTCCATTTCCATCATCTTCCTCAACTCATATAACACAAAATCGGAGCACCTTCATCCATGTTGTTTTATCTTAACAATTTATCATTAAACTAGTAAACAACATTTATAATGGGCCATAAACAAATTTTGAGTTTAGCAAACCAAAAAATTGCCATATGTTTTTTCTGTTCCCTATTTGAAGTTACCCATAAACAATGATTTTGCGGACGATTTAGAGAACTAATAACATCTGTTTCTGGAGAGTATGATGAAAAAAATAATAATACATACATTTATTTCACCTCCATGTGCATAGTAATCCCTGACAAACATATAGTATGATTATTATCTAAAAATGACAAAATAAAATAAGCTTGACGATTGTGTCTGACAAAGAAATGAAAACTTACTAGAGGCCTTTCTTGCACAATACCTTTTCAAAGATGTTTGACTTGGGGGCTTCAACTATCATTATTTTCATTATTAAAGTAACTCTCACTTTTTTCACAAAATAAATACTAGTTTTTGTGCAAACGCAGTTACAATAGCAGTTAAAATAGATATTTCTATTTTAAAACAGAATACATATTGGATTGTTTATTGGATAGCACTAACAGGTTTAATAGTGTTTAAACAAAACTTTACTTTTCACAGAAATAAAGCTAGAGCCACCTTAAGGCCCACCTAATGTTTCAAAAATGAACGCCACAATTAAATAATTTTAGTGTTTAGCTTTTGCTATTTTTGAAATCTAGCTTTTCTGCATGAGCTTAGCTGTGGTATGGATACAAAGTTATGTTTGATAAATTTAAACGACTCAGAAACAGACTGTTTCACAAGACTTTTTTTAAGAAGTGATGAAACTTTGTAGTCATCTAGAATGCTAATTTCCATCTTTGCACTTCAAAATGTCACATTATCCCTGTAGGGTTTGAATAATCTTTGAATTACTTAATTCCAAGCAAGTTTTAATGTCTTCAACATATACGTTTGATAGAAAATAAACAAAATATGACTTAGTTATCATACATATTTTTCATTAGTTAAATGATTGTTCGACAAGATATTAAAACATGCCATTTGTATAAGAATTAGCCAAATAATGGTTGACATGTCAATAAACGCTAAAGGAGTTAAAAGAGTCAGATCAATAAACCTATTTGTCTTCATTACATGAGGTCTTAATTCTGGCATAAGTTATTTTTAGATCTTGGGTGGTGGGTGGCATGAAGGGGAGAGGGATGAGCACAGAAAATACAAAGACGTTACCATGGGGATGGATAAATAACCACACAGTTATTGGTTTTCAATAACAACAGTGGCTGTTTTAGTATTATTTAATTATGATTTCCATATATTAAAAACTTCCTCTGGTGAAAATAATCCTGTGATTTTTCATTGTTGCGAAATATGGTCTTTGTGTCACCACATTGGTGAAATAAAAATGTGCCTAAAGAAAATAATGAGACAGTGATTGAACTGAACGATGTTGCTGGTTTTTAATATTTGGAATGAAAAGTTAATCTGAAAAATGAAATAGTTTGAGCCAATGGATGAATGCGTGAAATGTTTACGATGAACACCATTGTTGTAAAGGATTCCGATCTGGAGATCAACGCTTACCTAAACAGTCTGAGTCTTCATCAGTCCTTCGAAGAAGATGACAGCGAAGACGATGAATTTTGTTAGTATATTTTAGGTCTGGTACAAAAAGTCTATTCATATTAAAATTATTTATCAAATACATAATATTTAGAGAAATACCATATTCTTGAAGACTAGTTTATATTGCTTCTGTAATGGTAAAGATAACCACATATGTCCAAACAGTACATACCGAATACACATTACGTTGTAATGTTAGTTTAGTTTTGTATAGTATCTAACATAATACCACATTTTTTTTGTAAGATTTTCTTTTAAAAAAGTGTATCAGTGGAGAATGATTTTTTTTAATTTTTTCTTGAAGTCTATAATACTTCAAGTAAATAAAATATAATTTTGTAAATTTGCTGTATAACTCAGTTTTTTTCCATAATATTGTGAAAATTTATATAAAACTTATGTATTTGAATATAAATTACAGCACATCCAAACAGAACAAGGAAGTAAAAAAATTGAATACTAGTCAAAAATAGATAACAGGCTGGTAGCGTTTCTTTTTATTTGTTTTATTTGTATTTTTAGTGAGTATGTGCAGTAGCAGTTTTTCATTAGGAGAATGCTCCAAACCCTGGTCTAGTTATAGTTGTAAAGGTAAAGTAAAAGTCAATTATAGACCGAACAAGATACAGTAGCATCATTATTCATTGATGACCCGATGACAAATTACATATTTCAGTCCAGAATCTACAGCAGTTATGATTGGATCAGCAAACTTCAGATTTTAAGGCAAAAAATCAGAAAATGAAACAAAATAAATTAATTAAAAATTCTTTAAAAATTTGTATAATGTGAACCTATGGCTGATGTAAAAGCAGGTAACAAGAGACCATCCTGACTTTGAAAATAACAGGATGAGTTCTTCTAAAAAATGATTTTGAAAGGTTTAAACAGATGTTCGCAATAATGTTAAACAAATAGAAATAATACCTCGCCAGTAAGTAGGGCCTATTTTTAAGCAGGAGTGACATATTTCACTTGTTAGATATTATAAAAATTGTTTTGCTTATAAATGTTACTTATGAGTTTTGATTTAAAATCTTGTAGATTGCAAAGCACTTGTTTCTAAATGAACTAAAATTTGAACGACTTCCAAACAACATATATACATTTTTACTTTTTTAGATACCACAAACCCCTCGGGCTCAGTGCTACAACCCACCACCAACCCTTACAACAAGCAGAGGAAGATTGCTGAAGCTAATGAAACCTTGTTTGCAGAAGAAGTGACTCCCAAGTCTCCTCAAAAAGTTAAATTCAATAAAGTTGAAAAAAGAATATGCTACGACTATTTTGGCAGCAGCTTCGAATCTGGTAACGATTACTACATTTCTCATATTACTACTAAATAAAACTTTTGTTACTGATAGGAATACTTACTAGTTGTACTGTTTTTTATTCAGTACGTAATCGACAAAAACATTGGCTTTGCATGGAGTAGATTTTCATCCCAAAATTGACTACAACCTTAATATATGAATGGAATGTCTCTGTCACAGTAGTGGGTATAATAAAATAATAACTAGCATAGTAACTAGCAGACTCATTTTCTGCTATAATTGATTCTGGCTTTAAAATAAATTAACTTAAGTTATTTCAACATTTTTGTTAAATTTCAATTAATTGAGACATTTTCAAATGATATTTTGTTAAATTGTGTATGACATGAATGGAGCATTGAATTAATTTTCAGATTCAATTAAATCTTATGAGGATGAAGAAAGTGAGGAGACTTTGCAGCAAAACATTGCAAAGCAAAAGAACGAACAAACCAGTTTGGATGTGAGAGGAACTCATCTTCAGCCGAGAACTCCAGCGAGCAAAGTAGTCGTAACAGTAACTCCCAGGACAGAAGAAGAACAAGCAAACTCTGAATCCGAAAGTGAAGACGTTTGTGTCGGAACGATTAGAAAACCAGAGGAGGATGAACAAACTAAAGAAAAAGAGGATATAGAAAATAGTAGTAATAGTGTGGTTAATGAACACCATGATGGTTCGTACATCACAGAAGAGAAACCGATACCTGTAGAGGAAAAGGGGACTCCAGTTAAGGATACAAAAATTGAAAATTCTCACAAAAATAATAAACAATCAAAAACTCAAGACTTGCATAAAAGTAATGTAGTGCCCAAAAAGGTTGAGAATAGCAATAATGTAGCAACCAGGAAAGTTGAGCATAGAGACAATTTAGCAACCAAGAAAATTGAGAGTGGTAGTAAAGTAGTGGCAAAGAAAATTGAGAATAATAACAATTCATACAAGAAAATTGAGAATGGCAACAGCACAGTAGGTAAGAAAGTTGAGAACAGCGACAATGCAGTTGCAAAGAAAGTTGAAGATGGCGACAACATGGGGGCAAAAAAAGTTGAAAAAGTTAAAGACAAAGCTGAAGAGTTAGTATTTCTAGAGTTAGAGCAGCCAAGTACAAAATGTCCAGAAGGTTTAAACGAAGATTCCGATTTTTATCCTTGCTTTGCGAACCATTCTGGAATAACGATAAGAATCACTGGAGCAGACAGTATAGAATCTGTGGACTCCGAAAGCACCGATAATGAAGTACAAATAGAAGAGAACTTCATGAGTAGTTTATACAATATAGTTGAGTTCAGACCAGATAACAAAACTTTTGTTTCGAAAACATACCAGAAAAGCAGAGTAAAAGAAACTACTTACCAACTATCTAATGAAACATTCATTTTGAAAGGCACAAAAAGTACACAAAATGTCAGATCACCCAAATCCACCCAAAAAGATGCAGGACCCTACCAAAGGAATTATAAAAAGGAAGAGAGCAAAAGAGAACTCGCTGGGACAAAGCCAAAACCAGAAAAGACTGATCATACAGTCCCACATAGGGCTCAGAAAGAAACTAAGGTTGCAGTAAAACCAAAACAGTTGAGCTTCAAATCAAAATTAGAGGAAGATTCGGACAAGACTGAAGAGTGTTGTGTCATAAGGAAAGCAAGACCCAAGAGTTGTGTCGAGAAGGAATCAGTGAAAGTGAAGACAAGCTCTCGTCCACTGACGGCTCCGGTGAAGCGATCATGTTGTCAGTGGGGCCAACCTCACCTGCCTGAATACAACGGACTGCGATCCGAGTATGGTCTCAGCGCAGAGCAACTCATGGAGAGAAAAAGGTGAGGCATCACACTAACAAATAATGCTGATTGTCTGTCTACTTTCACTACTACTTTGACTAACTAATACAAAAATCCTTTTTCATTACCAGTATCTAACCTTACAACTATTCTGGTATAAAATTCCCATTTTCAGTCACATTAAATGCAATAATAACCTTTTTGTAAGATGTTAAATTTATAACAAAACTGATAGTTTCAATGAGTAGATTGCTTAAAACATCAGCTTAAATAATGTAGATGAAAATGATCCACAGCTTTAGAGCTAATTCATCAAAGAATAATTACATTGTATGTTCATAGCAAAGTCTATTTTTGTAAGTCCTACAAAAAACAGACTAGACTTATACATTATTTTTTACACATCCTTCCTTAACCTCCGCTTCCTTCCTTCCTTAGATGATTGGTAAAAACCTATTACCACACTGATGATAAAATTCATCATACGAGTGCTGAATTTGAAAAGTAACAAGCAGTGTTTTGTAACAAAAGTTTGTTACATGTTTTAGTAGGATGTTATTTTTAAACATCTCAATCCAGGAAATACATTAAATTGAAGTATTATTTATCTATTATAATTTATTATTCACATTTTGTCGGTAAAATAATAATAGGCATATAATATTATATGACTCAAGCCAGGAAGATTAAACACATTTATTACAGGCACAAGATAGAATCTTTGAAAATGCAAAAACAGCGGAAGGAACAAAAATACAAAGAAGAACAAGAAAAGAGAAAGGAAAATGAGGCAAAGTTTATCGCGTGGCTTGAGGACAAAAGGAAACAAGCGCAAATGCAATTTTTGCGAAATCAAAAAATAAAGGCTGAGAGTGGTATAAAGCTATATCCAGCACCCACAGCACACCTGTAAGTATAGAGCCTAACATTATTAATGATCATGATAGTTTTATACTAAGTAGCAAGATATCTGATTTTAGGTGCAAATCACATAGTACCCACCAATCCCGCAGCTTCCACACGAGACTTCAACGTTTTATTTCAGGTGGGCCACTCCTACCAAGGTATGCCTAACCTATACTAGGGGCCACGAGAGTCTGCAGTTGGCGGCAGCCAATACCATGACTAGACTAGTGTGACGTTGCAACATCATCCTAGTTCACTAACTCACTACTTTTCGACACTAATTAAAATATACTAAACGATATTTTTAAATCAGCTGGTATAGTTAGATTTGGCAGAAGTTCTTTCTTGCAATGGTTGCTTGATCAATCATAAAAATACTCTGACATTTTTTTTAGGATTAATTCTCAACTCAGTTGTCAATTTTAATTAGTTAATCTTGCTTTTTAACAAGATGACAACTTACAAAAGCATCAAGTCTTGGTTTTACGTGTTAGTCAAAACAAAGCATTGATAATGTGTTGATAAAAATAATAAATAAGTAATTTTTATTCCGCTCTTAATAATCTCAATTGTTTCAGCAAAAGAACTGGAGCTATAAGAAGTAGGAGAGTGTTTAAAACCCAAAGGAAATGTGTTTCATTGGAGGAGCTTCTTAACAATGCAAGCAGTCATGAGAAAAAGACTTACAAAATATATTTAGGATTATCTTTTGAGTAAAACTTATTCATATTATACTGTAATCTTATATTTGAAAAAATGTAATTTATTTATACCTGAAATCCAAAATTAGTTACTTCTCAAAAAAGTAAGGTATAGAGGAAACCTGCTTATGGAACAATCGTGCGCTTTCAGCTCTAACTATGTTATGCCGGAAATATACTTTGTGATGAGCAAGGAAGAGCTTGAGCAGTGAGCACTGTGCAGAAATTCCTATCCACACAGGACCCTCCTCCACTGTCAGCGTTATAGTACATGAGGGCGAGGTGGGCGGTGTTAGGCTTTGCACTAGACACCAATGACTAAAGTGCTAGATACCACTGAAGCATTACTTTGCATTTTTCCTCTGCACCATGGTTGCTCTATTACTTTACACTTTAGACGATAACTTTCCACAATGGCAGCCAATGTAACTACAGAATTTAGTATAATGAACAATGAATAACTCTTTCACTCTCAAAATTGTTTGTACTGAGAGCGAGAAGGAATCAAGGTATTAAAAATACTTCCAATTGTGCCACTAGCATTTATTTTTTTATCAAATCAATGATCCATTAAAATCCATTTATAATCATACACATTACCTGAACTGTCCCACTAATCTTACTTTTACGTTCCCAGAGCTTCTGGAATTGTTCTGGAGCAAGGACCCTCGAAATGAAACCTGTAAAACAAGGTTTGAATAAATACCTAATAATTGTAAAATTCATCCTTAAGTTGAAACCTCTGATAAATAAATTATAAATAAAAAACATTTTTTTAAGCAAAACGTTTTAAACGCACTAAAAAGTAGAAAATAATTTATAAATATGTGGAGAGTATAAATACTTCTTAGATTTAAAACGAAAAACGTGGGGTGCATGCAATTGATAATAGTACATTAGTTCAATAGGCGAAGGTAATTGTAAATTATCTATGGCATGCATCCCACGTTTTTCGTTTTAAATCTAAGAAGTATTTATACCCTCCACATATTTATAAATTATTTTCTACTTTTTAGTGCGTTTAAAACGTTTTGTTTAAAAAAATATTTTTTATTTATAATTTATTTTCCACTTTTTAGTTCTTAATCTGTGTGGATTTTAAATCTATTTAAAGCATCTATATCAGATTAAGACAGAGGCATGTGGGAAATCTAAGGTTTATTTGAGTTTCTTTTCATATAATTATGTATTAGGTTGAATGTATGGCCTACCTACTAACTATAAATAAATAAATCTACTGTATTTAATTTATTGTTTACTTTATACAATACTAAATAAATAACGATTGACATTATTAACAAACACCTTTATATCTGCAATCAGATTATTTATTTTTATTTTGAAATGTTTTTTTGTATAAAGAATCTCTTGGGAGCATAATCTGTTCCTCTTAACCTCTGCTCTTCGAACTGTCAAATTTAAGTATTTACAGCTGACGTAAACTAATTGATATATTTACATTCTTTCAAAATGTAAACATGAAAAATTTGTAAGCCCATGGGGTGTAGCCCAAGGGAAATATGAAAATTAAATTATATAATATTGCATTGTCATCCATTTGTGAACTAGGTTTCAAATTTCAAGTCTCTAGCTCATCGGGAACTTCGTTTAACCCTCCCAGTGTTACTTGACGAAAATTCGACAAGCAGCACACTTTGTGTAGTGTTACTTGTCGATTTTTCGACACGCAGACATCGTTTACGGCGAAGGCTCTATGACTGACTGAATCGGATTGAACTGGATCGAGTTAGGCATCGTTCTTTCCGTAATATTCTAAGCTTTCTCCAGAGGTCTTTCTCAGCGTTGTATGTTCTCTGAGCCGATCGTAATTGTAGCAGACAGCTGACGTGCGTGTATTTGTAAACAGCTAGGTTACCCTCGGACCGATGATTGATGTGTTTTATTACGTTTATCTTTGTTTTAGTGTTAAAAATCAAAAGTAGTGATATACGTGGTGCATTATAAGAAGATTTAAGTGGTTTTGAAGTGCTGGTTGATGATCCTGAAGAAGTAGGTAGTGATATTGATGTAAATTATCAGCCAGATTCCTAGCTATGGTTAGGCTATGCATTCTTAGCTAAACGCTATGTACTGAAATCTGTTTTTTGCCCATAACTTATTTATTTGCAAATCTACTTCCTTATATTATTATATATTTATAATCCTCATAAAATTTAGGACAAAGTGGCTATTTTCAAATATTTATAGGCCTATAATTTATACAATTTCATTGAGCGCAAACTTATTTTTTTTTAATTTTTCCAAAATAATTTTTTTTTTTACCTAAAAAAATTTTTTGAAACAAATATTCCTTATGTTTTATGTATGATATTGAAGCCCATGATTTTCCAAACAAAATGGTATATAGAACATTAGAATTAACATTGTTTTAAGCTTCTCAGATCCGTTTTAATAAAACCTTGCAAATGCGCCAAAAATAGGTGGACATTAAGGCCTAAACTATGGACACTTGGAGGGTTAAAATTGATATCAAAATTTGTAGGAAAACGAGCTAATAAAAACAAGCCAATGGGGCGTAGCCCAAGGGAAATATGAAAATTAAATTATATAATATTGCATTGTCTTCCATTTGTGAGCTATGTTTCAAGTTTCAAGTCTCTAGCTCATCGGGAAGTTAATATAAAATTGATTTCAAAATTTGTACCGGACAAGAAAGCGAGCTAATAAAAACGTTTTAAAAAGATTGTTTTAAATGAAATTAAAAAAAATTCTGCTAGAGCACAAGTAGTTTCGGTCTTCAGTTCATAACTAGTTAATAATAATGTTTAGTTGGTAAAGCAGTTTTATGCAAACTTGACCTCATTTTATAAGTCAAATACTGGCAATGTGTTTAAAAAAATTCTAAATACTATACAGCTCCTTGTGTTACTGGATGACTCAATGGTGCAGACCACTTCTAGATAGGCAAGAGACTTGACATCTGGCATGGTTGAATGTTGATGGTATTGTGTCCAAACCCCTTGGTAAATTCAAAAAAGTGACATTTTCTCTTTCACCCCTGAAATTGAATAACCCACATTTTACTCTTACGGGAATAAAATTTTTAATTGAATTACTGTCTTTCGTATGTAGATCAAAATCTCTTCAAAATGTGCTAGATAATTTAGATGGGTATTTAGATGTGGTAATTTATGTGGACCTTTGCAAGAATGTAGTAAATCATCCCTAGTTAACAGCGAAAATTTTCAAAATTACATTTTGAATTTGCTAACCAAACCAACCAAACTTGCTGGTATGAAAAAAATGTTTGACAAAAAGTTAGTTCTGCCAGCGGGATTCGAACCCGGCACCTTTGGATTATCAGCCCGGCACACTATCCACTACACCACCGAGGCCGATGACTGAATTCCGTATCGTTGCGGTAATGGTGTTCCCTCAAGAGGAGATCTGATGGCTGACGTCATTGAAGGCTCTTCTGTACCTCCCTTGAGTAAATACCGTTCATTACTACACCAATCATCAGGAATTCACATTTTACGTTTGTAGGTTAGGTTTTGTTTCATTATGTTATTAACCTATCTTATCCCCCTCCCACCAAAACAATCACTCTAATCTTGAGAGCTTGCCATAATAGATGAGGGGTTTATGTGGTACTATTTATCCCCATGTCTTGACAATAAGATGTTATTATATATTTTTTATTTTAGATTTAGATGACAGAAAGTTATATAACGTATCTCTTTTTACAAACGGAAATCCTTAAATTAAAAAATATCTTATCATATTAAATACTAAAAATAAAACATTTTAATTTTCGGGGGGAAAGGATGAATATTTTATTTTACAGTAAAAAATGTATTTCCTACTAGGGGTTAGGTCAATCAAGCAGAATTATCAGCCTGGCGGGGTACGGCCCTTTAGGGAACCATTCCGGCATTCACCTGAGTGAGGAAAGAAACCGTACAAACTTTCCTCGGAATGGCCGGTCTGATAGTCAGACCTCCCAAATGTGAGATGATGCCACCTCACTCGGTATGATTAATACTTACAAAAAAAAATAATAATACTAGATTAAGATTATAAATATAGGCCTAACACTTAATATACCTAATACTAGGTTACGTAGGTATTACATAATAACACATTCTTAAAAAAACTTAATTCTAGATTACACAAATTGATGCTAAAAGATGGTAGTTCTTCTGATTAACTTCCATTTTCTTGTGGACTTCTCTTTATGCCACAATTTGTTTCTTTCAAGTACCTTCTACATGTTCCTTCTCCCTTTTAGCTTGGTACTTCGTTAGGATTCTTAGATTTGTTGTAACATCTTTGACTCAACATTCTCTCCATGTGGATCAAACCTGATTTCCTTTGCTCTAATGAAGAATGCAATATCAGTCCTTGCATTGTTTCATTAATCTCCATGGTTTTAAAGGAGTCTCCATTTTGATACTTAGTAGTTGGTACCTCTTGCAAGAGTCTGCCAATGAAGAAGCTTTTCTGCCAAGTTACAAGTTTTCATGACTCCAGTTATTCAGAACTTGTCAGGTTGACCTCTTCAGTTGTGAACTAAAGTCTCCTTGCATTTTTCTGTCAGACTCCAGATATTGTGATTAACTTTAATTGTGTACTTCATTTTCAAATTGACTGGATGAACTTTCAATGCTATTATTGAATTTTGTTTTCAAACAGTTCAAATATAGTTTTAGTTTCTATGGAAACATGAATTATAGCTTTTTCCCTCAAGCTGTATTTACTATTATCAGCTGTCAACAATTATTTCAAACATGAGAGATCACCTTTACATAGTTACCTACCTCTAGCATATATACTACAGAGCGCCGCATGATGAGACGATACGGCCATTCATGTGGACCGAGGTATTCATTTTAACATCACACATAGACCGGGTGTCACTTGGTTGACAGTGCACGCAGACCATAAAAGGGCGAAAACCTGTCGAATTGAGTTAACTTACTTTCCAATGGAACTTCGATGCAAATAAGCGACGTTAGTCAATTTTAATGTGACCAGTCTATGGGTTCACCGCATATGTGCGTCACGTTTCTATATGAATAAAAAATGTTGTACAATTGAGGTAGCGAATGTGTTAAGATGAAATAATTAATTGGTTTATTTCAACCCTTTAACTATAGCCTTAATTGGACAATAGCTAAAACCTACCATTACACTATGGGGCCTGTAAATATATACTCTCCTACATTTCTTGGTAGGCCCTACTTGCGTATTATAGGCCTACCTACTACACTAAAAATTCAAATTCCAAATAAGATTTTAATTAGTTTAAATAGCATAACCTCCTATAATCCTAACCTAACCTAACCAACCTAGGTTAGGTTAGATTATAATTATTAGGTGTGTTCGGTATAATACATGTGCAACTATACATATTTCCATTAAAACATCTCACAAAGGCTTAACTAAACCCACATTAGAAGTTAGAACCATGCTCATTTACAGTAAATTTTTTCTGCGACTTACTGAAATTCATCAGTGACAGGAGTTTTCTCCATGTTGAACTCTGCGACAGGAACGCCACGAGCAGCCAACTGTGGAGCCCACCATGCAGCGGGGGTGACGACTGATGAAGTGCCTACCACCAGACACAAGTCACAGTCTTCCATAGCAGACTCTGCAACACAACAGACATTATATATCACACACAATATATCACATTATATCATTCATGTAAACATTCTGTGATACACCCCCAACAGCCAACTGTGGAGCCCACCATGCAGCAAGGAAGGCGGATCAGGGTTGGAAGGGGAGTGGGATATGTGCTGTTAAGGTGTTGGGACACAGAATGTGTCTGGAAGAGTAGTGAAAGCGGTCAAAGTCCGAGAAGGAAGATTTTTCATGAAAAATGGCCTGGAAAATAAGACCCAGACTTAAGTCAAGGGTGGCGCGGGGACGAGGGGCTCCGGCCCCAGCAAGAAGTGAAGAGGCAACCTATGTTACTTAAAGATCCACAATGGGAGCACAGCATGCAGAAAGCAATGCAAACCATTTACTTCATGACTGCTTGTTTATGAGGTGTAGTAAGGGACTAAAACTGAACTAAAACTTATTTTGACTATCTATATAAATAAAATTAGTAAAAATTAGAGTTTTGTCTGTACATTGCTCAGAATTATACATTTTTAGGTTATTTTTACGTTTTATACATTAAAGAAGCAGAAACGAGTCTCATCCCTATTTCTGTCTGTCTGTCTGTCTGTCTGTAACACTGGTCCCAATTGATTCGGATAATCGGAGTTCTACTGTACTTCATTTCATATAGTAAGCCGTCATTTCGACAGCATTTCGGGCCATCTTCGGTCCAAGCAAATATAAATTGTTATGATAAAATTTGATGACATTAACAAAGATTACAAATACTAATTTAATATGTACTTTGTTATGCTTAAAGCGTAGCAAATTCCCTAATTACGTTCTGTATTTTTGTGTGTATGTCTGTTGGTAACGCATTAATGTCCTTATTTCTCAGTGTTTCACGTAAAGGACAAGAGCACCTTTACAATAAAAATTTCAACCCGAATAAAGTGTTAAATGTGAGGTTGAGGTAGTACCTTAAATACTTTTAACCATTGTGGAAAGTAACTTTCAATTATAGGCCTACCTTAGATGCTATGCCTCATAGATATATAAATCATTTTTTAGTTTAATCATTGGATTTAACATATGGACCAACACGATCCGGGTCACATTTAATTGTGAAGCATTTGTTTTGGCTTGAAACTTCTTGTTCTTGCCATTTACAGAACTTTTGACAGCAATCCAGACAACTTTACTGTAGAGCTTTTACGATATGTGACCGCCATTAATAAAAACAAAATGTGTATTCTTGTAGGAGACATAAATCTTGACTTACTTAAGAGGGACAATTCGATTGATTTGTACTTAAACTGTTTGATAGGAAATGGCTTCACACAATGTATTGACAAACCGACAAGAGTGACAAATGTTTCAGCAAGCTGTTTGGATCACATTTTTATAAAATACAACAACATTAGTGAAGTACAATCAGCTGTGATCCAGACAGCCGTGACAGACCACTACAGCACTGGACTCACTATCAGTATCACCCCCCGCACTCCCCCTCCCTCGGCACAGGGCACTGAGGCCAACACTATCACACATACTTACCTGGACCAACAGCTACTTACACACCTCCTGACTAACTCAAACTGGGATCCTATTCTAACTTGTGATAAAGACGTAGACTTCTGCTCCAGTCACTTTATCACAATCTCTGCCAACTGTGTGGAGTCCGCAAAAAAGGTTTCAAAAAATAAGTCAAATAGATTAAAAAAACTCAAACCTTGGATTACAGTAGATTTGATTAGGCAAATTAGATTTAGAGATAGACTAAATAAAAGAGTAAAAAAACAACCATTTAACAACGATCTTCTGAATTACTACCGTGAATTTAAACAAACCCTTAGTAACAACCTGAAGCACAGAAAACGTATTTTTTATAGATCACAAATAAATGAATGTTCAAACGACCCGAAAAAGTTTTGGAAAATTATTAACGAGTTAGCAGGTAGAGTAAACAAAAAAGATGCATTCCCTATTGAGAAATTTTTATTCCTGGTGCCCCATGTGTTACTACTTCATTGTGTAAGGACGTGGCTGGAGATTTTAATAGATTTTTTGCCAATGTAGGTAAGGACCTAGCTGATGTGATTGATCAAAGTGGGGTCCCAGTTTTGGATGACAACGACTTTCGAGTCAACTCCAACTTACAGCTACAACCAATTACGAGACTTGACTTACACCATTACGTTTATAGTTTAAGGGGAGGGTCTGCGCCGGGCTGGGATGGTATATCGGCTGACGTCCTTCAAATGAACTTCAATATTCTGTGTGACCCATTGCTACACATTGTTAATCACAGCATTACATCAGGAGTCTTCCCAGACTGCTTAAAATTAGCCAAAGTTTTTCCCCTTTATAAATCTAATGAATTTTCAAACAAAAACAATTTTAGACCAATATCCTTGCTTAGTGTCTTTACTAAAGTCATTGAGAAAATAGTTAAAGATCAGGTAGTTTCTTATCTCCAAATGAACGGCATCCTCAGTGAGCGACAGTACGGGTTTCGTAAGGACAAAAACATATCAGATGCTTTATTTGACATTAACAAAGAATTGAACAGCGCGATCTCTGATAAAAATCACCCAATGTTAATTTTTCTTGATCTTAAAAAAGCATTTGATTCGGTGGATCGATCAAAATTACTGAATAAAATGGAAATATTAGGAATTCGCGGCATAGCACTTAATTGGTTCAAAAGCTTTCTCTCTAATAGATCCCAGTTTGTTTCAATTTGTGGTGTATCTAGTGATAGAATGCCTGTAGACTACGGAGTGGTCCAAGGCAGCACCCTTGGGCCTATTTTGTTCTTATTATACATTAATAACATCTCTAAGTTAAATATTTTCGGAAAAGTGTTCTTATTTGCAGACGATAGTCTTATTTTCCTGCAGGGAAAAACTTGGCCCGAGGTTCGAGATAAGGCTTTGCATGATCTCATGATTGTAAAGAAATGGTTAAATCAAAACTTACTTTCATTAAATGTCAATAAAACAAAATACATGCCAATTTCTATTAATAAGATTACAGATTACAATCTAAATGACCTTATTATTCACGAGTGTGGTGATCAATATAACATTGCATGTGATTGTGCGTGCATAGAAAAAGTAAATTCGTACAAATACTTGGGTATATTTTTTGACGAGCGTTTAAAATGGGACGTTCACATTATTTATTTTAAAATCAAAATAAGGAGATTCATTTTTGCTTTTAGACAAATGAGGGACGTTCTAACATTCAAAGAAATAAGAATGACATACCACGCCTATGTTCAATCATTGTTGTCTTTTGGTATCATAGCATGGGGTGGCTGCTATAAAAGTATTATAGAACCTTTAAATGTTGCCCAAAAAACCATAATAAAAATAGGATTTGGAAAATGCAGACGATACCCGTCAGTCGCTTTATTTGAGGAAACGTCCCTTTTTTCTATTCGCCAACTTTACATTAAAAATATATTAATTCATATTTTCAAAAATTACAATAACATTTTCCATGAAATTGCACATTCACACAACACAAGGTATTCTTAAAGAGTTGGTATCACTACATTACAAAAACATTATTCCTTTTCTTCAACTAACTCCTTTTACATTTCTCATATTCTGTTTCGTAACATCGGCTCTTATTTCAATAACTTAGGCATCTTTGATTCACCTTCTCTCAACTTGTTTAAAATCAGGGTTAAAGAATTCCTTCTAAATCTAGGAACGGACGAGGCCGAAGTTATCATTTCAGCTGATTACCGGCGTGTTTGACCTGACCCTTGTGCTGTGCTGTCCCTCCCCCACCAACCCCCCAGCCGACAGCCGTGCGCACAGCTCCTGGCCGTCACAACTGCATGGACACAACACAGCTGAATTTGCTCCCACTGTAATTATCTATCACCCATTTCATGTCAATTACATATCATTCATCCTCAAAAAAAATTCAAAAAATCTTTTTTTTCCGATTTTTATTCAATCTCCGTTTGAATCTTCAATCAAACAAGTTTAGGTCATTAAAGATTATATGCAACCCAGCAGACGCACAGGCATAGTTCGCCTATGTCTGCTGATTCCACAAGACCATTCAATTATAACTAGCTACAAAATTATAAGTTTATTATGTTCGTTTTGCTAGTTTTAGTATAATTCAACATTAAGTTCACAACTTTGTTATTTCTTGTTTTGTTTTTGATTGTTTCATGTTGTAAACTTAATATTATAGTAAAAAGGTAATATTGTACTTTGTAGCAAATTTGACGGAATAAATCATTCATTCATTCATTCATTCATTCACTGTCAGATACTGTATTTGCGAATGTTTATATATAATAGTTTCGCCAGCATATCTGAAAATATGCGAACCAACTGCTGTTCTTAAGAGAAGAAGGTTTCAACTGACAACGATAAGATCCCCGTGCGTAGAACGGGCACACAACTAGTACAAAATCAAATTAAGAAGACAAATATAAATTTAAAACATTGGTACAGCTTACCTGCAGCATCTAGTGCGTCCTGGTGGAGATTTTCGCCAAACCAGACAATGTGAGGTCGCAGTAGACCATTGCAGCTGGACTGTTTACAGCGAGGAAGCTGGTCTACGGGGATCTCTGGGAGATCCTTGTCCAAGTCTGGGGCACTGTGGACCAATGTTTATATTTATATATTGTTACAGAGAGAAAAAAGAGAGAGAAAAATTTGTTATTTACAACAAATTATTTTGCAGCATTACATAAAGGAAATAAAAAATATCACATGGGTCACAATGACCTGTGCGTGATAGAGAAAATGCAACAAAGATATTGTTGCAGAAAGGAGGTGAACTTGAGCTACAAGGTAATTAAATGTTTTAAAAGAACTGAACTGACACAGGTAAAATGGACTATGAATATAACACATTGGAAAAAGATTTGCCTACATAGATTTGAACAATTTTAAAAAATTATTCCAATTTGTTATGACTTTTTTTCAACAAATTAATCTCCAACAAGCTGCAAAAGCCTCACAAGGCTTGTCTGCAGCTAACTGATGATAACAAATCATATTTCTTATGAAGTTTGAAAATACATCAGGCAGCAGCATTAAACTTCAATCTTGTTTTAGCAAGCTACATGAATTGTAACCACAGGTATGAATATAAAGTACTAGCAGAGGACCCGTCCTTCGTCCGGGGTTGATGTAGGCTATATGGTGCTTTATGAAATCTGACATGAAAAAAAGAGTAAAATAAGATTAAATTTCAATAAATGTACCTATCAAAAACTTTTAACTTACTAATTACATAATAAACATTTTCAAACAATAAAAGAAATAAAAAACTCAAAGCTTTTACTAAATGATAAAATCAAACATAGACAAACAATAATTTACAACATCTGGTTAATATTACAGTTTGAATTAAATGAAACATGTGATCTTGTTTCTAAAAAGCATTGCTCACTAAGCATTGATTATAAAAATATCTCATTATATACTATGTGAACAAAGAAAAACATCAACACTCTTACTACTAAAACAAACAGAAATATACTTAGCCCTACTATTTATAGCTCCTACTATTCATGCACCAAAGGCAAGTGCATATACAAATTAGGTTTTTATTGTTGTTTTTAAATTGAAATATTTGTATATCAGCTTAGAATAAGGAAATTTAACGTCATTCAAACAATGTTTATGTCGAGGGTAGGTTAAGTTAAGAGGAACTTGGTTGAAAATATACATGTACCGGTAATGACCATGAAACGCTTGTAAAAAGTTGTTCATTATTAGAATAGAATGTGAAATCTACAGAAAGTGTCAAAAGTTATAATATAGATAGATAGTAGCTACCTCTGGATTAGAATACACCATAACTTACCAATCTATGGGTAGTAATATGAAATTATGATTTAAAAATTTGTGAAAAAGGAAATGGTGTGAACAATATTTCTCTCAAAATGGTGAAAATATACAACTAATTATCTCCTTGAGAAAAAGTTTAAATTTTTAAGGTGTGTGCCCTACTCTAAACACATGTTAATTGTAGAAAAATGTTAAAATGATTGAAGTAAATATAAACTTTATAATTTCACTATTTTGTACACCAAAATCTTTCAATACCTACATTATTCACATTAGCGAGATTTTAAATAATTAATTAGGGTTAGATACAGCAACAGATGTACAATCTGACTTAATTCATAAAATCAATAATCAATGAACCATCAAATATAAGAATAACTATTTATAAGTCAGCTGTGGAATTGTGAATTAATGTGGTTTGACAGTTCAGCTTGTTTACATTTGGGTGGCATAGCAAATTGAAAACATTGTATTTGTTCTCATGGCAGCCATGGAGACCAATCAATACTTACTTTTAAAATCCTCACCTCAGAACCTTAAAACAAACCTAAAACAAATTATTGTAAGAATGAATTTATAAATGTGTCAGGTTAGATATCCCTGTGCATCCTTTGATTGAAAACTTACTCTCGGTTATTGTTATTAACTTTCAATAAATAATTAATTTAATTCCATCCAGCGTTGCTAGAAAGGCCATAAATGTAATTGGTTGTGAATGAATACCGATCACCGTTAAAAAACTAATTAATGATTGGTTTCTAAATACTTAGACATGAACCGATATATCCACTCATAACTCAAACTCGAAAGTTTTGACGAAAACAATACTTTCTACATATTTGGTACAAGGAGAGGAAGTAAAAGAAATATGCAATGTTTACATCAGCTGGTATATTTAAAAAGCTTATAGAAACACTGTAGCATTACTTCCATTAGAAAATAACTGGATCTTTGGCGGCCTATGGGGCAGAGCATGGGTAATTTTTTACAATTCTGATATTTTCCCCGTCGTCCTTGGACCTTAAGCTTTAAAATGAATCCTCAACAGCTATGCTACCTTTTTCTAGCTTGAGATATTTCGTGGGGACCGAATCGCTTACGGATTAAATATATAAATTTCAATTATACTTTTAACAATGCATAATATTTAAAACTTGAAACTTATAGGGTATCAAAAACATCTGCTCTTAGGGTATTTATTATTCACTCTCAAAAGCTTTGTTCAATTCAATTGTTCAAATTAAAGGATGAAAGAAGACTCACCCTCTGCCCCTCAAAGCCTCACAGATGGGACTATCACGATTGTCCTTTACATTCGCACACACAGTGCATCTAGTCTTGAACAGAGAGCCGTGAATCTCTACCACATTGCTGGAGCCCGCAGCCTTGTGCAGCCCATCCACATTCTGCGTCAGGATCGTCAATTTGCGTTTGCTACCTTCCTGCGCAAGCTGCTTCTCCAACTCAGCTATTGACAAATGGGCCTGAATCCATTACGTTTATTGTTGCAGATACTCAGACTAATTGTAGGTTATATGTTTTATAGATGATGAACAAGATTAAATTTGATGAAAGAGAGAACAAAAATTAAACAATAAATTAAAGATTTACATATTATTATCATTGTTTTTAACAAAGCAAATGCACTTCTTATCGTGTGTACATAACACACACACAACACTGACAACACTGGAAAATCAGATGCCTGTTTCACGTGAATGGGTTGGGGTGATGTTTGAGTGTGCTAATTTTAACCAAATGATATTTTTTTTTTATTAAGGATATATTTTAGTGTCTTACTCATATTGGTTACGAACGCCATAGTTTATATTATTGATATTTTTGGTTGAATACAGGGTGTTTACAAAAGAATGCCAGGATTTTAAATGGCAATCGTTTGGGTACCATTCAAGGTAACTTAACTAAACGTTTTATAACTTGGGTCAAATTGAAGTTAAAATAACTAAGTTTTGTTTCCCGTGTAGCAAGGGAGGAAACATTGACCATGGCATGCGCAAAACAGTTTCGGGGTGAAAGGCCTCTATTGCGACTCACACGCCTGACGCCAGTTGCCAGTATGATGCAACAGAAGGCACAAAGTGTAATCTGTGGTTTGCAGAGTTTTTTTAATTGATTGCTAAATTGAACCAAATTTAAATCTAGTTAAGGCCTCTTTTATGCACGACATTTTCGGTCGGGCGAAATCGATGTCCCTTTTATACGGTTTTCTTTGCTGCCACTTTGTTCATTTTGCCATCCTCAGAGAACCCAAGATGGATCATTGTTTATTGGTTTATACCTATTTGTGCGTATAGAAAAATAGACGACGGCGAAGGAGGTGGGCTGTACGTACAGTGTACACCCGGTGAATGAAAGTCTTAGGGTTGGCAGCGACAGCGTTGGCAGTACTGCAGGGTTGCCAATGGGATGGTGTGATTGCCTTTTGTACAACAATTCCCATATCAATCCCGGGGTATAACTTTGATACAAAAATTCCCATGTCAGTCCCGGGAATACAAAAGTCATGTTATTCCTACGAAACTGTAAGGTTGTACTATCCCGTGGATTTTAACAAAAATGTATTTCTCGCCCAGTAAATTTTCCGAATTACACCTTTTTATTCATACTATTTAATCCATTACAATGAATAATGATAATCTATTTACAATGATTAGGCGATTTCGATACTGTGGATGAAGTTAAAACACTCACCGACGAAATGCCCAATAGATTTTGCCCGACGGAAAACGTTGTGCATAAAAGAGGCCTGATAATAAAGAATTTTGATGCTGGTTAAATGAGTTTCATCACACCGTAGTGTTTTGAAAGGATTTCCACCTGGCCGGCTAAAAACAAGTAATGACATAGTCAAAGAAATCCTACAATTCTGCATGAGAAGCGCGAACAAATTTATTGACCGGTGAAGTCTTCAGTTGAACATACGTAAATTGACACTTCATGATGTTATATGTAAAAGATTGAGTCTTTGTGCTTCATAATTCAGTCTAGACATCAGATAAACCCGCTAATCGCTCCAAGCGTACAGACTTTGCCAGTTTAAAGATCATATGAGATTGATAAAAATCTGAATTTTATGAAATTATTCCGATTTTTTTCAAATTGTTAGATAAAACGTTGTTCTTTTCCCTCCAATTTGACGTTCAAATCATTTAATTATCTTTAATTGTCCTCGAGCAATAGCCGTTTAAAATCCCGGCAATCTTTTGTAAACACCCTGTAGTTTTAAAATTGGTTACATAATAAGAAACAAATTATTGTAAACAGCAAAACCCCTTCTAAGAATTTTGAATGGAGCTAACCTTAAATTTGTCTTTATTGGTTCCATAAAGGATTAATGTATAAGGAGTGTGTTTAATCTCCTTTAAGTTTAGCATAGGCCTACATGACAGAAATCAGTATGTAACCAGAAGCCACACAATATGACAGAGACTCAATTTAACCAAATTCATGTTTATTCTCAACTGCTAAACACCCCTGAGAACTGGTTGTCTACTTCTATCTATAGTCAAGGAAATTATTTACCTGGTTAGGTTTTTTTGTAAGCACAAGCTCTCTCCTATAGTGGTAAAACTCCCAGACCAGAGAAGGAGATTTTCTGAAGGCTTCAGGTGTTGCAAGCCTGGTCGACTCATACTTGCGCCAGAAACCTCCCGCTCCTCTGAAAGTTGGTATCCCTGATTCAGCCGAAATCCCTGCGCCTGATATCACAACAATTTGGCTGGCCTTGGCCAGTGCCTGCTTGAACTTTGACATATCTCCGCTCGCAGTTGACTTTGATGCCATCACACACTGGAAAATTTTATTCCAGATCAGATTATATTTATAGGACATTGACACACCATGTATGACGGTGAAGATGAGTGAAGAATGAGTGTTGAGGGAATCATATGATAGCTTTGTTAAAGACTAAGATCAGCTGTTTCTCTAGCTAAGAGTTTTACAATTCCAATGATCAAGGACAGCTGTGTTCAGTTTTGAACATCTTCAAAAAACTACTGATCTTTCTAAGGATTGAACCGGCAGCCTCCTGATGATTATGCAAGCACCATATCTACTTACCTATCCAGCTATAGTAAAATGCACAATATAAGAGAGGGCCTATCCTTTTGTAATAATCGAGCAAATGCAGGATTTATCATATTTTCTCAAATCAAATTGTCTTAATTTCATAGTGTAGGCTACATCAGTACATGGAATGGGGTCAAAAGCTATATCTAAAACTTAACCTAAAGAAAACAACTCTATGACAAATAAAACACTAATTTGGCATGTATTCTTCTAAAGTGTATAATAGAGGTACAGTAGCGACAACAAGTGGTACTTCAACGGTTTTTTTAATTTGATCAAATTCCTTTCTTTTCTTATGTGATCAGAACATTTTTATTGTGAATTTACCTCCAGTATAGGTAGTTTTTTTTCTAACTGCATGTCTAAAATGCTAATCTATATATTACACTTCAAATTTTTCTTGTGTTTGATGGCTGGGAAACACCTATAGTAAAAGTATATACTTAACCATTTTCACATTTTTGAAGTACCAGAAGCAGAAATACCCCATCATAAAAAATATATATTTTTATAACCACCTCAAAGAGTTAGAGAGCAAGGCATTTAAATTATAAAACATACAAGCTAGTCTCCTGTAACATAGATCCATACTGGGTTAAAACAGTAAAATATGGATGGGAAGTTTACTTTAGTAGACTACTTAGAGTCAATGGCTATGTTATCTACTTTACTTGTAAGAAAAGTACTTTACTTGTTGTCTAATTTACAACTCAATGGTAAGATTAAAGCTCTTTAAAATTTCAATGGAATCAGAATTATTATTTTTCTATTTTAGCAGTAAAATATACCATTCCAAGACACTTTAAAACGAGAAAAACATATTAACCATCGAAACCACTATAGGACAGATTTTTTGCAGATTCTTATGATAATCAAAACCAAACCTGTACCGGTACCACTTGCCTTTCTTGTCTAATCGCTGCAATTATAATTATTTAGATAAAACAAACTGGGATTAGAGTGCTCGGTAGTGCTTACATCTACGGGGTCATTAGCAACACTGTCTCCCAGGTAAGATGTTTTAGAATCTCAAGATTTTACAATTACTGTAATTTGATAAGTTCTTAGAAAAACATAGTTTTTTATGAAATAATGAATAAAGAACGTGACTTTGAATCCATCCTGTCTTGATTATGCTAATTTCACTTTCACATTAAATATTTCCAATACCAGTAAGGTGAATTATGTATACCAAGTCAAAACTTTTATGTCCATCTAATGAGTCACATTTTTAATAGCAGAAAAATATGTATTCAACATTAGCGTGTGACCAAAGAAAAAAACATAAAATTATTTCAAATAGCCTATAAGTTAACAAGAAATATGAAAACAAGTCTACTAATTTATTTAAAGTCGATAATATTATTTTAGGCCTACATAGTCCAATAGTGGGATGATAGAATGGTATAATGAAAACAATGGATTTGGAATCAAGTGACTTTGCAGGGTAAGCACTGCTTAAAATCGCTTACAATGTCAGCTAAACAGTTTGCTTTGCTCAGTTCAGACTACAACATAAAGCTTGGACATTGTTAAATTAGTTTATTCACTGTAACTTATAAACATGATACTTTCAAAAGTAACCAGTTTAGTCCTATGTTAGTAAAAATTTTATTACAGAAGCCTTCAAATAACTTTTAAAATTGATAGTGATGTGATAATGTAATAGCTTAATGGTAAGTGAATGCTGATTAGTGGGAACTTGTGAAAGTTCTCTTTTAATTTATCTTTTGGATTTGGTTGTTTCAGTTTTTACTAACTATGCAATTCTGAGTAAAATCAGTTGCTTTAAGCGAATTTCTCTATAGGGAAGTAGCTATTACCTTAGGTGGCACGGTAATACCTAGGCCCAGGACCGATTTACTTTTTCATTTTGATGTCCCCAGAGGCCAAAAACACCATTCGTCAAATTTTTATATATGCATATATATGTCTGTGAATGCGAGAACTTGAGTAATTTTTGTCCGATTTTGAGGAAATTTTGTTTAATACTTTAATACTTTTTAATACTTTCTTATGAAATGGAGACCATACAATGTAGGTATTTTAAGCCAAGTATGAATGGAGATTTTAGGTTTAAGGTGTAAGGCGGGATAAACTTGAATGAATTCGCGAACCAACGTGATCGGACCGTGGGAACGGGGTTTTACAGGGGGTTTTATGGGGTAAAACTTGGTTTTTCTCATTTTTGAGCCTCAAAAACACAAAATTTTCCAAATTCTCTCATCTCTTTTTTAAGAGTTAAAAAAAACACAAATAATTTAGTATATCAAAGTGTTTTTATACGGTTATTGGTTACGGAGAAAATTCTAAAAATTGTAAATTTAAAATTCCATGATATTCTTATGGAGAATATTGTAAAATGTTTTAGTGCTTGTTCATGGTATATTTTGATCAAACTTGGCAAATTTATTTATTTATTTTATAGCTAATTTACTAAGCTATTAAAATTTTACTAAAACACACACTTTATTAGTTTTCTTGTAGCAGCAAACCTAGGTAATCGTTAAACCTAATGTTATTTAAATCTATTTCATTTAAAATCAATTCAGACAAATGGAAAATCGCTTAGTCGGCAGGTTTGCTGCGGCGGGGATATTTATCATTATATCATTCAAATCCAAGTTTCCATTAAATTATTTAAAGTCTTTGTTGTTTCACTATTTAGTTATTTTTTGTGATAACTTAGGCCTAAAACTCAAAGTCAATTTTTTTTCTAATTGATAACAATAGAAAGAAAATAATCATTGAGAAAAAATATTATTATTTCACAAGATAAAGAAAAGCAGCAAAAAGAATTCTAAACCTAATATTAAAGATAACACGATTAAAACACACACACGTACACAGTTCTAAATACCAATTGAATGACAAATAGAACTGAATTGAACACTAACCTAATTAGATTTGCCAATTCACACTTTGAAATCACACAACTGATCTGTCTGTAAGTACAATAATCTATGCCTCATAACACTTAAATCAGCTTATCTGCAGTAATCTGGCAAAAAAACATGTCCAGATAGGTTAAGTGATAAATATGTATGAATATTGTTCAGTGAAGAACTGAAAAGAAAATATTTTTAGAGTTAAGAATGTTAATATAAATCTTTTAACGGTTCTTAACGTTTATTTATCATCTTATTCTTATCTTAGGGTGTTAAAATCTTTAGGCAAAAGATTTATATTTGAAGTTGTTCACAGAAAGTTTGTAAACATTCTTAATAACAACATACCAAACATCTAAAATTTAATCTCAGTGTAAACTACAACCAAAGAATATTTAATGGAGTAGTTTTATTAAGTTACGGGTACATACTTTTTAGTACCATGCCTGTAAATATTTCTGATATTTATCATTCATTTAATACAAAAGCACAAATGTAACATGTTGTGACTTCTCTAGCTCTTTCTCGAATTTTAATATTACAGTGGATTTTCTATAGTCCTCTCGACAATAATATGGCCCTCCTCGGGTCAATCGAGGGTCGTCTTAGAGTTATACTATGATAAAGCATTCTACATTGTAGAGGGTCCTTTAAGACAATCCATTTTGCTGACCCTAACTGCACTCAGGCGACACAGATTCGGGAGTCTGTTCTTTTTAAATATTTTTTTTTACTTTTAATGTCAGCTGCTTTTTGTAATTGAGAATATTTAATGCCTTGCGTTAATATGATTAGGACTGAACCATACTATCCTTCTTTGGACTGGAGTTTAAGATGCTAACCGCTGCCTAGTGTTGCAATTTTTACTTGATTTTCTCTTTCTTTTTAGATGCTATAATTATGCACCACAGTTTTTTAAACTTCTCATACCCGCATTCCTCTCTGCTAACATCATGCCTTAATCTCAATGTGATCAGAGAAATAGGAGAGGAGACTGTGAAATTTTATAGCCAGACCTTTTGAATAGCCGGAAAGCAAAAAATGCAACTACTTTTTTACTCAAATTAAAATATCGTTTTGATTTAAGTGGACACCTATTTATTTAATTACAAAACCTGCATTTTAATCCAACTCAAGTTTTCCGATTTTTGAATAAAATTGTTGCAACAGACATTTAGATTAGACCTTACCACAGCTGGTTTAGGACAGATAATCGAGATAAATTATAATTGAATTTTTGCAATGGCCGCCTTGTGAATCTATCTTAGAGCGACCTCTAATAACCACACATACCTGTAAATATATATACATTCAGGTAAACATCGTATTTTAGAAACGTATCTTCAGGTAAAGAACAGAATTGTAGCTTAACATCAACAGCAATATGACATAAAAAATTCGGGTACACTTCCATATCTGTTGGCACAAACAACCAAATGAATAATATTGATTAGGCCTATTCGATTGTTTAATTTGATATACCGGTAAAATAACTTACCGGTTAGGATAACCTAACCTAACTAACCAAACGATATATCGAATAACTTAATCGATATATCGATCGATTATTACTCATTCGGTTGTATATGTGCCAACAGATATGGAAGTGTACCCGTTAAAACTTATATATTGTATTTAGGAAACATTTGTGGATTGGACGGTATGGTTATAGTGACTAAACAAACTTTAAATTTTTTGTAAAAGGTTACGGTAGGCCTAACAGTATCATTTTAGCATAACTTAGGGCCTACTTAATCATTTTAATTGCCAGACTTGTTAGAAATATTCCCAGGTTTTATACTTTATCCTTTTGAAATGATTTTAACTTAAGGGAAAGTTTTAAGACGCCTAATTTAGGTTTGTATGCCTAATTGGCCACCATAGGACCTAAGTTAAGTTAATAGGACCTTTTAACATCATCTGAATAATTTATCTGTGTTTTTAGGTCATTGGTCATTATCCCCAAACCTGATGATCTTGTGGTTATTGGAACTAAACATTTCCAGTACATGGCCACATGAATAGGATTAGAAGATAATCTATTCAGTGAATCAAAATGATCCCTACGACATTTAATCCGAAATTATGGAATGTGATTTATTTGGGGTTCTGCTTTATGGTACTATTTACAGCAGATTACACAGTTACAAATATGCAGGTAAGTTTACAAACGTTTACCCTAAGTAACTTATACCTGGTTTAAGTAGGACGACGAAGACTAGGCCTCAGAAGCACTCACTAACCCATAAAAATGAAAACTAAAATGGACCGTGGGTTTAGAGCAAACAACACTTTAAATGAAATTTAAATTATTTAATCTGCAATTCAACTGTAGTGATAATGATCTTACCTAATTACCATCTTCTTAACTTGCAAATAAACTCTCAACTTGACATAACCTAACAACAACAACATACCAAAACAAAACGACCACCCCACCACTGACTGACATGACATGACAATTATATTTCAGTAGTCAGCTGGCATCTTTTTGTGATAATGAATGGCCATAGATAAACGAACCTTGTCTGTCACATTACAAAAGCTCACTGATGTAGTTGTAGTATAATAGTAAAGCAAGGGGAAGCAGAAAAAGCACCTCTAAAAAAAATGTAAATATAAGTTATAACATGGTTTGGTAAATTATTGAATAGTTTAAAATTTAAATGTATCAACTATGTGTACCTATCTATATATTAAAATTAGAACGACAACAACCTCTTACTTAGGTTAATAAATTTACAACTTGGACTTTTTTAAAGTTTAAATTTTTATTTAGTGATAATAAACAACAAAGTGTATTGTTATGGGATATACTAAAGTCATATTCTGTAATGTGACAACACTAATATTGCATTGAAATTGGTTGGATTTGTAATTTTGATATACTTATAGCTTATATTTTAGCCAATTTCCCATTTAGGGAATAAGCTATTACCGAAGGTCTTGTGTTAAAACATAGACCCAAGACCGATTTACTTTTTTGTTTTGATGTCCACAGAACCCAAAAATGCCTCCTTTCAAATGCATATTTAAATAAATATACATGGTACGAAAAATAGAATAATAGGGCTACTAGTACTATATTTAAAGGAAAATTCAACATAGATAAACTGAGTGTACCCAAGTAAAAATAAAAATTATTTATTAAGATATATATTATATATTAAATATATATTATATATTAAATATATATAATATATTACAAATATTATATAATATATATTAATATATAAATATATAATACTAAAATATCTGAATAAAAAAATGTTTACTTTGGGTACTCAGTTTATCTATGTTGAATTTTTATTTAAATATATACATATATATGTGTGTGTATGTTAATTAGCACAATTATTACTCTATTAAAAATCATCATCCAATTTTGATGACATTTATTTGGTATAAACGTGCAAACCTACATTTATTTATACATTCATTAAAAAAATTAAATATCCCAAGGTTTCTTTAAACCATATTGTGAAGCTTAAAAACAAATGATTTAGTATCTTGAAGTGTTTTAGTACAGTTATTGGCTACGGAGGTAGCCTAATTCAAAAATTTTTTATTTATATTTCACTAAAAACATGATTTATTACATACTAGCTGTAACCCGCGGGCTTTGCCCCGTTTAACTTCTTAATTTTCAAGATTATCTCGTTCGCATGGCTCAATCACGTCCTGGTTGAAGTTTGTTCGCTACGCTCACTCACCTTTAGGTTGGAGCTCGTTCGCTACGCTCACTCACCTTTAGGTTGGAGCTCGTTCGCTACGCTCACTCACCTTTAGGTTGGAGCTCGTTCGCTGCGCTCACTTGCCTTCAGGTTAGCTCGTTCGCTACGCTTACTCGCCTCCAGGTTGAAGTTCGTTCGCTACGCTCACTCACCTTTTGGTTGCAAATTAGCTGTTGTCATAAATGTAAAAGAAATAATAGTGCTGCACCCTGTTGGTAATCCTTGTAACTTTAATGCTATTGAACATCATAGAACAGAACCAACTTGTTTAATTGAAACAGCTGTTAATATTCAATAATTCCATTTCTCATAAGGTTAACATGGGAAACTCCAGAGCCACTGGGGCGGAGCCCGAAAGGATTTTTGAAATAAGAATATGCCTATATGTTAATCGGGAATGTGAGCTATCATCATGCCAAATTTCAGCCCAATCCGACCAGTATTTTTCGCGTTCACTTGTCACAAACATACATCCATACATCCATACATCCATACATCTAAACTTTCTCATTTATAATATTAGTAGGATTAGTAGGATAATATAACCCCGTAACATACAATACATATAATATATATTACCCTCCCGTAGCAGTAAACCAAGGTACTCATTCGTTAAACTCAATGTTATTTAAATAGAGAGATTGGTGAAAATCAAATATGACAAATGGAAACACACTTAGTCTGCAGGTTTGCTGTGGCAGGGGGTAAGGTAGCACACTGTACCACTCTGGCTAATTATCATTAGTCTCTGCTTCCTAGCAAACTCTTTTAACTAGAGGTTTCACAAAATTCATAAATCAAAACTAAAACTTTTAAACTTCCAGAAAACTTTAATAACAAGCATCCACGAGGAGAGGCCGGAGTTCTTGGTGGATGGTTACACGAGTCTTGGCATCACATACACAGTATTTGCTCTGAGTTTGTGGCTCGGTCCCTCTATGGTGAGCCTGACCGGCCCTCGATACGGCATGGCCCTAGCTGCTCTTGGTTACACGTAAGTAAATAAAGGTTCAGAAGGCTTTAAAACCTCTTTATTTTTGTTCTCCCGCTGATGTTCATGTATTTTAACCGTCACGAGCCTGTACATTTTTGAAATGATTAAGCCATTAGTTAACTTTAATAATACTACTGTATTGCTTTGCCAAATATTATGTATTGTATCCATGGCCCCCACAAGAGTGGGGCTGGTACAACTCTGGTCACAGGGCCCGGGCCCCCAAGGGTTAGTTACCCCAAAGGGTAGTTATGTTTAATTTTTGTTTGTTTATTGAAGAATATTTTAGCGGATCATAGATTTGAAATTCAAATAGCCTACATATAATTAAAAGCTAGGGAAAAATAATATTAATTCTAGATTCTAGGTTCAGCTATGAATTGGCAAAACTCACTTCACTTTTCAGACGTTGTTAATTATTTTACTGAAAAGAATGTTAAGAAATCAATGATTATATAGATAGACCATAGACCATCATACATCAAAGTAAGGTTTTTGTAATCTATGGTACGTAGTTGACCAAGATGACATCATAACAGCTTTATTTATTAATTTATTTCTACGGCAAACAGCCATTATGCAGCCATGCACCAAAGCAAGATGGTTACACAAGTATGATACAAGGATAGTAATGTTATATTTATATTTTTACTTATGTCAAAACAAACTATTCTATTTATTTATCTTCACAATGATGTGTTGCCCTTTTCCTTGAGTATCTTCAAAACTTATAATAATGTGATTAATGTGCTGCAGCTTGACATGATTTAACTACCCAGAACTGCCTGCTATGAACTCAAGTAAAAAATTCAAATTTAGTATCGGTAGGTAGCGCAAGGAATATTAAAAAAAGAAGAGAAAACAAAAATTATAAAAAATATCAAATCAGGAGCATGTCGAGACAGTGATAGAGAGCATTAAAAAAAATCTAGGTTTTTATATGTTGCTTAATGCAGCTTAAAGGTAGACTATCTAATATTTTTCAAAAAATTATGAGAAAGCTTTAGGCGGGAATATTGTTTTCATAAAAAACATTACCTATGTTGTTCCAGAGAGAGTTGTTTGAAGCTCCTGGTAAAAGGGCAGGTAATCTTTCAAATGAAGAAGTTCTTCCTTGGTTTGACATAGGTGATTGGTCTATGATTTCACTGTTACTATACGGAAAATTAATGCAAAAGGTCATATTAGCCCGTAGCGAGGCTACAAATTCAGCCGGTTTATAATAGTGATAAAATAAGACACAAAAACAGCAAAGCCGACAGGCAACAGCTAGTTAGTTTAGTAGCTTACGCAACGATTGCAAAAAGATGGTGTTAATGACATACGGTAAGTAGAAATTTAAGGTAGAGCCTTTGGCGAGTGCCTTAAAAACTTCTACGAGTGTCGTTAAGACTATTTACGTGAGCTGCGTACACTACTTTACCAACGACAGTTTTTTAATTACTAACAACAACTACTCATAACTTCTAGGAGAGGTTATTTTTTCGTTTATAACCTCTCATTGCCACTGACAGTGACAGAGATGCAACGAATCATTGTACCAAACACTAATTGCACCAATCAACAATTAAATTGGTCTAAAAAGCCCTGATTATTTGATGAAGCATTACAATTTTACTTCTTCTCTCTCAGTCCTTGAACCTCGTGTGTCCGTTACCCGTGTTGTTAAGTAAAACAACAATGCTGTTAAGTCTAAACAATACAGTAAAGTGAACCTTTTCAGTTCTAAACTTTGAAAAATGGTCTTAGGTAAAATATATTGACAATTTGTTTGAGTTGAACCTTGCTGTGCATAAAGGGATGAATTACAACCGAGGTCCAGTTTGTATTTTCAACTATATGTTACATGTTTGTTTACCAAAATATATTTTCAGGATATACATATTTGCATTTAACCTGGAGGCAGCTTGGGCAATCTACGCAGTGACTGTGATCGGAGGTGTGTCGGGCGGATTATTATGGACTGCGGAGGGAAATTATCTTGTGCTTAACTCGGACTCCTCCAACATCTCACGAAATGTTGGCATATTCTGGGTATTCCTCCAATCATCGTAAGTAAACATTTCAAATAGGTCTACTCTAAGAAAATATAATTTATAATGATTTAACAAAAGTTGGGCTGTATCATACCTTTGTCACTCTTGCAGCACAATATTTTTGGGAGCCTCAAATACAACTTACAAAGTTAACAAATAGGGGACGCTGCATTCATTTTTCATTGCATTTCATTCATTTTCTTGTATTTAGTCCGTTCATTACCATTACCATTTACATTTGAACAACTTAGTATGTAATACTACTGTAATTATGGGTAATAGGATTTTAAACTCATAATAAGAGTTTCTGAGGGTAGGGTATAGTGCTCGCTTTCAATTCCGAAGTTTGCTGGTTCAATTTCAAGCGAGATTGTTACGAGAAACATTGAGCAGAACACATTCAAACATTGAAATTAATGATGCTGTGCTTTCTAACAAAAGATTGATGTTAGATAGTAACAAGACCTCAGGGTTTGGACTGTTCCCTTACAAAAAACATAAAATAAATGCCACTTGTGTCAATAGACACAAGAAAAAAAAGATAGTGCAAAACAAAGTACCTAAAAAGGGATGGTTTGTAAAACACATTTTTAAAGAGCAGTGAGGTTCACTATATTATTGAATTTTTTATACAATAACGGTACATATAAAATGTTTTTGAATATCTACATGTACCTACTAGACTTACTAGTAACCACTAGACTTAAAGAGACTGTATTTTCTTGCACAATGAACCTAAAATTTGTTTCTTGATGTTTTTATCTTTTCGTTTATATACCACTAGACTTAAAGAGACTGTATTTTCTTGCACAATGAACCTAAAATTTGTTTCTTGATGTTTTTATCTTTTCGTTTATATACCGACACCGTAAAAATAATTTGTCAGCGTTTTATGGCAGATTAGTTGTCTTGATGTCAAACCTTTTGTTAGTAAATCAGTAATCAATCAAAAGCTCGCTGACAGTGAATCAAATGATCAAATTTGTATAACACTTTAAAAACTTCTATCACTTCCTAAATTCATCTAGTGATCTTAGACTTGGTATAAAGGTCAAATAAAGATTCAACCACTGTAATATCTTGTTAGCTTAAGTATATGTGATATTCCAGATCCCTCTGCGGAAACATTTTTACATTCATCAAGTTTGAAGGGAAAAGCAGAATTGATGGTGACACTCGGAGACAAGTTATTTGGGTGTTGGGAGGTGTTGCTGCTGCATCTATTTTGGCATTCCTCTTAATGCGAGATATCAAAACAAAACCAAACAAAGGAGAAGTACAGGAACGGAAAGGGTTTCTTAACGAATTGAAGAAAACGTGGAATCTATTCATAACAAAAGAGATTCTCATACTCAATATCACATTCTGCTTCACTGGTGAGTTTGCTTTTCGCATTACTGTTTGATGTTTATGTTGGTTGGTTGAGTTGTTTTTATGGAAGTCAAATTTTGATGTGCCACATTTCCTCCAATTTGCTCTGGATATTTTAAAATACTGAGACTAAGACTTGAGAGATAGCGGAGCAGTTATGCAACTATGTGTGAATAGATTATAGGCCACTAAATGGACGATATGAAGTAAGCAAAAACCAAAGAAGTGCAGGCGTTTTAGGAGTCTCAATGCATCCACTCCAATAATGTTTCAAAAATATAGTTTTGAGTTCCTTAAGCATTAAAATGTAATGTTTGACCACTAGAGTGTCCATGAAAGGTAAACTTAATAATTAACTATTCGATAAACAGTAAAATATTTTTACCTAACCCGCCATGTTAAACTTCCCTATCCCAAGCGTGATTCAATTCAATTCAATTCAATTCGTTTATTCACGGCAGAAGCCATTGTACAATAATGCTAGGTAAATTATGCTTAAATTAATTGTAAATTAATTGCTTAGGTAAATTATGCAACTCGCTTCCGCTCGTTGCACAACATTCACCTGCGTGATGTAAAAACGCTCTTACTACACTTGTAAGGTAAATAGCTATTACCAAATTAATTTTCCACCCACAGGTATGCAGCATGCTTTCACATATGGAGTAATAAGTCCAAGCGTTGGGTTCACAACAGCTTTTGGAAACCAATCCAAACAGCTAGTAGCACTCTCTGGAATATGTATAGCCATTGGGGAGGTATCTGGTAAGTAATACTATAACTTGTAAGGTTAACTACTCATTTTAATTGATGATTAAATTTGAGGATCATTTAACTCAACTATACTACTATTTCTATAACTTATATTATTTAATTTCTTTTGATCGATAGTGTACATATGATGGAATTTACTGCCACCATTGGTATCACAGACTTTATTAGATTTAGAGAACATTTTAAAAGGGCGAACTCCTAACTTTTTATGAAAGAAAATTAAGTATTTCCTGATAAAGGATTGATAACTTTAAATTTCCTATGAAACCCTATATTTTATGTTTTTTTTATTTAAATGCAATTTCAAGACTTTTTTACACTTAAAATTTTTTGTCATACATACTCGTTTAGAAGCACAGCATGTTAAACATTGGCAAATGTGGCTCGTAATTTTTTGGGTTCTTAATAAACATACAATTTTAGCCGCCTTTTCAATACAATGTTTCTACATATTTTCAATAAAAACTAAGTGAAGTCTCACTTTTCAAGTTTTCTCTAAATTCTACTACTAATGGTAGCAATAATAGTTAGGTTATATTCGCCCTATACTGTATTTGGAAAAAAAATAATTTGATATCATCTGCTATGTGCAGGTGGTGTGTGTCAAGTGCTGCTCAACCGAGTGTTTGTCCGCTGCAAGCTCGGAAGAAGTGCAGTAATCGTGTTCGGCTTCCTCGTCCAACTACTCTCATTCTCTCTTATCTTCATCAACTTGCCGAACAGCGCAAGTTATGGAGAGAGTTATGAGGAAGCGATCATCCATCCAAGGTAAGTTGAATGAAACTTTCAAAAGCCTCTCAAATTATAAACATTACTCACTGTGATTTCTAATTAACATGTGGCATTTAACAGTGCCGCTGTTGCAATGCTGTGCAGCTTCATGCTAGGGCTGAGTGACAGTTGTCTCAACACTCAAAACTTCTCTATTCTGGCTGTGCTTTTCCCACTGGATAGTGCACAGTCTTGTGCGCTCTATAAGTTTATCAAGGTAAGCATGAAAGCAAGTTTGCTACAGTAGGACTAATCAGTAGAGCAAGTTAGACAAAATTTATAATACAAAAATCATACGTTTTTTAAACTAGTTACATTAAAGTTGGTACAGTCAGCTCTAAAAATTCCAGCTTTAAACAATTTTACTATGTTTGTTGTTTAATTAGCGAATTTCCCTAAAGGGAAGTAGCTATTACCGTAGGTCTCATGGTAAGACCTAGGCCCGGGACCGATTTACTTTTTTATTTTGATGTCCCCAGAGGCTAAAAACACCATTCGTTCAAATTTTTATATATCTATATATATATATATGTGTGTGTCCATCCGCACGATAACTTGAGTAATTTTTGTCCGATTTTGATAAAATTTGGTTTGAAGGTGTAAGGCGGGATAAACTCGAACGAGTTCGCCAACCAGCATGATCGGACTATGGGAACGGGGGTTTACGGGGGGTTTTATGGGGTAAAAATAGGTTTTTCCCATTTTTGACCCAAAAAAAATAAAATTTTGCAAAATCTTTTCAAACCATTTTGTAGAACTTAAAAAAACAAATAATTTAGTATATTGAAGTGTTACTATGCGCCTAATGGTTACGGAGAAAATTCCAAAAAAATGTAAATTTTAAATTCCCATGTTATTCTTATGGAGAATGAGTAAACTGTTGTAGTTTGCTTGTTTATGAACATATTTTGATCAAATTTGGAAAATGTTTTTATTTCTTACTAACTATTAACATTTTACAAAAAAAGTTTTACCCTCCCTGATGCAGCAAACCTAAGTACCTGTTAAAATAATTCTATTTAAATAGGAAATAAATGTTAAATTTTTAAGTAGACATTTTAGTGTAAATCCAATCAGACATATGGAAATTCGCTTAGTCTGCAGGTTTGCTGCGGCGGGGGTATTTTATTATTAACGTTAAACATTTTATTATTTCAGTGGACATTGAAATAATACACTGAGTAAACATTAGTTTTATTGTAGACTCTCTTGAAAAAAAAAAACTAGAAAAGGTAAACAATACAGAGACAGAATAATCATCCTGTCGATTAGAAGATTTAGCCTTCATTACATAATTAGTTGTATGAGAAGTATTTCCCTGTCAATATAATTTCACAAACTATTGACAATTAACGTATACTTTTGATGTAATCTTCCTCTTCTCGTAACACAATGTCCTCGCTGCCACACAAATTGAAAGAAAATCTTAGCTTTACTTTTACCAAGGGTTTTCTCGATTTGGTGCCTCTCAAATTCAGATTTGTTTCTAGTTTCTCTATCCAAGTAGCGTTACCATTGGTCGGCTTCCTAATGATTGATCCATGTAGGTTTACCTTATGGTTGCCAGTTTCTTGAAGTACCTATGTTGATGAGAACCTGGCAGGCATAAGGCAAACCTACATATTTAATCAATTGTTGTTGTGATCTAGTTCTCACTACTGGATCACAATGTTTCATTATACATAAGTTTGTTAAGCCAATTTTCCACGGATGAAATTCCTTTTATGAAAGGTACCCACGAAAAAAGTCTTACATTACACGATGCTTATAAGATCTAACTAAAAACACTAAGGTAGTGAAGTAAGCTAAGAGTACACCTACGCATTCAAAAACCTAAAAAATTGTTATATTACAGAGTTTCCTAGTGGGAATCGGTTTCTTCGTATCAAGCCACATTGGTCTCCACACGCAGCTGATGATCCTAGCCCCTGCAGGAGCTGTCAGTACGCTTGCATTCATGTACGTTGACAGATACGCTACCAAGGCCAAGTGGGCCAATGAAGACTGGGACTCAGCAGACGAAGATCATACGGGGAACATGACTAAATTGTAGACCATAAGCTGTTATGTTAGCTGGATGTTCTTACTACAATGCTCGAGGAACTCCCCCTAATGATCCTCTTGCAGGAAACAAACCGTGAATGCTCTGATGGTAAATATTTCCTGGGTAAATAATATAAATAACAAGGAAATAAACTAAATTAAAACTACATCTTTGTGCTAACCTACTGAAGCATGAAATACACGGGATTGTTTTTTTCCATTTACCGTAAGACCTTGTCTCAAAATCTTAAAAACTGAATTTTCGCTACACTACTGTGAAATGATTGTTTACTACGGCAAAAGAATCTTTACTATGCAAAAGTAATAATGTTTGCTATCTTTTTTGGATCTTGCCGACGTAAAAAAAAAAATATTTGTTATTGTTTTATCAACTGTTTCAATTTTCAACAAGTACTGTAAAGTAAATATTATCTCTAAATTGAAGGCTTAACCTACAAAAAAATGCTATAAGTTTTGTAATGAAGAAAATAATTATTCCTTGTAGTGTAGCGAAAAGTAACGTTCAAAACACGAGTGAACGTGGGTCTATACATATTCTCAACTATTTATAAGTGCTCGATAAATCATGGTCTCAAATATGTAATGACTCATACTTATACTCTTGTTATGAAATATACTATTGTGCTTCAAGCAAAACATGTTGATTGTGTTTACTATGACTTAGACCTTATAAATCAAAAGACAAGAAAGTAAGGTGATGGACAAACTGGCTGACAGTTTATAAAATATTTTTTTAATGAAATTTATTTTTTCTCAGTAATCCATAGCAGCATTGAAAAGGTTAGGTGTTACGTTGTTACTTCATTCTTATTAAAGTGTCAAACATTTTATAGAGTAAAACTATTTTATACTCGCTTGTTGTTTGATTTTTACCCATCAGTTAGTTTTCAATGTATGTTCATAAGAACATATAAGTTACCACGATTTCTTCTCTTTGCCAATTATTAAAATTGCTATTGAAAAATGATGTCTGCCCAACGAAAGTCCGGTAGGTTTGGACAGATTCCTTCCAAAGACAAATTGGGAATTTTCAATAACTATTGTAATTTTTAATATAAAAAACTAAATGTTTTTAAATGATTCAAATTAAACTAATAAGGGGAGTAGGAGTTTCAATCAAAAGTTCCTCCGTGGGAAATTAGAACCAATTAACACATCAACAATATACTTACAGAAAATAAATAAAATATATATAAATACACTCACACATAAATACATATATACAAAATAGCAATCGGTAAAGTTAAAATGCATCTCTTTCACATTGGGGCTCTTTGCCAAAACAAATAAAAAATGAATTGCCTTAAATCACTCATGTTAGTCACACTGGTTGAAATAGTCAGTCATTTCAGCTATTGAGTCTATTGAAGTCTAAGAAATTAAGTTGTCATCACTTTTACCTAGTTCTAGTAACTCTCCTTCAGCTCTTCGACACTCCAGCTTATTGTCTGAAACAAGGAAGGCAACAACTCCGACGAAGGCCAAGGTGATGAGTATGTGAAGGTGTGTGTGAAGTCCGAGATGGTTGGATGAGTAGAAACTGGTTGCCTTCACCACGGCCTGTGTTTAAAAAACATTTTTGTTGAAGTAGAAAGACATTCTCTATAGAATTTATACTAAATGACGCCATAGACTAATTTTTATTAGGTAGCTTAATCCCTTTTTTATGTTCACGGTTGAAGGGCCTTTGAATAAAATTGTTAAAGTACTGTACCTTAAGGTCTTACCCTCTCCCTGAAATTGGGGTCACGTTGCCTAGGACAGACAAATATAAAAAATATATTTTAATTTCTGCCCTGGAACTTAATATACATTTATTTTCAAAATAAACGACTTCAGGAAGCTTAGTATGCCACGTATAGAGTCTCAGGGCTTCTGCAGTGTGCAGTAGTAGTATCAATGCAATAGTATCACCATAGTTGGGGAAATCAGCTGGTTACTGTACAAACACCAACAAGTCAGTCTGCAGAGTTGTCGGAAATATTTGCTTTGGGTTTGCAATTTCTGCCACTATTATGTACCCGTCACCTCTCCTTCAAAGCCAAAAAATAAATGGGATTTATTGATTGCTCATTTCAGAAAGGTTGAAAATAAAAGATACACTCAAATAAAACATGACGATATTGCTAGAAGAACTTAAACTAGAACTTACTAGAGCTTAATACTTCTAAAGCCCCCTATATACTTATACACTATCGAACATGCCACCCGACCTGACAACCTGACCTGACGACGGACCCATCATCCAACCTGACTTGATTGATTGATTGATTCTGTAGGGGCGGACCTTGTCCTGTTGCATGTCAGCCACTGATGGGCTTTTTGCGCTCCCCACATGGTACTTCAGAGTCCGTCAACCCTGAGTGGCTTAATGAACTCCAGCATCCTGTCTATGAGCTCCTCCTGAGGAAGGTGTCTACCCCTTGTCATTGCACCAAGAGTATCCCTTACCTCATTCAGAGCTGTGCAGTCGTAGAGTAGGTGATCAGCAGTCTCCTCCAACCTGACTTATGTCGGGTGTTTCCCACACACTGTCGAGCATGTTACCCAACAAGTCAGGTGAAATATTAGTTCTGAGATGGATTTCGAGACGACTGTAGCTGTTTGTGGGAGATTTTTAGCGATCATTTTTAGGGATTTTTAGATCCTACGGAACGAGGCTCTTAAATTTTCAATGTGATTTTTAACGAACTTTAAATCACACTCTGGATACAGTTCCTTGCAGTTTTCCATCAGGATATCGTGCCCCTCTTTACGCGCATGTTTGTTGCAATATAGTTTACTTTTGACATCCCACAACGCCTTCTGGTCTCTGTAGAGTTAAATAAATTCTGATCAGAACTGTTTATTATCATTAAATGACATTATGGAAAAATGGGACGGTTATCACGCACAACTCGCTAAATACAAGTCAACTGAAAACTGTGGCTAGTATCCGTCGAGCATGTCGGGTCAGAACCCACACACTGTCCAATATGTTTGACAAGTCGTTGGATCCCAACATGTCCGCCTAACATGTTGGATAGTGTATGGGGGGCTTAAACCTGGTTGAAACAACAGTATCTTGTATAAATATTATTACAAAATAAATAAATCCTAATAAATTACTACTGTATAAATCAAATGAGAATACCTTGGCGAACTTGTATAGAGCAGAAGTCTCTGCTCCGTTCTCTGGGTACATGGCTGCCAACAGAGAGTAAACCTGCGTGTTGAGACTACAGTCAGCCAGACCTAGCATCAGACTGCTCAGGATAGCCAGGTATACACTAAAATATAAACACACATTTTCATAAACCATTGCAATAAAATACTCACCCATAAAAATATGTTATGTAACATAAAAACTCATACATATTTTACACAACATTGTTTTATTCAATCTTTTTTATCTTTCTTTTTTTAGGAACAATGGTCAATACTCTCTTGAGTTCTTTTTTTGAAGTTCATTGTTGGTGATGGTGAGTTAATGTTGTTAAAAGGTTTATTGCGGACATTTCCTATCACGATGGTAAAAAACAATACACAACATTTCGGGATCTGGAATCTGATCCCCATTCGCACGTTTCAAAACTCACGTCTCAAAATTTGCACGTTATGTTAACTTGTAGTAGGGATTTTAATCCTGAAACCGGTCGCATAAGACGACAACAATAGGATCACTGATGGACAGGTAATATAAACCATTTTATTCTATAAGTGATCCTGGGCCACTAAGCATAATGATTTCTGTTGTCTCCGTGTTTCCGATTGGTCGGCCATGTTGCTTCAGTCTCATTGGTGGAGTCATTAAGAACGGTGCTATTAGTGTTCCATTGTGTGAGCTTTTTACACTACACCTATTATAGATTATAGTGTTTTGTGATTGGTTATTATTTGCATGTTGTATCATGACTTGACTGCTATACAGCGCATGTCTTTTGACTGCTACCCTCTGAAGTGTATTCCAACTTAGGTCAGGCGTTTGTGTATTGTTAGTTGTAATGTGTTAGACCTGAGGATGGGATCAGATTCCAGATCCCGAAACGTTGTGTATTGTTTTTTACCATCGTGATGGAAAATGTCCACAATATCTTTTGAATTGTCAGCACTGACTCACCTGCTGTTGATGTAGGCAGGGTCATCAGTGTTGCCAAACACAGCTGAGTTGGGCAGGTTAATGTAGATGCAAGCGTACGCTACCAGATGCAGTGTGAAGCCAAACACTACGATGGCAGATCTACCATGACGATGGTTGTGGATACGTTTACTCAGCACCACCTGCAATCCTCCACCTCAACAGCCCAAGTATGGTTTTTAGAGCTCAAAGTTAGTTTTTAGTTTTAAACTTTGGTAAAACAAAACAAAAAATTGTATGTGATCCTTAGGAGGTTTTTGAATCCTGTTATGTATTATCTATCTAGGAAAAAGTATACCTAAGTAGTTAGTTGTATGATATGATAACACTTCACAGTGCAGACCTAAAACAAATATTTTACTAAGAGTAAAATGAGTTAATTGTTTTAAAATATAATTTCCTATACACATCTTGAGGAAAAAATAATAGCTATTTGTTTTTGGTGTATACAGACTTAAAATTTATGTTATTTGAGAATTGGAAAGATAAATTATGCAAAGACATTAGAATGTTGATAACCGAAGAAGAAGATGCATAGGATTAAAGGAAATGGAGGCAGTTAGTTAGGGAGACAAAATACCTTCTGGTGTAAAGCCCCATGTAGGATGACTATCTCACAAACACTTTATTATGGTTTTATGGCATTAGACCACATCATAATAAACAACTGTGTGTATAAGTGAAGGAACTTACATATCATTTCTCCCATTCCAAGGAAGATGCCCGACAACGCTACGAGCTGCTTTGCATTGTTTCCAAATGCAAGAGTAAAACCAACACTCGGGCTGTACACTCCAAAAGCAAAAGCTTGCGCCAAACCTACCAACACAGAAACAGAATACATTTTTTCTGAATTATCTAACAGTATTACCTCAAATTTGAGAATTTCTGAACAACACTAAGTAATAAGTATAAAATATTTTCAATCCGCTAACATGCTATGAAATTAGTGTCAGGTTATTTTCTTAATACTGAATAGTTTAAACTGTTAATTCTTATCTATGGAATCAAAACTTTCACCAATAAACCAAAATGCATGTACAGTATACTCCCTCTTATCCGGACACCTTTTAACCGGACATCAGTTTGACCGGACTACACTCGGCGGAAATGACATCTCTTTAACCGAACAATTTTTAACAGCACATTGGTTTAACTGGACTAGATCGGCAGGAAGTGGGTGGTACTGAAACGGCTGTTCTCATGGAAAAGATTTGAGACCAGTGATCACGTGTCTATACCTACAATGCTCTCCTAAATTTAAGTCGAATATCACATTAAATGGTCCGTTTTAACAAGTTTTTGGGGACATCGGTTTAACTGGAAAAACCGTTATCTGGACTGGCCTCGGTCCCGAGGAGTCCGGATAAGAGGGAGTCTACTGTAGTGTTGTTCAAAGTACTAAGAATTTGTCCCAATGGGAGCGTTTTACGAACTCCAAATTTCACCAAGTACAATAGCATAAATTTTAAATAATCATCGTTTCACAAACTCCAATAATATTAATTTAATAAGCAGAGCGTTACACGAGCTCGAAAATTCATCAACTACAAAAGTACTGTCCCGACCAGAAGTTGCTGCAGGGGTTGTCACGGTCAGATTGCAGTCACCAAACGCCATAGTTAGGATAGGATATTCAATACTCATCCTTCACTCATTTTTCCTTAAAATATGCACCCCCCTGAGTCAGCATAGTATAAATCTTATAACTAACCATTGCGATTGCACAACATTAGAAACCCACTCACCAACGTAACAAAAAGTAAGGGAAAGCATCCTAACATCACGGCTCAAGAAAATGGCCCAGGTTTTCCTGAGTGCCTTGACTGGATCGGTGGGAGGTTGCCGTTGAGTGTTGCCTCCATGGCGCAGCAGTAGCAGCAACACGAGCGCAACACACGACATTGCTGTGAGCGCATATAGTAGCCAGTGTCTTGTCGGTCCATCCATCAGTCGTTTGCCTGCTAGCTGGAAGTAGATGATCAAGTTGCCATAGAACTCCCTGAAAATTATGGTTGTGGTCAAAGGAAAAACTCGATTTACCAGAAAGTACATGTTAGGTTTAAGTAAACCAGAAAAATATTTTGAAATTTTTTTTGTACAAAAACTATAAAAGTTGGAGTTTCATTTTTTAATTTCTGAAAAAACGGTACTAGCCTCATCTTTTCTTTAACCTGCAGGATTCCAGTAAAAGTAAATAGAAATGCTTAAGGAATTATTAAGGATTAAGGATCTAACTTGTTGCATACATCATTGACAGTTGAGCATATTATCTCAAGGACCAAGGACAATGATCATTTTATTACAGCCTCGGTTGGTCAATACTTTTATTGTTAGTCCATTTTAATTTGCATGTTTTCACCATGTATTTTTATTGACAGTCCTCACACATGGTGAATGTTTAATGTAACAAGAATTGCAAATTTTAAATTCATGCTTTGATGATTTATGGTTTAAAGTTTTAACGAGGGTTCATCTAGTGTTAGTGTTGATTAAAATATAAATAACAAAGCAAAACAATAATTCTTTATTTCTTTAGACTTACGATGAACTGTAAAAGAACCAGAATATGCTTATATTCCTTGTCCTAGTAGGTGGGGTGGAGTTGGACAAAAGATACTTGTTTTCTGAAGTCCATAGTACAGCAGCGCAGAAACCCATGAAAATAGCTGCCGAGTAGATAGCCCATTCCTTCTCTAGTGTAAATGCCAACACATAGTATCTGAAGAAAACTAAACAAATTTCAATAATCTTAATTTTAATTTATCTTTAAAAACAGTAACTTAAATGTTAAAACTATAACTACAGGGTGTTTTTTTAAAAACTTGCATCTTTATTTATGTAAAAACCGCAATAGATAGAAATATGCAGTTTGCGGGAATCATCTATTGACGTAGGGGGACCAATTGTTTTGAATTCAACGTTACATTCACATTCCCCCCCTTTCCCCCCCTGCCCCTAACTTAATTTTTTTGAATAGCAAGGTACCCCTTGTGACATATCAAATAAAAGAGCATAAAAAAAGAAAATGTTTGATGAAAAAAAATTGAAAATCGGTTCATAAATTTGTGAGATATTCCCCCCCTCACCCCCCCGGAACTTAATTTTTTTTAATAGCAAAGTACCCCTTGTGACATATCATATGAAAGAGCATGAAAAAAGAAAATTTTTGGTGAAAAAAAATTAAAATCGGCTCATGAATTTGTGAGATAATCACCCCCCTTTTCCCCTACCCATAACTTGTTTTTTAATAGCAATGTACCCGCCCTTGTGACATATCAAATGAAAAATAAATTTCGCCAAAATTTTTCTTTTTTCATGCTCTTTCATTTGATATGTCACAAGGGGTACTTTGCTATTTAAAAAAAATTAAGTTCCGGGGGGTCGAGGGGGGGAATATCTCACAAATTTATGAACCGATTTTCAATTTTTTTTCATCAAACATTTTCTTTTTTCATGATCTTTTATTTGATATGTCACAAGGGGTACCTTGCTATTTAAAAAAATTAAGTTGGGGGCAGGGGGGGGGAAGGGGGGGAATGTGAATGTAACGTTGAATTCAAAACAATTGGTCCCCCTACGTCAATAGATGATTCCCGCAAACTGCATATTTCTATCTATTGCGGTTTTTACAAAAATAAAGATGCAAGTTTTTAAAAAAACACCCTGTATATGTTTAAATGTTAAACTTAAATGTTGAAACTATATAAAGGAGGAACACATTGACTCTCGTTTAGTTTTTAGAAAGGTTTTTTAAATGGCTAAAAATAAAGTGTGGTTCTTGCAACCCTTAGCTACAAGCCACCCCTTCCAGTTTTTCTATCACAAATTGCATGGGTAATAATTTAATGTCAAACAATATCTCTATATTATTATGTTATTTAACTGCAGTTAAGATCAGTTTTATTTGAGTTTCAAACCATCAATATCACTATCTTGAATAATCTTAAAATACCCGAAGGCTTACCATGGACGGATTCTTGAATCTACCACGAACATTCAATTATGCTTAGCACATTGCTATTGACATCTCAAAGGTTGAAATCAGCTCAAAATGACTCATGGAGAAGTGTTTACCAAAAGTCAAAGTAAAGGTGGTTCAAGCTGGTCCTAAATAGTACTCACAGATAAAATCGTTGCTTCATTTGTTCACAGACACCATGATACATTACATCAAAAATGTACAAATTAATGGTACATGTATCTTTCTACTAAAACTGTAAGTGAATCGTTCAAACTTACGTGTAGCCAGTAGCGGCAAGAAACATCCCGAGCCTTGGACCCGTGAGACATACGACTGACGGAGCCAGCCACAGGGAAGTTGCGTACATCGTGTAAGACAACCCATGAACAAAGTACCCTTCCACATCAAACGAGGGGTCTTCATCATGGATACTTGATATAATGGTTTTCTGAATAAAAGAATTGCAACCATAGTACAGAAAGGTAGCAGCAAAAGTAGTGATGTTTTCGTATCTTTTTACTTATCATTATCAAATTTAATTTATTTAAAAAATGAAACTTTTCATTTGCAGGCCCATGTTAAGGAATTGTTGGAAAAACTTATAATATGGTTTACTTAAGAAAAAAAATCACAAATTTTAAATACAAATGTGTATGCTTAATTGCATGAATGGCTTTCAAATCATCAAATAAAGTCAGAATAGAAACCCAAGAAAAATGTTTTTTACATGTATTTATTTCACATTCAAAAACTTTTTGAAATAGGACCTTTATAAGGGTTATTATCATAAAGACTAATCTACCTAACAGTAAAAAAATGACAATGGTATGGTATATTGGATTTTGCCACTCTACTCAGTGGATATCTTCTTTCTGTACTCTTTTTAGAACAGAAAGTTGTTGTTTAAAGAAAGAGACCCGTAAAGTCAGCTGGAGTACAGTAAATGACCACCATACTTCAGCAGATAAATTTTGCATTAGATTAAAACAGTGCTTTCCTGTCGACAAAGCCACTTCCCCCTCCTCAGTGTGAAGTCTATAGGCTCGTTCTTCACAACAATGCAAATACTGCGTTAGTCAGAGTAAATTTCTTTTATTGACAAGTACAGCGTGTAGGTAATCATATACCAAACTATATTATAAAATACATTACGATAGGGAAGGTTGTGAAATTCCACATGAAATTATAGGCCTAATGCTTAAGTACAATTAAATGAGCTAAAATCTGCTGCCTGATAAATCTAAAACAGGCACAGATATGAAAAAGTATTATATGTTTAAAAAGTGGCAAAATGATAGCAGGTTATATTAGTCTACATATGTTCTTAAACAAAAAACTTGTAAAAACTTGTTGCTGGTAGTATGGCAGAAAGTATTGCGTGAACTCACTAGGGAAGGCTGTTTACGGTACTCACATGAAGTGCTATGCTCGGCAAGCCTCGGACGGGAACTATCATGCTTGTAGCGTAAACACCTTACAGCCTCATAGCGTAATTTACTAAAGGATTTTTCAAATACCGAGATGAAAATAAGTAAATTACCTGCATATTCACAGAGGCTAGCTGGGATGAGAATAATACCATGAAAGAAATTCCAAGAAGAATAATATTGAAGAGTTGCACGTCAATTTCAATACAGCCAAATTTGGGCATTGTAATTTAACATTCACAACCTGATCTGAGGGTGACGGCTTGCAAACAATTCTCAGTGCTATCATCAAAATCTGTGCTATCATAACTGATATTCACAATCAAGAGATGAAGCTGGAATGTTTCACAACCAACAAATGTGTCACATTAATTCTACATTTGTGATTATGATAAGACAATGTGATTAGTTTACAACACATAGCAAGGTGTTACACACTCGCTAATTACTATTAATATTACTGCTGGTTATAACTTGAAACCTTTGAATATCATTAGTTGAAATTAGTTGTTTGAATATAACTATTTATTGGGTATGGTATAATATTTTTTTATAATTGGATTACCTAGGTGCTAAAAGGAAAAGATAAACTTTGGATCTAATAATCAGTATTTTCTCCTTCTATACCGGAGAAGTGGTGCAGTTCTTAAAAATATACTTCAAGTTTGAAGCAAGCACTTGAAAGCATGTGTGGTTCTGCTGGTGATATTCCACCAGCAGCTACATGGTTTCAAGTCCATCAATGGACTGTCACAATCACTCATTATTACTTTATGGTAATAGAGATATCAGCCCCTGCGAGGGATTACTTGCATTTCTATTGTAATTGTATTGTATACTACCTATAAAGCAATATAATTTCAGACATAAAGCCACGTTTGATAAATTTTCAAACTGTTCAAATATAAAATTCAGAACATAAATTTATTTATATCACCATGTCTCACAGAGATTACAAAACATTACAAAATTCAAAGAATATTTGAAGTAAAATATTTTTGTCTAAAATTGACTTTACGACAGAGGCTTTTATTAGTTATTACCAAACAAACCCTTATGTATTTATGCTTATCATCGAGTTATGCAAAAGCTTGTCCAGTACCTGCATCAGAACATAGTATAAATTTGCAAATTCAGAAGACTTGAGACTATAGCCAGCAAACAAGTTAAGGAAAATAAAATATATTTTTAAATGAATAATGTTTACTGAAACCATATAACAAATAAATTCATAAAGCAAAACACACTAACAGTAGAGAGACAGTTGCAATATAGAGAGAGACGGATTGCAGAGTGGCAGAGCTGTAGTGAGGGCAATAGGGACATTGGTACGAGCCACAGACCTCACAGATGTTCAGTACATGGAGAGGGGTGGAGTTGAACACCACTTGCACGAATCTTTCTGTGGACAGAAACAGAATCAAATAAATCAAAGTCCAGATCTTTCCTTGTAAACTTAGGAAACTGCTTCATGCTTTAGTTTAGCAACAAAACAAACACAAACCTCTAGCAGTGGCTTCATACAACAACGCTTGTCTGTGCAGTGTTATGTTGGCTACAGGGAACCATCGCTTGAGAGTGAAGTTGAAACACGTCCAGTGCTTCTCAACCTAGAAAGTAAATAAGTAATTTCTTATTTTGGTAAATAATATATATTTTCAGCAGACTTCTAATGTATAAAATTACTTATCATCATCATCATTGCCATAATTAATTTAGCAGTTTTATCCTCCAGGGCCTGCTGACAAGCCTCTTCCATCCTTGTATCTCTATATATAGATCTTTCTCCTCCACTTGCTATAAATAGGCCTATTATTTCCCCCAGGGGTTTAAACATTTTCCAGATATGCCAATTCTTTTGTAATCTTCCGTTACTTCTCTTTTCACTGATTTATCAAGTCAGACTATTCCTACATCCTTCATTACCTTTTTCTGATAGCTAAACAAATAAATGGATAATATAGTTCTCGCCTACTTAACAGAAGGTCTCTAGTTCAATCCTGAGTGAGTCAGTAGCTTTTTTAAGGCTCAAAACAGGAACTCAAAATTGGATAATGATGTTATTTGGTCCAGGATCACTTCTTGAAAATTAAAATGGTATAAGATTACCTGTTTCCGCCTATGATCCTAAATTTGTAGTAATGAGCTACCAGTTTTGAGGTTAGACGGAAACAGGTAATCTTATACCATTTCAATTTTCGAAATTGGACACAGCTGTCCTTGATCATTTGGCAAAATAGTCCTCACTAAGAAACCAGCTGATCTCAGTCAACTAAACAAAGGTTTCATCTCATACCCACACTCACCTTTGAGTCATCTTGCATTAAATAGCGCATCCTGGTGTACAATATCTTACTGACCAAAAATGTAATTTTTTTTTACGTCACCAAACCTCACTATTTTCACCACTCTCAATTCTTTGATATTGTACTATCAGATCTAAAACAACTATTTGACTAAATCACAAATATACCTTTTCAAAGAACCACAAGCTCCTGGTGTATGTTATGTGCCCGTCTCGCAATGTAGGATGTGTTCCTAGCCTGGAGATCACTTCTGCCTCTGACTCCACCATGGAGTATCCTGTGGGAGAGTCTATCTCAAGTGTGGCAGCACTGCTTGTAGGAGGATCATCACGCAACCACCTTCAACACACACAGGCAGGTAAACTCAACAACTACAGTAGATAAAAAAAGTAGAAAACTAAAATTGTATAACCATGCACTCACTCAAGCTTAATACTATACACCTAAAACTACCGCACTGTCGCTTAAGATTATTGACAAAATAAATCGTATAATATTTGGGCTTGAGACCACCAATACCTTTTTACAGCTAAGCCTCTTAGTTGTTTTAAGAATAAAAGCTAAATGATTGCACACTCGGCATGATGGTTGAGTCACTACAAAGAGGTGCCAAAATTGTACCTTTGCGCTAAATTAGTTCCATATGCACATCATATTAGCTCCTCCAAAGCTTAAATCAATTGATAAAGTAACATCACATATATAAATGGTACAGTATAATCTAAAAATACAAGCACATCAAAGATCCCAAAAAGAAAGATGACATAAAGTTAAACAGCAAACATTGTCAACCCTACAAAATGGAAATGCTTTGTATTGACAAAGGAGATAATAGTCCAGGCGCTAAACGGGTTGAGTATGCACTGAAAGTCTGACAAAATTTGACTTTTGATTATTGTTGGGGACATCTAGTAGATGAAAAAAATCGATGATGTCGCATTTCTAGGGTGGTCACAACTTGGGGGGGAGGGGGGGAAGTTGCGCGGGTCATCGGTTTACGTTTCCGCGTCTAACTCACAAACGGTTAATGATAGAAAGGTGAATTAAGCGTCTATCTACGCCTAAATATATTGTCTTTTAAAAAGGTTACTACAACCTTTCTTCTATCTCTCATACTTTAGCCGCTAATCAACATTTATTGCAAAAAATAAAATTTAAAAATATTTTAAAATGAAATATCGGAAATATTGCGCTTGTTTGGGGCATGTTACAAACTATTTATGGTTAGAAAAACTAACAAGTAGTACAACAACACCAAGTTTAAAGAAATCCGTGCAAAAACAACAGAGCTACGTTGATTTCAGTAATAGTAAACGTGGAACACTCGTAGTAGTATCGAGGCGCGCATGGATGGTACACGTAGCCCACAGTCAATATAGGTTTAATGTTGTAAGTAACTATGGGAAAGCTGAATTTTTCTATGCTGTTAGACCATGTTGAGATTATCATTTTCCCGAAAGTCAACACTCCTCCCCCCTTGTGCTTTCCTCTAACCCCCCTTTTTATATAAATTTACAGCCTCTTAGAAATTAAGCTATAACTTTAAAACGGGTAAGGATAATAACGCAATCTTTTATTAATAATTTTGCGTTACGATATTCTACAAAAAGTGTATTTACCATGGTATCCTAAATATTCATAGTTAAAAATATCATAAACATAAAAAAATATTTTTTACGGATTAATTTATGAAACTTTTTTGTAGATTTTTTATACGAGGTCGCACAACAAAATGTTTGATACAAAATTTGGGGTGCATAGTTTACATTTTAAAATGATACATAGTTATTAACAGTTTGTTTGCATATAATGGTTATAAATAGTACAGTATATTGATTTTACAGGACTCTGGCTTTTTTGTGCACCGCAACAATGAAAAAAATTACGTATATTATGGTTTTTGTATTTGAATTTGCCGCTTTATGTAGATTATATTAACGTTATGTATCTCATTCCGTACATATACAGACTGTAGTGGATACATATGAATGAATATCGTGCATTTGCTGCTGTACGCCAGAGCCTCATTTTAGGGTGTCTCACCTAAAGTGAACCAATAGATAACTTTTTTGTTATGAGGTATAGAGTTAACTTCTTATGGGACACTACCCTTTATTTTAAGATGTTTTTTTAGTGGTTTCGAGTTTTAAAAATATGTTCGCCATTTTCCAATATGGCTGACAACTTTGTTAGTCCTATGGAATACCCTGTATTTTATGATTGTTTTAGAATGTAAACGCACAACTTTTAAACCTTTTTATTCTTGACATTTTTCTCTAAAGCTACTTGTTTAGGAGTTACATCGAAAAAGAAATGGTTTGTGAGTACATCCTGCATCCTGTAGCTCATAAACGAGTAAGTTTAAGAGCGGAAATACAAAGAATAAACAAGTTTTCAAATCACATCTACATTTAAAAGAAACCATAAAATAAATTGTTCCAATATCAAAGTAAGCTAGCATTTTTGAAAATGGTGGCCATTTTTAAAACAACAAAATCAGTATTTTTTTAGGAGTTACATCGAAAAAGAAATGGTTTGTGAGTACATCCTGCATCCTGTAGCTCATAAACTAGTAAGTTTAAGAGCGGAAATACAAAGAATAAACAAGTTTTCAAATCACATCTACATAAAAAATACCATAAAATAAATTGTTCCAATATCAAAGTAAGCTAGCATTTTTGAAAATGGTGGCCATTTTTAAAACAACAAAATCAGTATTTTTTTTACGTATTTTATATATTTTTTTGAACGAGGACTTATGTGTGACTTATTTATTCTTTGCACTTTCTCTCTCAACTTACTCGTTTATGAGCTACAGGATGCCGAATGTACACCACAAGCCTTTCTTTTAGATATAACACGCTGTAACTCCTAAATGGGGTAGGTTTAGAGAAAAAATGTCACGAATAAAAAAATAGCTTTTAAATTCTAAAAGAATACTAAAATACGAAATAACAAAGTTGTTGGCCATATTGGAAAATGGTGAATATATATTTTTATTCGTAACCATCCCTAAAAACATTTTTTACAAATAAAAGGGGTCGTCTAATAAAAAGTTAACTCTATATGGAAAATAAAATTTATGTATGTTCACTATGTAATCTCAACCGGGATGAAACGTGTACCCTCTTATAGCAGAATGTCCAATTTAAAAAAATATACGTCAATTTTGGTCTAACAAGTTATATTTAAATGAATATGAGTTTTTTTGAATTGTTAAATGGCAAAGATTGGCGGCACTTGGAAATTATCTTAAAGAGGCGTGGAGTAAAGGGTGGGAATTGATAATGGAGTATAATTATTAAATTTAAGAATTTACATATCATTACAAAAATTGGAAAAATCTATGTAATTTAAAAAATTTATAAAATAATGTTTGTTAAGTATCTATCAAAGTAAATTATAAAAGTAACAGGTTTGTTTTATGAATTATTAACTCTTTGTAGGAAAAATTCAGATTCTCAGTAGGCTACATTTAAATTTTATTATTCATTCAATTGATATCTGATCTATTAGTATGTACTGCTATTTGTGTACGTTCTGTAGTGGAAATCAGTTTATTTTATGAATAATTGTATGTGATTCATGGAATTTTTTTAAACTGTTTTAAAATATTTTAAAATCAGTGTGTCTAACACGAAACAGACGGTCTTTGACCATTGTTCTTTGCGTTTAAATAAAAAACATTGTATTGATATTTTATTACAATGAACACATTTTCTTCTTCTTCTTCTTCATAAATCTATAATAATTCTTTTTAAATATTTATTCATCTAATAATTCTTTTTGTAGATTATCGTAACGCAAAATGATTAATAAAATATTGCGTTATTATCCTTAGCCGTTTTAAAGTTATAGCTTAATTTCTAAGAGGCTGTAAATTTATATAAAAAGGGGGGTTAGAGGAAAGCACAAGGGGGGAGGAGTGTTGACTTTCGGGAAAATGATAATCTCAACATGGTCTAACAGCATAGAAAAATTCAGCTTTCCCATAGTTACTTACAACATTAAACCTATATTGACTGTGGGCTACGTGTACCATCCATGCGCGCCTCGATACTACTACGAGTGTTCCACGTTTACTATTACTGAAATCAACGTAGCTCTGTTGTTTTTGCACGGATTTCTTTAAACTTGGTGTTGTTGTACTACTTGTTAGTTTTTCTAACCATAAATAGTTTGTAACATGCCCCAAACAAGCGCAATATTTCCGATATTTCATTTTAAAATATTTTTAAATTTTATTTTTTGCAATAAATGTTGATTAGCGGCTAAAGTATGAGAGATAGAAGAAAGGTTGTAGTAACCTTTTTAAAAGACAATATATTTAGGCGTAGATAGACGCTTAATTCACCTTTCTATCATTAACCGTTTGTGAGTTAGACGCGGAAACGTAAACCGATGACCCGCGCAACTTCCCCCCCTCCCCCCCAAGTTGTGACCACCCTAGAAATGCGACATCATCGATTTTTTTCATCTACTAGATGTCCCCAACAATAATCAAAAGTCAAATTTTGTCAGACTTTCAGTGCATACTCAACCCGTTTAGCGCCTGGACTATAATGGGCTCTCCAAATAGCTAACATCTAAACTACAAAGTTAATGCTTGTGCATGGGGAATTCATAACACCAAAACATCGGACAGCATTTTTGTTAATTTTGTATTTACCGGTTAAAACATATTTCAGTAATAAAAGTCATTGTAAAATGTTAGAACAAAACTGTATATTTATTATGATAGAAAAATGTAAACATAAGCATTCAACAGATGTTTTAGATAATTGTTCATATTATAAATTACTAGCTGTAACCCGCGGGCTTTGCCCCGTTTAACTTCTTAATTTTCAAGATTATCTCGTTCGCATGGCTCAATCACGTCCTGGTTGAAGTTTGTTCGCTACGCTCACTCACCTTTAGGTTGGAGCTCGTTCGCTGCGCTCACTTGCCTTCAGGTTAGCTCGTTCGCTACGCTAACTCGCCTCCAGGTTGAAGTTCGTTCGCTACGCTCACTCACCTTTTGGTTGCAAATTAGCTGTTGTCATAAATGTAAAAGAAATAATAGTGCTGCACCCTGTTGGTAATCCTTGTAACTTTAATGCTATTGAACATCATAGAACAGAACCAACTTGTTTAATTGAAACAGCTGTTAAGATTCAATAATTCCATTTCTCATAAGGTTAACATGGGAAACTCCAGAGCCACTGGGGCGGAGCCCGAAAGGATTTTTGAAATAATAATATGCCTATATGTTAATCGGGAATGTGAGCTATCATCATGCCAAATTTCAGCCCAATCCGACCAGTATTTTTCGTGTTCACTTGTCACAAACATACATCCATACATCCATACATCCATACATCCAAACTTTCTCATTTATAATATTAGTAGGATAAGCCAGGTATGAATGAAATATATTATAGTCTTCCCCTCTAAAAAGAGAACAACAGGTTGACCGGTACTCAAAGACGGATTAATGACACTAATAATATACAACGTTTTGTTGCTTTGATACTCTACTCATCTAATTCATTTAGTATATCTCTCCTATTTTTCTAAATTACCTCAAGCAGCTTTGAATCGTAAGGGCTGACTTGTTTCTGAAGGTGGAGTAGTACTCGGTGATGTTCAAGTCAAAGCTTGGCAGTGTGGGGACCTCTACAAACATCTCGTGGTCAATGCCGTAGTTAACATCCAACTGAGCCACAGCTTGCCCAGCTCCTTGGGCTTGGATGATCACGTTTCCCCACACTTTTGGAATCTGGAAACATTTTTCATCCAATGTTAAAAAGTATTGTATTCATGGAGAATGTTATTGTTAGTAGATTAGCTACGTTTGCTCTATAACTGTAATATTTTCCCTTTTTTAAGATTGTCTAATTTATTGTGGATTGGAAGGGGATGAACCAATACAGTACAAAGATGATCTTAAATAACTATTAGTGGCGTCACTACGAAGTCAACCCACGACATGGCTACCATGAAATCATTTGTTTGCACAATCCACTAAGTCACCGACTCACCTAACTACTGTATGATCAAGTGTAAAGATTTTACAATAAGGATATATGGAGTAGTTTTTTTAATGAAGTTCTACACCTACAAATAGGGGCAACAAACTACGAGGATTACGATTGCGGAACACAAAGTCAGAAAAGTAAAATTTAAGTACCTGTTTTAAAATGCATCTTTGTTTTTTAAACTTAATTTCTGTTCAGTTTCAGCAATGTCATCAAAAGAAGGGGAGTTATACAGTTGGATTTAGTTTCAAGGCTTTAAATTGGTTCATTAGATATTCGAGCTAAGAAACATAAAGCTGAAAAACAGGCTACAATCAAATTTCAGCAGGTATCTTAAATGATCATGTGGTACTGGTACCAAGTCCCAAAAAACTGGAAACTGTACATTCTTGAGTTACGATATTATCTGTCCTAAAGGTACGGTACAGTACATACAGCTCTATTTAAAATTTCTGCAACTTGGTAGTGGAAACAAGGATCGACATACCTTAAAGTTAAAAGCAACTCACCTGCAAGTGACTTTGAAACAAGACGGTTGAGTTGTCAATGTGCACTTTGGTCCGCAGATTGTCTGATGTCGGCAGCTCGATGGTGACGTCCATGTTGGTGATCTCATGTAGTCTGGCTCGGAATGCATATTCCGTCAAAGACTGGATAGCGATCAACGTGTCCTAGGAACAGGAATACACAGCTGAGCTAATGCAAATAAAAAAAAGAAAGTCTCCCTGTTGAAGGGTACCTGCAAGTTTTCAGTCGCTAAGTTAAATTTAGATTCCAACTGGTTCATAATAAAAGGAACATTATGTTCAGTTTGACTAACATTGCCTCAATGAGAACTTAAGTTATTTGCTATGACTGCTACAAGGATTTTGTGCAAAAATCCCCTTAGCTTCCCACAGTAAAATTCATAGTTCACAAACCCATTCAGGTAAGGTTGAAAACAAATAATCCTTACTTAGTTGTAAAATGGGAGCTAAAAGTTGTATTTTATTACAAGGATGCAACAATGTCCTATTTTTATGGCTAAAAAAAGATGAAAACAAACCTCATCAAACTCAAACCTCCTTACATAGATATAGAATTCACCTTTCGTAAACACCTCTTAGGCAAAAAAATTCACATTTCAATCATAAGTTCTAATATCTTCATTTAGAATTAAAGTAGATGTTGATACCGAGACCACGAACAGTCTTAATCAGCAGTCCAATTATACAAGACGCTATCCCGAAAAAGATTGATGTTACTAACCACAGGTGAGATAAACCCGCCAGATGTCATCTTGACAGAGTTGAGCCACTTTACGATCCTCTCCGCCGTGTCAGTGACGCCCTCACGGTGTAGCAGGATCAGCAACACCCAGGACGTGGTCTCTACTGCCACTGAGTCCTGCTCCTGGTACTGCCTGGGCCTCAGGAACGGTCGCTGGTTCTCCTTCTTCATGGGGTTGGCGGCAATGTCTCTCGGCGACCAGAATATAAATCCTTCTGTATATTACACAAGGCAACTAAGACAACTTAAATTGATATAAAGACAGTACAGACATTTTCAATTACATAGTAAAAAAACAAAGTTTTTCACGATGATTTGGGTTCTGGAATCTCATATCTGTCTCATGTGAAATTACTAATTCATGACAAGATTAGTGCACAAACCAGCTAAAGCTGGAAAATCACGTAAAGCAAAAACCACACTGAGAACTTTTAGTCAAAATAAGAAAATAAAAAATTCTGAAAGACCACGATAGTTAGAACAAATAGAGGTTATGATCACACAATGGACATGTCTGCACAAGATGGTGGCTGCAACAAGACAAGGTAAGACAGATCACAGGAATGATCACAGATTACCACTTTCTAAAGAGTCGTCTACATTGCTATTGCTTGAGAATTCAAAATAAGAACACAACATGAGGGGCATGTGGGTAGTCAAGGCCCCAAGCAACATCTGACATCTGCCTCAGGAAGACTTTATTGACGGCCCAAGCAACTCAAGTTTGATTGGCCCTGTGGCACTGAAAGGGACTGCAAAAAGCCCATAATCATGTATTGACTCAATAAATCAATCACAAACATGTAATGAGAATAATTTATAGTGGCACAAATTCTTAAATATTTTGATTGCCATAATTACTTTGCACCTTATGCAGGGCAAGAAGATTAAGGTCGACAGATACACCTATCAAGAAGTAGGTATGATTATAAATCACTATTTGATAACAGTGACAACAGTTAACTAGGTCCATAAACAGTCGAAACAATTTTTTTATCAAGATCTATTGTGGTTGCTTACCACTGTTAGTCCTTTGGGCCTGCATGAGTCTATGATACCCTAGCTCCACATCTGCTCCCATACCCACAGATAGAGCGTAGACAGACACCGCCAGGAGGTGGGGGTCGCTGAGAGAGCCTAGCAGCCGCTCAAGGTAGGTTGCTGCCCTGCCACTCGCGACTGCAGCTCTAATCTTGATCTCTCCAGACAACATAGACATGCACTGGCACAGTGTCAATAACACGTGAGCTGTCAGGGAGATGTGTCTAGTCTGGAAGAGATCAAGTGGAAATTCATTAGTTATAGACATAACTACAATCTTAAGACGACAAAGTCGTAGAACACTTCCATTGGGCTCATCATCCACTGAAACGTCACAATGATGTGAAGTAAGTGCTTGAGTGAGTTGTATTCTACAATCCTTAATGCATATTTCACCACGTTACATCATTTTCAGACATCCTATTTACACTCACATTGTTTTTCTTTAAAATACCTGTCTAGTACTAAATATAAAGTATGCAAGTGTATGGAAATATATCAGACTATACCAAATGGTTGGAATGAATTCTACTGAATATATACGCTACTGAATTCTTAGCACGAACAATATTTTTTTCTTGAATCAGAACCATTTGTACATTACTTTAAGGTAGGCCTAGAAGGTCACAGTATTATCAAATTGAAAAATCCATTGGTTGATCAGCAAGATTTGAACTAGGAACTTCGGGGACGGAAGCCCCAAGCTCTACCACCAGACCAACTCGTTCTCCATTTAACTTGTACAATAAAATTGATAGCAATACTAAAAGCTCAAAATATTTACTTCTTAACAAAAACAAATTACCTGAGAATTTAATTTTGAATCAATATCAGGGTATGGTTCCACAAAACTGCCGTTGGGAGCTTGAAACTGAAGCAGCCATGTGATGCTTCTATCTGGAATACTTGGGTCCAGGAACAACAAAAACTCCCAGTCTGGGTAAGAGGCTGCCTTTAGCATCTGGAGAACCCACGCTGTCAACCTGAAGGATGGAGTCAAACTTGGATCGTTTCAAGTGTCAAGTATCAACATTCACATTGACATATAGCCCCTATTGTTGGATTGAAGCAAAAGATTTTGTCACAGCTTATAAAGCTATAAGCTATAAGTAATTCAGAAATATTTCATGTAAGCACATGAAATATTTCTGAATTACTAAACTTGTCAATTAGTTCTTAAAAAAGTTCTCTTAGTTAAAGCCGAACTATAAGGTGTTTTTACTGATACGCCCTCTCATGAATAAGAACCAACTTAATTGCTGTTTTTTGTGCGTTTTGAGCTAGTGAACACTAAAACTTATGGAAATCAATAATTTATTTTTGTCTTGTTCTACACATTTCCAATCATCAAGACAAGATATAACAGTGGTAAAAAAAAACTATTCTTTCTCTGTTTGAAATCTAGTCAAATATTTCTGTTAAATAAGAGTTTGTCATTAATACATTTTGCTGCCCCTAAAAGATCAAACAAATACATAAATATTTAAAACTACACTTTTTAAGCTATTGGAAGACCATAACCACTTTCTTACCAAACACTAAACCCTGAGGAATCCCAGTTTCTAAACGATCCATCAATGTTAAATCTTTTTATAATTTGAGCATATATCGCATTGCACTCAAACAAAACTTCTTTTAAAAACGGCCTCTGTAGTTTGTTGGTCAAACGGAGATAGTGCAGAGTCCAGATGTTGACACCAAACTCAAAAACTCTTGCCAAAGTTCCTTTAGCTGAGGTTTTCAATGTTGATTCCATAGTTGCTGGCACAGAAGAGAATACAGGTCCGATTATATCACCTGAAATAAATTGCAAAAATTGATTTAAATAAGTTAATTTTACATTTTTCCTGTATTTAAATATTCAAAAAAAGGGAATACAAGTGTAAAGATTACCAATACAAAGTTAAAGAGTAATGCAAGACTTTTTATGAAAAAAATATTAAACTTTCAAAATAAATCATGATAAATCATCAACTTTTAGATTCCTTGGAAATTGCAAGGTTACACACAAGAAAATTCTTTAAAACTTTATGTGGACAATTTCTTCTGCATCTTCTTCCCACTCAATTGATGGTTGAAAGCAAACCTCAATTATTATTCACGGTTGGGCAAAACAATCCTTGGTCATGAAAGCCTTTGTTATTCTTCTAGTAAAAAAATAAAGTTCAAAGAAATATTTTTATTTTCAAAGATATATTTTCTGATTAATGTGTTTTCTACTTACCGAACAGCTCAATTGAGGCTGAAGTGCTGCCGTAGACATAGCGTCGGGTCATGTTGTAAGGTATTATTGGACTCTCTTCAACTATAATGTCCAAGTAGGACATCACTAGAGCTCTGTTCTTCAAGTCCAGGAAAACTGAAGTATGCTTGTTGATCATGGCTCCTCCTCCCTAGGAATTGAATCGTAATTAAACTTTAATTCTTAGTAATTCCTGAGGACCGATTTTCCTAATAAGTTTTTCGGAAGCCCTGCTATGCACAGATTGATTGTAATATACAGTGTGTAAATTACGTCTTGAAACAAATCTGTATTTTTAAAACCGAAATGGATAGAAATATTCTGTTTGTGGAGTTGACTGTTAACAAAGGTTCCGTAATTCTTTCCATCAAAAATATTTTTAATCCCCCTAACAGTAAAAGGGTATTTTCTTTGTCCTAACACTTTACTCTAGTCAACTAACAATGAACTTCTACTCTAATTACAGAGTTTGATTACTTGGGGGAGTGTTAACTGGCTTTCACAAGGTTTTCTACTACTATGATAACACTAGTCATTGGTCATCACATAGGGGTAGAAACCTGTAAGAATAATAATGTATGAAATTTTACAAAAACGGCGCTTGTGACAAATTTGAACTAAACTTGCTTGTTGAAGATTTTAACTTATAGAAAACCCTCATAAAAGTTAGGCTGTCTGAATAATCAAGCACCTACATGTACAGTAATGGTGAGTGTTCTCTCTATAGAGCCTGTCTGGGCAGTGCAGACGACTGTCACCTCCATTTGTCCCTGCTGAACAGTTGGTACCACTGGAAAGTCTATGTGCTGCTGTGATTCTGGGGGCATCTGTTAAATTATCAGGTGGAATTATGTTAGATTATATCTTTTTACTAATTTTGCATTCAACAATCATTACAACATAAGTTTTCTCTGTCATTTACATTACTAGTATCATAGGCCTTTCTCTTCATATCAGATGGGTGGCCATGATGGCAGCTTTTCCTCACCAGTTTGGAATTATTTGTTTAAGTTACTGGGTATCACCACTGTAAAGGTGCATTGTCCCTGAAGCGACTCCTGCGATAGTAGCTGAGCGATAGTAGCTCAGCGATAGTAGCTGAGCACTGGTTAGCGTTGTTTCAAATGGGACCATTGTCCTTGACGCGACTGCGACTGGAGCGGCTAGCGGCTGAACACAGCGACTGTAGCGGGTCTGCTCTGAGGGGAGTCAGAGTCGCAGTCGCTGAGCGATTTGTGTTGTGTATAGACTTGTTTTGGTCGTAATGTCTTCAAAGAATACAAAACTGCTTTTTACCCCTGAAGAAGATATCAGATATGTACATAATATTAAATCACTACTATTATAAATTATAAATGAAAATACTTTTAAAATATGCAACGTTTTTAAACGCACTATAAAGTAAAAAATAATTTATAAATATGTGGGGAGAATAAATACTTGTAAGATAAAAAAAATACCCCCGCCGCAGCAAACCTGCAGACTAAGCGAATTTCCATTTGCCTGATTTGATTTTCAATTAAATCTATTCAAATAACATTAGGTTTTACGAGTACCTAGGTTTGCTGCCTACAGGGTAATAAAGTGTGTTTTTCAGTAAAATATTAACAGCTTAGTATAAAATAAATCGATTGGCCAAGTTTGATCCAAATATATGCATAAACAAGCAAACTACAAAAGGTTACTTATTCTCCATAAGAATAACATGGGAATTTTTAATTTATAATTTTCTCCGTAACCAATAACCATACAAAAACACTTCAATATACTGAATTATTTGTTTTTTTAAGCTCTTCAAAATGGTCTAGAAGAAATTTGGGAAATTTTATGTTTTGAGGGTCAAAAATGAGAAAAACCAATTTTTACCCCATAAATCCCCCCATAAAACCCCGTTCCAATTGTCCGATCATGCTGGCTCGCGAACTCGTTCGAATAAACGTAGGTTTACACGTTTGTACCAAATTTCATCAAAATCGGATCATTTTTGCTCGAGTTATCGAGCTGACGGACACATATATATATATATATATATATATATATATATAAATAAATATATATATATATGAATTTGAACGGATGGTGTTTTTGGCTTCTAGGAACATCAAAATGAAAAAGTAAATCGGTCCCGGGACTAAGTCTTACCATGAGACCTACGGTAATAGCTTATTCCCTATAGGGAAATTCGCTAAAACGTGGGGCCCATGCTGATTTACAATAATCTTTACATATTGAACTATTATTATCTATTGCATTCACCCCACGTTTTTCGTTTATAATCTTTTGAGTATTTATTCCCTCCACGTATTTATACATTATTTTTACTTTTTAGTGCTTTTAAAATCGTGGAATTTAAAAAAAGTATTTTTTTTTATAATTTATTTTCAATTTTTTAGTCTTTAATGTGTAGTGTAAATATGTTAAATCTATTTGATATGGCCTGTTAATACATACAAAACCCTTATTATCTGTAGTCATATGTTTTATATTTCCTTTGAACTGCTTATTTTATATTTAGAATCTCTCGGGATCAGAACCTGTACCTCTACCCAAGCTTTTCGAACTGTCAAATTTAAGTATTTACGGTTGACTTCAAAATGTAACATGGAAAATTTGGAAGCCCATGGGGCTTAGCCCAAGGAAAATATGAAAATTAAATGACATAGTATTACATTGTCATCCATTTGTGAGCTGTGTTCTCTAGTTTCATTTCTCTAGCTCGTCGGGAAGTTAGTTTAAAATGTATTGCAAAGTTTGTACCGGACAAGAAAGCGAGCTTATAAAAACGTTTTAAAATTAGGAGGTGTCATGGCACTCATAGCACCAATTCACTTGAAAGTCAGCAAACTAATATACAGAATCGCTCTAGAACAATCGCTTCAGGGACAATGACATGGTTAGCTACTATCGCTGAGCTACTATCGCTCAGCTACTATCGCAAGAGTCGCTTCAGGGACAATGCACCTTAAATTTCCTTTGGCCAGTAATGCTAGCCTTCCAAGCGTTTGATTTTTTTACTTTCAAAAATACCTTCTCAGTAAAATGAGAAAGTTAACTTAGCTATGTATGGTGCAAAAACAGTCGCCACCAAACAATTAAGACATCCTAAATATTCTTTAGGTTTGCGAAGCTTAAATAGTATGTTGTATAATTCATCTCCCACATATAGGACCGTACACATGGCAGCGGTTGGAGCCGCGGTTACGCTGCGGTTGCGGTGTGAATTGACCGTGTAAATACAGACAGTACTGTATTTACCCAATAATTTATTTTTAACGCGTAACGCTTGACAACTCTCTTCAGCAAAAAACTCAACTTACTCTTGCCACACAATCTTTTTTGTCTTAACCGTATCTTCTTTTTGTACTTATTTAATGAGCAGTTCAGTGTCAAAGTTTTCTGGTTCCATGCATGGCCATTGTAAACTTACACTACGAGCACTACATCAACTCCAGCCACAGCTACACACTTCACCAACACAGAGAGCGATGTCCACAGGGCAAGCGCGCAGATGTCTGTGATCCTATAGTAGCAACTGCAGTCAACCGCGGCGGCTACCGCCCTCATGTGTACGCTCTCATGCCAACTCTAGTAACTTCAACCGCACGGGAGCCGCGGCGATCGAAGGGAAATCTACGATCGCCGCGGTTTGTTGCGGTTGATTGGAAGTGGGCGGTTGCATGTGAACGGTCCCATTTGCTCCTTTGTACTTTCAACTGCCGCGGTTCCCGCGCAATGGCAACCGCGGCGGCTGCCGCCCTCATGTGTACAGGGCCATAGTGTTAATACATTAACTTACATACACCAACAACTGATGATCACCAGATGAGAGACGGGCTGAGTAGCTGGACACACTGCCACCTGCTTCAACATGTACGAACTTGTAGAGTGGCGAGCCTTTGAGTGTCAAAACCACCAGCGCCTCCGAGTGGTGGTGGTTAAAGAGGTCCACCTGGAGTCCAATCTGCTCACCTGCATAGCACGAGCTTGGGCCATTCATGTGCATCATAAGGTGGCGCCTGCTTGAAAACTAAAACATGGATAAACATTGGTTCAAGATCAAAAAATTGCATCAAATAATTTTAATTTATTCACCATTAGTGCAGTTATATACACTGAATAATGAATGGTGTCACTAATAACGCTGTTCATCCAGCAATTCGAAACTATTAAACAAATTAGTTATTGATTGTATGTTTGCTTGAGAAACAGTTCCTAGATATGGCCGAATGGTATCCAACAGTAATCAGAGGTGAAAAAGGTTTTTTCAGGGCTGGATTTACATTTTATCCATATAGAGGAGTGATAACTGTTGTTGGTAAATAAATAGTAATCATTCAAATTAATTCAACAAGCAACAATTGAACAACTGAAGGAAAACAATGCAACAATTGTTTAATTTTGAAAGCTACATGGTTCATTCCTTTTTTTGATCAGGTAAAAAATTATTATCAATTATATTATAACATTGTTAAACCAATTCTCACAAAAATAAATTACCTCCTAATGTTATTTATTATTATAATTATTATTCACCTTAGTAAATTTTGTAAAATCAACTACAGTTTGGATGAGTGAATCGCCAATCTATCACTTAAAATCATAAGTAACTGAGACTGGGAAAAACGTACCACCACTGTGCATGCTGTCCAAATTTTTTTTTAATTACCGACAAACTCTCCCTCCTCACCACACGCCTACACTGTTTACAAACTGTAAAAAAGGACTTACAACAATAGGCTCAGGTATGATGCTGAAGCCGTAGTCGTTGTTGATGCTGAAGGCAGTAAAGTACCAATCGTCTGCTGTCTGAGGAGCTATCAGAGGTTCAAACTCTACACCTTCGTGGTCATTGACCTTGATCTCCCTCCATCCCCAGTCACCTTCTCTCATGTCATACAGGAACTGACAACATGACAGCTTGGATAAACAAAGTGACCTCAGCAGAAAACTAGTCAAGTAATATACACATATCAAGACTGATTCTCTGATTATGGTCCTTTTAGGTTTTATAGGAAAATCATTTTTTAAAACCAAGATTTAAAAAAAATATATAAAAAAAACGTGGAGTTAGTAACGCCATGGCCACCATGGTCGACTATCAATATGGGGTAGGTGGGGTTTAAAATGATATAGAAATGAATGAAATTTCATTAAAAGCACCACAGTGAACATATTTTTCAGATTTCTTAGTAAATCAATAAAAAAAAAACAGCAATAATTGGCAGAGCAAATTTAGGTTCAAAACTATATTAAATGAACCTACTTGTACAGTACCTAAATTTAAAAAGTTCCAGGGGAGGAACACTCGGACCCCCCCCCCCTCACTACTGAAGTGCAATTCCATACCACCCCAGAACCCTTGGCCCCCCTTATGAAAAAGTCAGATTCACGCCCATGGTAATCACTAAGTCGTGCCATAGTAACCACGAACCATGAATAAGCACAGACCAAATTAGCACATAACAGACAGATGATCTGTCAAAGCATAGCTCTGTACTTATCCACAAATACACAAACAGACACACACAAGCAGACAACACTTTTATTTATTTTTTTTTGTGCAGGGGGGCCAAAAGAAAATTGTCATCTTAAACTAACCCTCAACAATTTTGACAAAAATACATTCTTTATTATGCATAGGTGAAAGTAAAAATGCATTCTGATGATGGAAAAATAGAGGGTTGGTTCTTATCAACCTCCAATTGCTCAGTGCAGATGCTAGGCGAACAACAGAACTTCGGCCTGAATAGAAGGCGACAAGGCAACATCCACACTACACACCACAAACACCACCTTAAGCCCTCACCCTGTGATATGCTATAGGCACGTCAAGATGTTGCAAGAGGTGTTGTTTTGTCCAAGTAAAGGAAACAGTGCTTCGGAAAATCCAGAGAATGTTCCAAGTTTGTGGCATTTAAGATGAAGTGAACACAAAAAATTAGTCAAAGCAATTTATTTAGTTTTGCTTATCCATGAATGTGTGGAGCCAACAGGATTCCAAGATTGGTTTGGTTTACATGACAGTAAGTTTTTAAATAATATACTCACCTCATTTCTACTTGTCCTGGTGATTTTATATTTATACTCCACTTCATCAGATATTAAACCTGTAGGGCCACAAAATATAAGATTAATGGTTTGGTAATGTTTTAAACGAATAAGAAATAGTGACTACTTTACTGCAGGCAAAGAAATGATCAAGATTTGCGTTAGCAATAATGCCTACAAAGTATAAAATAGTGGCATAGAATAGGTCAATCCAAAGCTAAAATGTAATCTAAATAATTCATGCAACTTACAAGCAATTTCATCGAATCCTGACGTACAATCCACTTCTCCATCGCAAGTCTTGTTGGCTGGATAGCAACTGTTAGCATCACAAGGCAACTCTGGTGCAGCATCACACATTGCTGGAACATAGTGTTCAACTGAAATCTGGCCAACAACATCAGATAAATGAATTTTTCTTGAAATTGTGATTTTTAAGTCTTACTGTATACAGTGGCTTTTTACTTTATCGTCGAACTAACAGTTTCAAGCACACTTTTGATTGAATAGTAGTTGTTTTGAAGAATTTAATTGTTGGAAATGTTATTAAAGCACCCCTTATTTTACATGTAAAAATTCCAAAATGAAAACTATATTATATCTAATTATATTTTTAATGCTATAAAAATAAAACAATAGCTTTTTTGTGAGAAAAAAGTGATATTTATTGAACAACAATTTAAAAAAATATTTATTTCCTATTAGGGATTAGGTCAACCAAACAGAATCAAATACCTGGTGGGGTACGGCCCTTGAGGGAACCATTCCGGCATTTGCCTGAGTGAGGAAAGGAAACGTACAAAACATCTCTCAGAATGGCCGGTCTGATAATCAGACCTCAATAATGCTATCACCCTAGATTAAATTACTATTACATTTATACATAACAAAATACTTAGTACAAACTAAATTACATCCCTAATACCAAATAGCCTATAAACACAAAAAAATACCTAATACTACATTCCATACAGTATACGCTATATATATCCACTATACAGTACATGAAATATTAACAAGATCTTGTCTACGTTTTTCTTTTGATTTATTATTTTTTTTTTTTTTTAGTACTAACTTCTTCCATAACACTTGCAGTTTTTTAGCTTCTGCTACTTCATGTTTCCAATCAGCTAATTCTAATTCCTTTACTCGTTCTTTTAAGTTGAAAGTTCTCTGAACCTTCTTCTGTACTTCTGTATCAGCTTTGTTGATAGAGAACCTTTGTATCCTTAAACATTTTGCCAACACATCTTCATTTGTTCATGTCTCTATTCATATAATTTATTCCCTATTGAACCTAAAATGATTTTCTCATATTATTCTTTAATCAGTCTATTTATTTGCGACGATCTGTTGGTAAACTATGTTTCTTGCTCTTAAATTTATATATATTTATATATATATATATATATATTTATATATATATATTACAATGCATAAAACTGACGTCCATTTTCACTATTACTCATCTTGGTTTTGGTTTTCATGTTAACTATTTTCTTTACTAATACTTTTAGGTACTTAGCTCTAAAACTGCATTAATCTTTAGTGTCGACGATTGAATAGTAAATAAATTAAACTGTTTCTATGTAATCAAAAATGGTTTATTAACTGTTGTAAATATTTCTCAAGTCATGTTTTCACCGAAGTAGACAACAAAGTATTTAAAACATTTGTTGACAAAAGGTGTTGTTAAAGAAAATAAACATTTATTTGAGAATTAATTGTGGTAAAGACTTAGTATAAGAAATGTTCAATTAACATAAAAAAAAACAAATCTCACCTTGAGTCTGTTGAATATCCTCTGAGGTAAACAAGTTCAGTCCTGCTGATGTGAATGTGTGGTTTGTGTTAAGACCATCGTCCATCATCATGTAGTAATTTACCTCAGCAGCTGTAGTGCCATCCTGACTTTTCCACCTCATTTTATTAAAGTTCCTGTAAAACAGTCAATAATTATAACTAATCTAAAACTAGGATAGTTTTGGGTATTTTTCTGACTCAAGATTATTAAATGTGTAAAAAAGAAGACCAATCACTTTTTAACTCTCTGCAGCCTATGAGGTAATGTGTAAAACGATCTCGGACTGGAGCTTAGCGTCCTAGGATGTAAAACCTATAAAAAAGGGTGGAAGGATGAAAAAATGTTTATACAGGCCTACCTGGAGTTGTCCAAAAGCATGAACTGCTCCACCAGTCGCCCCAGAGATATCTCATGCCCCGCCTGCATGTTGAAGGCTGGGGCTCTTGTAGCATGGATACCAATAAAGGCCCCCTCACCCCCGCTGACTCTGGCCTCAACACGCTCGGACTTGTGATCCTTGCCAGTGTGGACCTCTAGCTCTGTCTGTCAAAACAACTCAACTTAAAATGTTTGACTTTTTAACATTTTTCAGATCACCACTACAAGTCAAGTGCTGCTCTTCGACTCAAATCGGAATAGTTCTCTAAATTGCCACTGCCGAGTATACGTAGTCAGCAGCACTTGCGTTGACCACAGACAAATATACTTGAAGACTGATTCAAGTTGAAGTAGAAGCGAGTTGATGTGTTACTCAAAATAATCAAATAGTTACATCACTAATAGTATAGAGATTATTAAATAAATAGAAAGATATGTTTCTGACTCACGTTATACTTATGGAAGCCGTCTACAGGTAGGAAGACACTGTCAGACAACAATTGCCCGTCTGTTGTGATGTGATACACCAATAGTCTGAACCCTGGAGCCATACGTCTGCTGAGACTGAGAGAGAATGTTGATGTTACTGAGGAACCCTCAACAGTTTGTTCACCACATAAGAGTATCTCACTTTTAGAAACCACCTGCAAACCATTACTAGTTTTAAAAATAAACTGCAGGTGTAAACATTTGTTGGAGTTTTGGCCTTGTCCATCTATGAAAGACAAAAATATATTATGTTGGTTTGCCTTATGATTGCCAGGTTCTTGATAAATGTAGAAGTTTACGCTCTATGTACATTTCGCCACAAGTGTGGCATCCTCAGGAGCTGATTTTAGTTTCTCAGATTTCTGCACTCGCGCCATGAATCGTCCGCCGACTTAAATGTAAATAAAAATAGGATAGTGTTTTTTAGTGACTTTAAGTGATGTGGTGACAAGAAACTCAAATCAGCTCCTGAGGTTGCCACACTTGTGGCAAAATGTACATAGAGCTTAAACTTCTTCATTCATCAAGAACCTGGCAATCATAAGGTGTAAACCAACATAAATAATCATTTGTTCTTGAAACTGGAAATAGGGCCTACCACATAAATTCTACAAAAATACACAATGTTTTTATTAAGTTTAAGTTAAACTGATAGAACAAATTCTGTTGAGCCATAGCAACTGTTAGGATTCATAAACTAAATCAGCAACAAAAAAATAATGTTGAAAATAGAACTTTAGACACTAGCTCATGCTGTGATTGGCTCACACAACTACATTTTAATAAAAAAATTGGGCTACAGCTGGTCAATATAGATGGGATATCTACTTCAGGATCCAATGGTAAAACCAAAAATAAATATTTATGTGAGAATGGAGGTGACGTGTAGAGAAGGATGGACGAGTGCTTAAATTAGGAATTAACTTAAATTAATTAATTTAAAATTAACTAATTTAAGTTGAATCTTATGGAAGAATCTCCAATGCAAAGAAGTCAAGGAGTCGAGCTAACCAACTTGGCTTAGCACATGAAGAACAATTAATTGGTCCTTAAACTCCAAAGTCACACAAATCATCCAGGACCTACTCCCATTTTAAGTTTCAGGAGTTGCACTTACTCACATGCAAAACCTGTTTAACAGAGCCCACTCCTTATACTGTAACACTAAAAACTAATGCTGTGCGGTACGACTTTAAAATGTTATACGATGTGGATCTTATCTTTCATAATCTCACCAACCTTTTAAAAAAGTAAAACATATGCGGAGATGAGAAAAGTAATAAGCTAAAATTTAACAATAATGTGTTACTTATAATGCTGGAAGCAAATTATTTGCTAGAAATAAAGAATTTGTTATTCATCAAACTATCATTCTGTCATATAATTCACAAGTTGGAATAATAATGTGCATTCAATTCTAGTTCTTTAAACCTCACACCAAACAAGTCATTGACAAAAAAAGGATCATATAAAGCGATCATATTGTGGGGGAATATGTCACAAGATTTAGTTTTGGGAGGAAATGGTGTTTGGCCACACTTATCTAGCCTTTTTCATAAAATTTGTCATTTTGTGTTAAATTGCAAGTTCTCAACTTTCACTAATACCGATACCATTGACTATTAACTAACACTACTAACTATGGACTATTGACTATTGACTAAATCAACTTCCACTGTAAACAACATTACTTACTCACAATATACTGAAAACTGTCCATCCTGAAGTTAGATTTAACATGGAATATTGCAAATTCGTCAACATTTAAGTTTCTCGACGAAGAAGAAACACTTATGAACTTTGTTGTAGAAGAGAAATAGCTGACAGCTTCAAGTGCAGCTTCTACTGACGTTCCTTCTTCACTGACGAACAAAGCTTTGATTGAAAGCTTTCTAGTATTGTTGGAAGTATCGAAACTGAAGTGAAGGACTCCTTCTTGTAAGTAATTGTCATTAGATAGTTCATCAACAAAGTTCTCTTTCGTTTTGTCATTGATGTAATTTTCCTCATCATTCCAAGTATTTTCAAAGCCGCTGCCAGCTATTATATCTGATAGTCTAATTCTCTGCCCACCTTCCTCTTCTATATCTCCTTTAATGCGTAGCCTTGAGGATTTCAGTATTTCTTGCGGTATTTTTTCATTCCCATCGTGAAAAACTGCTATCTAAAAAAGTGTTTAGCAAATTATAAATTAAATCGGCATTCATCAGCAAAATCAGATAAATTACAATTCGTAGTAGGCCAATCCTTGTAAAAATATAAAAAGCATGAGACCTCTTATAGTTATTTTTATATTTCTTTTTTCCGACTTATGAACTTATGTCACTTAAAATGACACCATGAATCTATCAATATGCATTTTTCTTTTTTATATCCAGTACCTACAGTATTAATACTCAAAACAATGATAGAAGAACAGAAATTTTGATTCATTGAAGAGGCATATTCTAGGTTGAGTTACATCAACCATAGCATATGATGTACCATTTCGTTTCTTTTTTATTTATTTCTTTATTATTATAAATTTTAACGATATATGTTTTAAACTCAAACATGGCTACCATCAATTACCTTTACAATCTACAACCTTCTACTTACATGACAGTAAAATGGGAAACCAGGTTTAAACGTTGCTGGAGAGGGGCATAGAAATCTGAGGTGGATATCTTTAGAAATCAATCTAGAGTGACTGAAGCCTTCAACCCTTTCTAGAGACAACAACTCAGTGATTGAAGCATGGAGTTTCACCTCGATATCATCTAGAGAGCCCAGCTTGGAAGAAATCAGCTCCGTTGGAATTTGAATGGGATGTTCTTTCCCTTTCTGCAACAAATATAACAGTGTCACTTCAACTATACAGTATACTATTTTTACTAAAGTAATGATGCAATTTAAACGAAAAAATGTCTACTAATATGTAAAAAATAATACAATTTTGCGTCAGTTCCCTTAAAATATTCCAAAAAGTATGATATATTATCGCAAAAGGGTATTGTTAATTTACTAAAATTTGTGAGAATATTTTTAGTTGATTTACATGTTGGTATACAAAGAAATTGGCACTGGCTTTGCAAAGAAGTAGTTCAAACCATTTTGTCTAAGGGCCTCAAGAAATGGTAAGCAGAGAAAGGTACAATACAAGTATTAACAATATGTTGATCCCTCATTAATCTAGTTTTAATAAGGAAATTTTAAAATATATTTGGCTGACAATACTTACAAAAAATACATCCTCAGTCCACACCATATTAAATGATTCATCGTTTTTCCACTTTCTTGCATACAGAGTAACAGTGCCGTTTCCCTCCACCAATCTCTGTGTCGGAAAACGTCCACAGACTGATCCCACAATGGATTCCACAGTCTGTGTTATATAGGGAGGCAGCGTAACATGCACCTAGAAACTGTTTGAACTTATTTTCCGTTGGAAAAATTAAATCTAAAGTGTTAAAATATTACATAATAATTATTGCCAATGTATTGTTAGCTCAACAGTTTTGACAATGAAACTTGCAAAATCATTATATGGTATGGTATCATCATTTATAGTAAGGATCGAAATGCTGCCACTTTTCGGCCATATAACGAACTGCCGCTGGTTGGACCAGCGTTTTGCAATATGGTTCTTATTGTCTATATATATTAGCATCTAGAGTATAATTTTCTATGTTAAGCTATGGCTAAAATATATCCCTTTGAAAAAAACAAACTTAACACACTTGGTTTCTTTTAAAATCTGAACTAATTTATTGTAATCCACTATTTCTTAATTGTTCTGGGATGACAAGGTTATTAAAGAAAATTTTCTGATGCACCTAACCAATTTGTTAATATCAACTAACAAATTAAACTGTTTATACCTCAAACAGAGGATCAAAATAAGTTTCCACCCTCATCATCTGCTCGACAATCTGGTTCCAAGCTTTTACCCGGATCTTCCAGTAACCATCTTTGACTAATTTTGGTAGTTTGAACCTCTTGCTTGAAACACCTGTTGGACAGGAAAGGAATTGAAGAGTTATTCACTAAAAACTGTTAACTTCTTAAAAGCAAAGGCGCAATTCACATATAGAGCTATGTAGTGGAAATTGACCTTCAATATTGTTTACTAATTAAAAGTTATAACTTAAAATATATTGCAAAGTTTTTTTTTTTTTTTAATTTTAAAGTATAGTTAATATACCTGTGTATGTGTAATATACCTGTGTAGGGGTGGTAATAAAGTCTGAAGACAGTTATTTTCTAAACGACAACAGATAAATCAATAAGATTTGGTACATCAACACCACACCTAAAAATCTACTTTTTTTTTAGGAAATATCAATTTTCTGTCATATCATAGGGATGTCCCTCAAGGAGTCATAAGGGAATCTTAAATAGAAGCATTCGTTGACATGTACATCAAATTAAAGGTCTTTACTAGCAGAATATAAGGCCCCAAATTTGAACTCAAACGGACAACCCAGCCAAGAATGACAGTTGTTCAAAGATTCATTTCATTTGCATTGCTATTAAATTATACGCTTACTCCTCAGGGGGCACAGCCCTAGGAATCGGAAGAAAATTGTTAACGTAAACATAGGTCGACATGCACATAAAATTAAAGGTCTTCACTAGTAGATTGCAATGCTGTAAATTCAAGCTCAAAAGAACGCCCGAATAAAAAGAGGCAGTCGTTCAAAGATTCAAAATGGCAGATTCAAGAAATTTTTGAACTGCTGCCATTTTGCGCAGGATTAATCTTTTGAAGAGCGGTTTGCGGCATTGTATTCTACTAAAAAAGACCTTTCATTTGATGTGCATATTGACCTATTCTTCCATTTAAGATTTTCTTCCCACTCCTTGTAGGCCGTCCCCCTGAAGAGTTATTGGATCGCTGAATATGAGTTAAAATACATTTTTATGCTCTGTAACTTTGTACCAAGTATTGTAGCTCTATCTACATTATTTAAAAAAATATATAACTGTCTTCGGACTTTATTACCACCCTGTATTTAAGTTTATAGAGAGTCTGCCAGTTTATGTATGTACAGTAGTTAGAGGTTAATTTTTGGAATAGCCTAGTTATTTTTTTCAATCAGAGAGGGAGGGGGTTGCAATTGCCAAAATCATCTCTCTTTGTTAGGCTGGTGCTTAAAAGCTATCAACTTTCAACTTAACTTTTTACTAGATGGGGCCAGGTTTTAAATAAATTATACATTTAACATAATCAGTAATAACATTTGTAAACCAGAAAATCGTATGAATTATTAAAGTTTCAAAATACTAACTCTCATTTACCATTGTTAGTGTATGCTGACAACCATCTCCTCATTATGAGGCCATCTGGATCCTGTCACAAACCAAACAAAACAATTACTTAAATTTGCTTGAAACAATTTGCTTGGTGGAATTTGTTTTGAATTTTTTACTAATATTTAACGTAGAAGCTAGTGTTAAGAATTAAATACCTCAGCCGCTGAAAACCTGCAGACTAAGCGGATTTCCATTCCATCCTACTGAAATATTCCCTTAAAATTGTCAGATGTATTTCCTATTTAAATAACATTAATTTTTATGAGTACTTAGGTTTGCTGCTACAGGGAAGGTGTGGTACAGATGTGTGTTATATTATATGTTGATGGCTTAGTATGAAATAAACAAATTGGCTAAATTTGTTTGAAATTAAACAAGTAAACTAAAACAGTTAAATAATTTTCCATAAGAATAACATAAGAATTTAAAATTTATACATTTTAACCGTCAGACATACAACAACGTTTCAATGTACTAAATTATTTATTTTTTAAGCCCTACAAAATGGTTTTGAAAGAAATTGCAAAACCTTACGTTTGTAGGGTCAACAATGTGAAATGACAATTTTTTAAACCCATAAAATCCCTCTGAAACCCCTGTTTAGTCTGACCATGCTGGTTCACAAACTCGTTCAAATATACGTAGGTTTGCAGTTTACACATTTTTACCAAATTTGATCAAAATCTGACCTTTTTTGCTTGAGTTATTGCACAAACGGACATATGTATGATTTTGAATAGAGTGTGTTTTTTTGGCCACTGGGGACCTCAAAACAAAAAAGTAAATCGGTCCCGGGTCCAGGTCTTATCATGAGACCTATCTATAGCTTATTCCTATACATTTGCTAAAAACATACATCAGTGACTAATACTACACCCATCAATAGGTAAAAATAATACTCATTAAATTTAATAATTCAGTGTGAATTGTTTTGATTTACAAGCTATGCCAACAATTTTGGAAGTTATTGACATTGTACTGGCATCATATATTTATATTTTTCAATCACATTATCATAAAACTTAACTGTATGGTGAATAAATCGTATTTTACATTTAAAATGTGTGAACATTAACTTTGAGATCTTATCATTTTTGTTTTCATTTGTAACTGTTATTAGATCGTGTGGTTTATGAAACTGTTGTTTACTCAACTCATACTTACAAGGACATAAATCTCCAGTCCGTCATTGAAAGGCTTCAGATCTGTTTGAAGAGTCACTACTCTAAACCGCACTGGAAAAAATGAATATATATTATATCACTATACTATAAGGCAATTGATACAGAAAATCAAGAAAAAGTATCTTAATAAATTGTATCAGCAATCTGACACATACTTTCTCCCATTAGTTTGTCAAAAACCTTTATCATGGGTAAGCGGTAGGAGTATGGCCATTTCAATCAAAAAGTATTTAAAGTATTACAGGTATTTAAAAAGTAACTATGATATGTTATAGGACAAATCACAAAAGTTGCAATAGATTTTGAACCGTAATTTTTACAGAAAAGGGGAGTTGTACTATTTTGTTTATAATTTTAAGGACCATAACATGCAGTTTTTATTCATAAATCCGATTTTCCCTTATTTTAGGGATTTTTATGGGTAAACATAACATAAGTTACAATAATTTTTGAATCATAATTTTTACAGCAATGGGAGTTGTACCATTTTGTTGAGAATTTTAAAGACACGTTCTAAATTGTAAAAGACGTTCCAAATTTCTATATAAACAATTTTGATAAAATTATGTTTTCCATCATTTTATGGGAAAATTACCATCAAAAGTAAAAATTTAAAAACAATTTTAAAATCCTGGGGATACCAGTGGATACACACATACCAAATTTCATCAAAATCGGACGACAAGTATGGTCTGTAGCGGAGGCACATCCACATTTACACACAGACATCTCTTCAAAACCCACTTTTTTGGGTTCAGGAGGTCTCAAAACATAAATATTAACTCATAACTCAAACTCCAAAATTTTGAGGAAAACAATACTTTCTCCATATACTATGTAGGCAACTATAGAAAGTAAAAATTGAAAATGATATCTATATAGTGTATATGACAGAATATGTTTTTTTTTTTAGACCAGAACTTTATTAGGCTAAAATAATTACATGTCATACCATGTTAATTTTCAACTCATGATCTCATTATTGTGTTGTATGTGTTTGTGTGTGTATGATAGCTATTCAACTACTAACATATCAAGCAAACTGAACTACCTTCAACCTATAATTATTAATAAAGATGTCAAACAGCTAACTTTTGTAGCAATAAAGGCTTGTTTGCACCAGCGTGATTCCCTGAGTGCCAAATATTTTACTAGTGGTGAGCTACTTGTGTTAGTATTTGTCAATGTCCGAACAGAGGTGCCTCGACATTCATCCTTTGCAAACAGTCTGCTCTTTAGAAATAAATAGCATAGTAAGGATGAGCAAAAACTCTGATTTGAGGTAAAGATGTATTTGTTTTTGCAATTTAAATGTTTAGTTTTCCAGAAACAATACGATTTTATTGAGGTAAAGAGTACATCTCTAAATACAGTTTCTAAACCTAAAGCCCAAATTGCAAGTTATATTTAGATAAAACGTTGTCACTCTTACCTTCTTGTCCAGCCCTATAGATTGGTCGACTTGTTTGTACAACAATTGACAAAAATCTTGGATCAAACACGAGTTCAGAACTGTTGCGAAAAAGAACCATTCCTTTGTTTTTTACTTCAACATTAAGGGAGTAATTTCCAGGTGAAATTGACATAGCAACCTGAAAAAAAACACATATCAGGAAGTAGTGGTACCGGTACTCAAAAACTTAACTGTAACAAAGTATAAAACTAGAGGGTAACTAAAACTAAAAAAGAAGACTGATAGTTTTCAACTTTTCATAAATCATTTTTGTAACATTTCATTGTATTGATGAAATTTAATAGTAATGACATTTTGGGAAATTAATCATACTCTTGATTAATAAATGTACAAAGAAATATGAGGTTCTTTAAAAAACTTAGGAACACATATTTGTTTTGATTTGATTGTTATTGTTTTTATAATCCTTATATGTAATAAGTGAAGGTGATTTATACGAAACACTACTCCTCCCACAATATTGGACGGATTTTTACAAACTATGTGTCAAAATTAAGGATTTTTTGTGTAGACGCCACCTTTCACCAATTTCTGTTATAAAAGTCCTCGGGCTGTTCCCCACAGGCCATCAAAATCCCAATGTATTTCTCATGAAGAACAATTATTGTTTTGCTGTTATGCTTCATTTTGCAATTTTATTTAATTTGTTTGGTGCCATGTGGTTGATGAATTAGACTTTTGCATATATATTTTAATGCAATCTATATATATAAAAGGCAAAGCCCTCACTGACCCTCTCACTGATCACTAATTCTCTTACTTCCCATTTACCACTGATTCTTTAGGCATTAAATAGGAAAACTAAGTTGTTTTTATTCTGATCGGACTCTCGGGCTCCGCCCCAGTGGCTCTGGAGTTTCCCATGTTAACCTTATGAGTACTCGTATTTAAAAGGAATTAATGAATCTTAACAGCCGTTTCAATTAAACAAGTTGGTTCTGTTCTATGATGTTCAATAGCATTAAAGTAACAAGGATTACCAACAGGGTACAGCACTATTATTTTTTTTTAATTTATGACAACAGCTAATTTGCAACCAAAAGGCGAGTGAGCGTAGCGAACGAACTTCAACCTGGAGGTGAGTTAGCGTAGCGAACGAGCTAACCTGAAGGCAAGTGAGCGCAGCGAAAGAGCTCCAACCTAAATGTGAGTGAGCGTAGCGAACGAACTTCAACCAGAACGTGATTGAGCCATGCGAACGAACTTCAACCAGGACGTGATTGAGCCATGCGAACGAACTTCAACCAGGACGTGATTGAGCCATGCGAACGAGCTCACTTATGAAGTTAAACGGGGCAAAGCCCGCGGGTACAGCTAGTACACTATATAAAGTGATAGTAATACATTAAAGAGATCTTCATTTAAATAACCAATAAGCACGTTTCAGCCTTTGCCAATATATTTCCTGGTAAGTGTGTTGTAACTGTTTCTTATAGTATATTTTAAAAACCGGCAGAGCAACTAGTTTTTTTTTCTAAATTGTGAAATCGAAATGGTGTTTGCAATCTGGGGAACGTTAGCATATGACGGGAATAGCACACCTATGTTTTTCCTTCCACTATGCTATAAGTACCAGTAGTAGGACTGCTGGGGTCACCGGTTTACTATTGTGCTAACTGCTAACTCTAGTTAAGACAATGAATACAACCCCTTTAAGAAGCGCAATGCCTTTTTAAAAAAACTCAGTCTGGAAATATTTTGAATTTTCTATAGTTCCCACGGCGGCCGCTAGGTAGACGGTAGACTATCGCGAGCGCGCGGCTAAGTCAGCTGACCCCTGACTGAGTGAGAGAGAGTGAAACACGTTTTTAGGGCAGAATAAATTACCGTACTTATAACATTTTAAGGAAATCGTAATATTTGTGCAAGCAAGCATACAAACAAACATTGCTCATATAAGAGTATATGATGAAATAGTGGTGATTGTAGTGTAGGACGTTTTTTAGTGTGGCCTTGGTAGGACCTGTTGAACTTACCACGATTCTCCCTCCCCCAACCAAGAAACCATCCTTGAGCCGCCCCTCTAGCAAGCACCTAAAGTAACCAAATTTAAAGCGGTATAGAAATTATTCATACCCTGACAGGCAGCAAGTTAAGAGTGTTTGTAGGAAGGACGGCAGTAGACTCTGCTACCAGCTGATTGTCACAGCTGATGCTGGCATGTACGAACACGTCTTCCAGCTCTTCTGACGTCACCATTGCGGCCATGTTGTAAACCATAGCTGGCCGAACTGTCCTGGGGGAGATAACAATGTAGCGTCTGAAAGCATAATAAAAACTTTAAACATTGTCAATCTTAAAATGTTATGACGTATAGGTCAGAAACTATTGTCATTGTTAATTCATTATTTATCATTACAAATGACTAGTTTTAGGTCATCAATCCTCCAGTCCCAAAACAGATTTTTTTTGTTTAAATAGCTATAGCCTATACACAAGGAAAATACTTTAACTAAGGTGGGAACGTTTGTGAATCTACAGTACTGCAGTTAAATTCACGGGAAGTTTAAAAGCTTTTAAAAAAGTTTAAAAGTGTTAAATACTTGTGAATGAGTACGGTAGCTAAAATATATCTAATCCAACAAACTTCTGTATAGTTTGAACCATCTTTAGGCCTAAATAATAAAGTTTTAATTGAAATGTTTCTTATTTGTGTTTCTTGTGTAACTTAAAGCTAATATTCGCCAATATTTTTTAACATCCATTGTACTTTTGAAACATTTTCTGATTCTTTGTTACAATTTAAAATATTTTTCCTACAGTTACCTAACAATGTACATGTTCTCTCACTGATTTGAGAAAACAAAGTGGCCAATTCGCTCATCAGTGAGACAATGTTAACATTGTCTCACTCTAATTACTTTGTCTCACTCCAGATTTGCAACGTGAAGGCACGAAATAGTGAGCGCGTAACATGCAGACAACGTCGTATGCGCGCGAAGTACGTTGGCAGCACTGGCTGTAAATCAGCTGGTCAGCTGTTGTACCGTTATTAATAGTGTTGATGATTAAATGTCATATTAAAGTTCACTTCTGTGTAAAAATATGTCACGTTTCTTTACTAATTTATTTGTTTTATTGTAACTGTAGCAAAAATATAATGTGCAACTCGAGTGCAAAGTGCAATTGCCTCACTCGAGAAACCATTCTTCACTCGTCTATGGCTCGTGAGTAAAAAGTGAGTCAATTGCTCACTTTGCTCACTAGTTGCACAAATAACTATTGAACTAGGAAGTGTTTATTTTCTCATAACGTACCAGTAATGGTGCAAAAAAAACTTGCATTGTTTGTTTTACTTTTGCGATGTTATAACTATAATTTAAATTACATAGCCAGCAGGCTATTTCCATGAACAATCTACTAAAAAGAATCTAAATATGTCATCTCTTATGCATTGTCATATAGCAAATGGAAGATTTCAAAACAAACTAAGCTTCCAGATTAAACATTTATGAGTTTTTTATGCTAGAATCCAGCGGCCATCATGATGTGATTCAGTGATCCCATACAAGGAGAACAAGTTCAAAGAATAAATTTAATGGAGCGATGAAAGCTTTTGCTGCTGTTAGAAAAACTTAAAACAAGGAAATAAGGTCATGGTCGGGAATAAATTTCACAACACTGGTTTCATTAAATGATTATATAAAATATCGTACTGACACCTTCCACATGGGAAAGCTGAATCCATAATGGCTTTTTTACTCTGCAAGAACTTTGTAAGCAGAAGCCATACATTATTTTTGCTATAGGCACTTTGTAAGCAGAAGCCATACATCCAAGCTATACGCACTTTGTAAGCAGAAGCCATACATTCTTTTTGCTATAGGCGCTTTGCAAACAGTTTCACTGTATTGTACCTCATAAAAGACCTCTTTTAAAACGACATTTAAAATGTACAGTATGAGTGTAAAATGTACTACAGTTGAGTACAAAATAAAAAAAACAGCTTATACGTAGTTCAATCCAACACCGGTAATATCCAAATGTGTATTTCTTATAAATAAAAATAAACAATTAAGGAGCTATCCCAATTTCCCCATTTATAAATTTATTTATATTATTAGGGGGTTTCGTTAAAAAATGCCTAGGTATTTGATATTTTTATACTGTAAACCTGTATAAACACTGTTCCTTTAAAACAAAACGCGTTTTAGAGTGTGAAAATCAAAATGAAATCTTCATTAAACATGATTAAACTATGACAAACTTGGTAAAAATTGAAATCATTAGATAAAAATAAAATATGTAATTTCTTTATCAAACAGTAGCCTTTGTCGACTCCTACTTCAACATATCATCTAAAGTATCTAAGATAGATTTAAATGTATAAAGTAACTTTTGTTTTGTAAGTTTTTAACGCTTTTGCATTATAACAAATCATAAAATGTCCAGTATTATATTTTGTTTATCCATTGATTCTAACTATATTGGGGGTGTGTAGTGTGTAAGGTGCCAAGGCACAAGTTGTCCCCGTGGATATTCAATAACATGCTGTCAGTTTATATTCTTCATGGTCTTCGTGATAACAATACAACCTAACCTCAGATCAATGGGACATTGACTGCCCACCCTGACTGCTTTTACACAATTACATTCTATTATGTAATGACTCGTCTTAAAGGCTTTTAGAAATACCTTGAGTGGAGAAATTTATTAAATTGTAGTCTAAGTGTTTTATTTTTTAACAATGCCCGATTTTGTATAAGATAATTATACAAATAGTGTTCACTACAGGGGGTTTCCATTTAAATTATAATTTCTTTTAACTCTCGCAATTTGCATTACAAATCCAGATTGTTCGGTTTTTTATCAGTGATTTACTATGGAGATGTTGGCTATTGGCATCACAGTTAGCCATAACTGATACCTTGGCTATTGGCATGAGTTAATAAGCACCTTACCTTAATTAATTCATTTTACAACCATCTAAACCTAATGCTATGTCCAGGGGTTATTCAGTATGATTTACACAGGCTGCAGTTTGACAGCCAGATAGGTTTTTGATCATACTCTATCCATAGCAAAGTGTTTAAAAAAATTCTATTTACGCTAAAAAATACCTGCACAATTCGCAAAAGCTTAACAAGTTTTCCTACCAATTTGCAAAATGTAAACAATAATAATAATTGATAGCAGCAGTGAGTTACGCAGGACCAGTACGCGGGCGTAGGGCATAATGGTGGGCTAGGCAGGTCAACTAGTCCTACTCAAGCCCTGACCTCTCATATGCTAATATTGCAACTTCTTAGCAACCTACGTTCTCTATGGGTATGTGATTTTTGTTTGAAGTTGAATTTACATAGTTTGAAAAATTAAATTAACCCTAGCAGTTACCTGTTTAAAGAAAGAAATATTTTTTTCCTACTGTCACCCGACAAAGTTGGCTTCTTGTACTGTTTATAGTACAGAAAGCTGCTAATTGCTGCATATTTATACTTTGCCGTACGGTTTATACTTTGCCGTACGGTTTATACTTTGCCGTACGGTTTATACTTTGCCGCACATCAGGATTCCAACGAAACAACACAAAACAGTGTGGTTCTATTATGCACGTAATCCGTGTACGCTCGGAAATAGGTTGGCAACACTTAAAGATAATAATACTATGAGCAGCTGATTGACTATTATAACTACGATTTAACCTGTCATTTCGTGTTTATAGTTTCGGTATTTCTGAACTTCCTGGACTTTTCTTTTAAACGTTTTTAAAACATTCCTACGATCTTAATAAACAAAAAAAATACATTTAAAGCATTTTTTTAGGCGCGGAAACAAAATATTGTGCTTTTATTATGCACGTAATCTAATAAGTTGGCAACACTTAAAGATATTATGACTATGATCAGCTGGTGCAGCGTTTCTCATTTCATTCAATGTTTGGATTTAACCTAACCTAAACACGTGCCCTACAGTGTTTGAAAGACTAATTATTTATATGATTTATAGTAACTGTATGAAATATATAATGTGTATTTTCCTTCCACCATGATGTGTATCATACGAGTGCAACCACTAGTTACACAAATAACTATAAAACCGATAATATTCTCAGTGCTGATTTATTACAATTATCTGGTTTTCTTTTCATACCAGTGTTCGCTAAAAACACGTTCTCAATACATTTTTTGTACTGGTACCATTACATCATGAAATTGTGTTTAAATAAATAATTCTTGATTATTGTGGTGATTTTATAATAATATCCAGATTAAGATCAGAGAAATGACCCATAGATAAAATAGCTAAATGAGTAATATAGATATTCTGTTTCAAGTACATTACATCTTACAAAAAAAAGTATAGACTACTGTTATAAACACTAAACACCATGGTTTAGTGGGGGTTCTCGTTCTCGACCTTGTCAAACGGGGAGGGGCTACCGTGAGGTTAGGAGTTTACCAAGAAAGGGGGTCCGAGGGTTCTCCCCCAGGAAAATGTGGTATTTGAAAGCCGTGTGGTGACTTTCTATATTCATTTTAACGTCTAGAAACCAAAAACATTTCTTACTCTCACAAAACAAAATACGAGGGGAAATTTACTATAATTATAATTTATTTTTACAGGGTACAACACCACCCCTTTAGCCCATGTAGCCCCCACCCCCTTAGAACACCCTCTGAAAACACCGAAGCTGTAAGATAAGCTACCCAGAGTTCTCTTTTGCCTCTATAGCCCCCCAACCCTGGAACCACCACGGAAAGCTCCGAAGCTGCAAGATATACGCCACCACCAGTTTTGATTATTCTAAACCATACCTCAACCTCAATCGTTAACAAAGGAATTGCAATATGCAGCTGTGACACTAACGTTTGTTTCCGTATCCGCTAGGCTAGACAGGAAGTCCTTCTCGTGCAAAACTAATGAATTGTCACGGGAACCTACATTTAATACATACTGATGTGATTGTGTGACAACTAGATTGTCCTAGTTTTAAGAAATGTACACTTGACTTTGAATATTGTAAAATCTGAGGATTTGTTGTAGGTTATAGGTATTTATGTTCTTGTTGGTAACGTTTAAAATTAGAGCACTGATGACTAGATATTTGTCTTTTACTTTTAGGTACAGAATATATTTAATAATTTGGGCCACTTAGTCGTTGGTAAAATAGCAGAGTACAAAAAATTGTTGGCAAATAGCATGATTGTTAAACAGTATTATTAAGTTGAAATCGTTTAAAAATAGGATTAACAACAATTATAGTACAGAAAACTATACAAAAAGGTAGTTCTATGTAGGCCTACCTCTACTGACAGATGG